ACTAACCCTAACTAACCCTAACTAACCCTAACTAACCCTAACTAACCCTAACTAACCCTAACTAACCCTAACTAACCCTAACTAACTAACCCTAACTAACCCTAACCCTAACTAACCCTAACTAACCCTAACTAACCCTAACCCTAACTAACCCTAACTAACTAACTAACCCTAACTAATGGGTGTGTTATACATTGGCCACATTAATGCCGGGGCTGTCGTTGTCCCTAACGGTCAAGAGATGCTACCCGTGACCATCGTGTCAAATACGCCGGTAACGGACAGAGAGTTTTCTAGTGAATGGAATTGTCAACACTTTATACTAGAAGGTCTTCAGGCTCTTGTATATAATGGCCTACAGGAGCAGGAATGGTACGATGCGGTTGAAAACGAGCTGCTCGATAGCTTACTAGATGGAACATCAGTTTAATAGATAGAGGATATAGTTCTAAATTCCTACGATGTATTCATTATAAACAACATAAGAATGTACTCGAGATCATACCGTTTAGGGAACAATGTCGGCACATTTGATCCCAAAGTACCCCAATCAATGTTATCTAACCCACGCAGAGTCAAAACATAGTCCCAATACGCAGGATACCAACCGGCATATTCCCAATCTATGAGAGCAACAATACGGCCGTCACGCACTATGATGTTCCGTGCCGCGATGTCGCCATGCGTAAATACTATGGGATAAGACTCGGCCGCTAACTGCATTGTAATTTGATGCCAGTACATTGATTGAGCTGCTTGCCGCTTCGGAGGCTTAGCAAGCCAGTTGTGGAGCTCCGCACAAGTGTTGAATGGTCCTCCAGAACGAGGAAAGATGGTTGGGAGTACGGCACCTTGGCCATCTAATCGGCCAATCTGTGTACCAGCTAGAGCTTGCAATTGTTCGATGTAATCACGAAGCTGGACCAAGATATCGGAGCGTTGGTCGGGCGTCAACACTCCCCAAGCTTGCTTCAACGTCTGGCCCTCAATGTATTCCATTGTGATACGGTCCCAGTCGCTGCTAATGACTGTGGGGACGGGGATCGTAGTGTTCGCCTTGATAAAACGGAGTGCCAGAGCCTCGTTCGGGCAATCATAGGCGCCCATGCCGTCGGGATGCGTCGTGTACTTCGTGATAGTGTTGCCGTTTCGTACAACATAACGGCTCATCAGTTTATGGATGACTTCGCCGTCCGGATATGGCGCAGGCTGTCGCGGTGGTGGCGGGGCGTCGCCGTAGAGGGCCTCTCGGGCATCCTTCTGTCGCATCTCATTCAGCCGCGCGAGTCCTCGTAATGGAGGGTTCTGTTCGCCTGCTAGCCTCTGGAAGGTCGGCATCGGGGGTTCCACTAGTCTCTTGGAGATGGTCGGGTATCGTTTAAGAAAGTCTTCGACAAAGTCGGTGTCGAGTTTGTAATGTTGACCAGTGTCCCGCCGAGCGACGCTTTCCGCCAACCAGTGAATTTGCTGTTTGCGGACAATGGTACCGCTGCCGATCTCTTTCGAAATCCACTCTTGAATTTCATCTTCTTGGTTTTGCGATAGGCCTTTGTGCGGCTCTGGTAAGGTAGAATGTTTGTCACTAGACATGCTTCAAATGCTATGTGTTGTCGTTCATTCGAAAATGAAGAGTTGTGTTGGTGCTTTTGTTAGAAACGTACCCCTCACTTTGGCCCCTTTGTGTCCCTTATGTGTTGGATACGACGACGACGCGGATTAATAAAAATTCCTTAACGATAGGAACCAATAGCTGTAAGTGCTAATACCTGTTAGTCACACTGCGGAAGTGGGAACGGTTAACTACTTTTCGGCCAATCGCCTTTAAACGTATTCTGCACAAAGTAATTACAGACACATCAATCAAAATCAATCCTTTTGGAAAATACGCTACATAAAAGAGCTATCATGATGACACAGACTTTGCTCCCGATGACATCGATGTGGTACATCGTTTGGGGACCATAACCACCAAGCGCCGCGATTCACGCCACACGTTAAGTTAGTGGTTATGTCTCCCGCACCACATTATGTCCATTGGTATGTGATTTTGATCGTGGCGTTAACAAAAACGGCGGTAGTTAATTTCTACAATCAATCGTATTAGGTTGTCACTCAAAAGCCAGTGAAATTCCAAATTTCTTTCAGTTCACATTCCGTGGTGACAAACGAGCAAAATGACTAAGTTAACGATATAGGTTATTGTTTTTGTTTTTGATCGATTTTCCGTATCAACAGTCACCGCGTTGGCGTTGCTGTTACATTCCAATAGAAAATATATCAAAATGTCGTCAACTCAGGAAACTTGCTTGCTCTAGGAGACGAGAACTTTGTTTCCACGTAGGTTTTCTGTATTGAATCTTCCTTGTGATCGAATGCGCGATACACCTGCTCCATGTTTTCAAGTCGAACCCGATGCGACACCATCTGCAGGGGATCCAGGGCACCGGACTGAATCTGCTTTAACAGATGCTCCCAGTACTTGTGGACAGGTGCCTGGCCATTGCCAATGAGCCGAATGCCGCGCTCCATAAGTGAGCCAATGTTGAAATGGTTCGTCTGGTAGAGATGTTAGTCTTGAACTGTCCACAATGTGCTTGTTCCAGTTATATAAAACTCACATAACCAACGTAGACGCCTGTTACACCCACACGGCCGTAGTTGCGAACACCTTCAATCATCTCGTTCAGAATCTCGCTCGTGTCTGTCTCAGCACCGATTTGCATCTGCACCCAATGTAACCATCCTTTAGCGTACTCGCCAGCGGCGCAATCAATGGCCACGTCTGGGCCACGGCCATCGCAAAGATCCTTTAGTTTGCTGACAACAGTTTCCTTATTGGTGGTCCCAAAGCTGAGCTTCTTGTAGTCAATCAGTTCCAGCTGGTCGGCATTCTTGGCTGGCCAGCGACCCTTGACAAAACTCAAGCGTGGCTCGGTGTCAACAAAGATTAGCTTTTTGGCTCCTTCGTTGAGCGCAAAAATTCCGGCCATTTGGCCAATCGGCCCTCCACCGAAGATGGCCACCTGGTCGTCGGGGTAGACTGCAGTGTCCTTGACTGCATTGTATGATGTAGCCAGCACGTCTGAAAGGTACAAGGCCTTTTCATCGGGGATGTCGTCGGGTATGTGCAGCAGGTTGACGTCGCCAAAGGGTACTCGCACGTACTCAGCCTGACCACCAGCAAACCCGCCCGTGAGGTGCGAATAGCCAAAGATTCCAGCCGTCTGTGAGCCGTAAAGTGCCTTTTGAGTCGAGTTCGAGTTTGTGCGCTCGCACTGGGAGGACAACTTCTGTTTGCAAAAGAAGCACTGAACGTGTTAGTCATATCGCATTACATGATAGGAAAGGAATAAGGACGGGGAACGGACATCACCACAAGCAATCTGAAACGAAGCAACATATCGTCCTCCCTTCTGAATATTTTTCACCTCGGGGCCAACATCATCGACAATACCGCAAAACTCGTGGCCGAGGATGTCATTGACTTGCATTTGAACCACCGAACCTAGAAGTTTAGACTGTTAGAGTCGGCAATGTCTGACATTGGTACCACGCTTGGTAAATAACAGAAAATTCACCGTGTAGAAGATGGAGGTCGCTGCCGCAGATAGTACTGCCTGTAACCTTAAGAATTACGTCGCGAGGCTCGATAATCTTTGGCCGCGGCACGTCCAGGACTTGAACTTTATTTTCCCTTGCCAGGTGAGGGCCTTCATGGTATGCTCTCCGTCTCCAGATTTTTCGTAGTTAGCAATATCTTGCTGCGTCGCGGCGCCACCATCGTGTCCAATTGCCTGCTCGGCAACGTTTGCCAGTCTTGATGTAGCCATGTTGTGAATTTGATTTGAAATTTTTTGGTATTAGTACAGCAGGATCGACGAGGCCTACGAGGTCAAATATCTAAAATGGAACGAAACGCCATCAAAATATACAAAAATGTCGTTCTTCGTCTATGATGTCAATCTGAATGGTGTATTGTAGTAGTTTTACTTTATCATATGTTTAGTACATGATCGCCGTTAACCATAGGGGCGAATGTCAGCTTTTCTACTCTGATGACGTCGACCATTTCTCCGATACGGGACGACTGCAGCAAACGCTTTGGTCTTCCCGACAATGAAATAAAACTAATTGGGATGAAAATCGAAGTTTATTTTATTCGAATAAAGAATTTTAGTAACAAGTCGTACGCGTAACTGGTGTTTAAGAAATGTGTGTACAGACCTGTGTAAATAAATTTTCTCACATAATATTTACAGCGGCTTTTTATTGGAAAATGAGCTAGTGCAAATAAAATGCCTTACATGCAGAAACGCGACGGAGGCGGCGGCAAAAACAAGGTCATATGTATACACGGTTATGAACACGGGTATACACGGCGGCACCGGCTGTGACCTAGGAAGCAATAGATTGTAACACACTTAAATAATATAATACGAGCGCAACGAGGCGGGATAGTATAACACTTGGAAGTATTATAACAGTAGAAGGAGATAGTTGAGGCCGGATAGCTATACCACGTGGTAGCTCGAACACGTCTAGATCGTTTCAGGACGCTTATACAGACTACTTAAAGACAGGCTACCGTCGTAAACGCCCGCGTGAAGACTCTTATTAATACCCTTGTAAAGACTCGACGTAAAGGCTACCGAAGAGAGGATTACGGAGATACAGATAGCCGGGCGTTGACGGATCAGTTGAATAGAAGGTTACAGATAACTTAAAAGAAGTTTCAACTGTTACGATATTATATTTCGTAGGCACATAATTGTTTTCATGGCTTTTGCCGCCTTTGTTTCCGGTAGTTATTGGTAATGTTTTTGAAATGTGTTGAACGTGTTTCCGAAAGGCTGGCTTATTTGCATAGGTTTGATGACAATTTAAAGTCCTTATATTGATCATGTAACCTTCGTCTGGCCAACCTCCTCTCCCAACCCGACTTAATACTTTAAAGCGTAATTCCATCCTTAAAGATTCTTTCCGAAAAAATCTATAAGCTTCGGACCCGACACTGTAAGGTCATCATAGAGGGCAAAATGGTCTTTCCCTTCGACGACAAACAGTTCCTTAGGTTCACGGGCTGTAGCAACAGCGTCTTCACTGTAATGAAGAGTCTGGGCCTTGGATCCGGCGACCATTAATAATGGCCGTGGGGAGATCAGGTGTTGGAGGTTATATGAGTCGTAGCCGATCATGAGATCGTAGCTTGATGGTGGAACTTTCTGGTCGGAACGGGGATGGTTTCCGCGCTTCGAACCGTAGTATGAGGCCGCGTCTTTGAAGAAGGAGTCTGCGTCCTCCGGAATTTGAGAGATATCGCTGCTGAACATAGGTGGGGCTTCAATGCTGGGGTTGTCGGCCACACTCGTACGCCACTGGCCTGCTACCTGAAGTGCACCAGCGATGGCTTCAGGGACTTCCTTGTTGTTCTCCCTGTGTACACCTCCATTGCGGGTCATACGGCCAACGCAAGCGGCACTCACAGTAGCAAGTGCCTTGATACGGCTGTCAGACTGAGCGGCATAGGATGTATAACCACCCGAGGCGCAGATTCCGAGAACACCAATTCGGCTAGGATCAACTTTACCTTTTAACGTGCTCAAGTAGCTCACAGCAGCCTTAACATCCTCGACTCTCTGATGTGGGTCTTCCAGCCCACGTGGCTGTCCAGTGCTTTCTCCCTGATAACCAGCGTCAAACGTAAGGGCGTAGAATCCGGCTTTAGATAGCAGCCGGGCGTGGTCTGCAGAGGTTTGTTCTTTGACTCCGGTCATGGGGTGGCTGATCACAACAGCAGCGCCATTGCGGTCAGGGGCGCCAGCAACCGGGGCGTAGAGCTCGCCGCAGATCTGCAGCATGAAGGATGGGAAGGCGACTTTCGTTGGAGCAGACATAATGGAAGATAATGAGCACGAGGAATTGGATAGATTGCGTAGAATAGATGTTGTTGGATAGATTTCGTAGAATACGTGCCATTTTTTGGTTGAGACCGGCCCTTTTTATCATTCAAAGTCACTTTACATATTAACAAAATTATGACGTAGTAGACTGCCAAGTTTTCCGCAAGCCTTTCCGTCGCAGCTTTGCTTACACAGGGCCTGGCCCACGGTGGAGGCGGGGTCATACACTGGTGGAGTAGGCGCGGCGACTATGATCTATCAAAACGGACTACCCGCAACGCGATGAGTGCCTCGACAGGACCGGCGGTTTCCTAGTGTTCACGCCGTCGGCGTACTTTTTATACAATACTGCTGGCATGCTCGGTGATTGGCTCCAGGACATCATGATGAAGCAACTCAAGAATAATGGAATGCCTGGCGTACGTCCGCTTGCTGTGCTGGATGCCTGTGTGGCCTTACTATACAGGTTATTTAAGCCGACATCACCGCACTGACGCCTCTCGGGACCTCTACCGCTAAGACGACGACGCAATCCTCTGCCCCGAGCATATTGGCGTGACTTGATTAGCGTGTTCGCAGCGGCCCCGACCGCCTTTGGCATGAAGATCGGTGGCAGTTGGGCGATTGACTTGGTCCATCAGCACCACCCGAGAAGCCAAGCGACGCGCGTACCGGCGGTGTGCTCGTTGCCAGTGCCTACCAAGATCACATGATCGGTGTTATGGCCAAGGTATGTGCGACGCTTAGCCGAGACAAGACGGTGTACGTTAGGGCACTGGCGTGTAAACCGCGGCGCGCCTCGTCAACTTATACACCGGGCCAAGTTTCCGAGTGGCCACATGTTTTGTCGATAGCCTGTTATAATGTAGGCACTTACCCAATGTGACAGCCACCAGGTAACGCACACCGCTTGCTGCGGAAGCAAATCTCGTCGTCGTTGATATTCTCCATAAGAACGAATGCCACTCCTATTTAAGAGCGCTGGGCAGCATGTAAGCCGGGCGGGACCTTTTGAGACGACTAACTTCAAAAATACGATCTCAGGTCCGTCATTAACTGGTTGCATACCACCATTGTGTGCGTGATCCCCTTCGAGCCTAGTTGGTGGGAGTTCAAGACGGCACCAATCCCCGGCAGTAATATCACGCCAGTTTCTGTAAGGAATGACACACCGTACAGTGGCCAAGAGTACGGCTGGCACATAAGCGATGGTACGCTCGACGTTAACTTACTCGTCATTGCCAACAGCGGTGGACAAGTTGTTCTACCGAACGAGTAAAGCGGCATAAGCACTACATAGCGATAGGTGGGATTAGGCCGGTATCGGTTCCAGCCATAGCGGGATAATCTACGTGACTGGCCACCGCAGCCGTTGCTGCCGCTGTTGGGAATGAAACCCCTGACTCATTTGTGAAGGTATTGAGGGATGATATGCATATAGTTTTACGTGGAGCATTTTCAATCATATAATGATAAAGCCAGCAGTCTTATGATGCAACCAACGTCGGTCATGCTTGCCGTTGGCCCTTACCTTAACAGGTTAGAAACGAGCACATGCGAAAGTCGTCATCGTTAATCAAGCTATTACGACATACAGAATAACGGAATGCAGGGCCTGTGCACTGGGTACAATTGCGTTTTCTGACGTCTTCCGAGTCATGAACACCATTTTACAAGAAATATTCCAACCTGGTCTATCATAAGAATAAAGCAGGTGCATTATCACACAAACCTGGTAGTAGTTGAATTGTAGGGTGCCATTAGGCTCATCCAAGTTGTGGTGTGTCCCGCCAATTTGGTAAATTAGGGAACACCGATAGCAGCACGCGGCGCGGGACACTACTGATCTCGCGTAGCTAACTTAATGCTCTTTTTACGGGACCGATTCTTTTCTCTTTAATCCGTGCTTTTGACGTTTTAATGATCGAGAATAGAATGATGGAGTTGGTTAAGTTCCTTAACTCAACTGCGGCCAGACACAGGACATATTGCGTCACCTGGTCTACCGTCACGCCATTGAAAATTAGCTACAAGTCAATAGTACTGAAAGTATATGCCCTTTGTATAAATGGTCCAGGTCGGCCGTACTTTGACGTCTTTGCAAACAAGATCAAAGTCACAACAAACCCACCTCGAACCATACCTTACTTTTACATCTTTCCATACACACCTTACACTCCCAACACGAGAATACAACATGTCTACATTCTCCACGTACGACATAGCTGTGCCGGTCCTTACCCGCGGACTCCAGACATTTGACCACATTCTACACAAGGCCGAGGCCCACGCGAAGGCCAATGGTATTGATGCTGACTCGGTCTATCCCTCTGCACGCCTTGTGGTAGACCAGAATCCGCTCGTTTTCCAGGTGCAAAACGCCACAAAGACTGTCCGCAACTACGTCATCCACCTGACGGGCGAGGACATTGCTCCGTTTGTGGACAATGAGAAGACAATTGCCGACTTGCACACCCGCATCAAGGCCGGCCTTGCTCTGCTGAAAAAGGTCACTCCCGATGTCGCCAATGGACGTGCTGAGAGCCAATCGGCCACCTTTAATCCTAGTGGTTCGCATCCGGTGACCCTCAAGGTCAAGGACGCCGTGCTGCTCCAGGCCCTTCCAAACTTCCTCTTCCATCTAACAACGGGTTACTCTATTCTACGTGCGCAGGGCGTCCCTGTCGGCAAGGCGGACTTCATCTCCAACTTCATTGGTGTCCCGGGCTTCGAATAAGATTTGGCGTGGGAGCTGAACTAGAGTACAGGGCACCGCATTTTAGACAAGAGAAATTAGTTATTCAAGAGAATATTGAATCATGACTCGGTCCACGTGATCTTATCCCAATCTCTTACTTGGTCCAATGTTACAACTCTGATGCAGCACGATGCCACGAGCGTGCGGGGGCTATCATTCTGTGTCGAAGAGATCGCTTTCACGTTTTCTTGGTTAGTGTGCCAATGTCCGTGCCATGCCGGCCAAGCAATGAGTGCCTGCACATGTCATCCAGCCGTCTTTTCTTCCCGGGATCCAAATAACAAAGGACTTCAGAATTAGAAACTCGGACCGTTTTAACTTCTTTTATCCGAGAAAAGGTCCGTTCAATTGCATTGTCGGACAGATTCACCTCGTCATGTAGAATGGCGCTATTGCGCCATTGATGTTAGGTACGTTGTACCTGCGCATATTCGCCAAAGCTGATTCAGGGGTAATACGACGTAATTACTGTTCAAATTTCAGTACTGCCGGCCCGTAAAGCTCATAACGCCTCAGGTGGTCCTCGGTGAAAATTAATATTAGTCAGCGACGCGACGTAAGGTAGAATCCACTCTGTAAAACTAAGTACATGTTATTAATACCTATACAGTAGACGTAACCAAAATGGCTCAGAATAAAGAGACTCTCTACCAATAAAGATTAGAAGTAAATAAGAAAAAGAAAAAGAAAAAATAACAGAAAAGAGGGAAACAAAAATAGAAAATAACGGGAAGAGACTCAGAAAAACACACCAAGTCCAGAACCTAAAACGTCTAAAAAGGCTTTGCGCAGCGAATCCTTGCTACCCGCGGAGTAGTAGTAGTGTCAATGGGAAGTCAATACATCAAAATTGAAGCGGAACGTATCAAGCAACTTTCACGACGTCAAGCGACTACGGACAGCCTCAATTCAACTATGTCTCCCACGTCTCTGGAATATACGGTAGAGACAGGGGCATAGAGAGGTGCAACTGAGGGAAGATAATAGTAGAGTTCATATTTTACGTTCTAGCATTGAAGGGAAAACATTAGTAGAGCATCTTTGTCTTTTTGTCAAGTCGGAGAGCGCATCCCCGCAAGCCAATGTACTCTGTAGGCACATCTGGCACACAATGTGGCCCACTACCTTTGAAAACCGTGTGCCCTTTGGAGGACACGTATAGGTGTTGTTGAGTCATTGTTTGTTCAGCGATGATATGTCGTTCCCAAACATTGTGTATCCCTACACTTTTGCCAAATTGCGCATAGTAATACGACATTCACATACTATACCGACTTTTATTGATAGCGTACACGACCATTAATAGTTATTATTGCTGTTATATAAACTAAAAAAACCATGAAAACTGTTACCATAACATGAGATGTAATATAACATTTCACGTTTCCTCCAAAATGACTTTAAATCTCCATAGTCCCATCACTACTCCATCTGCTTCATCTTGTCTACCAGAGTGAATGTTGCGTCCGTGTTCTGCTGTATGTCATCCACAGTCACACCAGGGGCAAGTTCAGTTAAAGTCAGACCGCTGCCCCCGCGACGATCAACCTCAAAGACACAAAGGTCGGTGATTATTGTACTCACAACGCGGGCACCAGTAAGTGGAAGTGAACAGTTTTGGACAATCTTGGAGGAACCATCCTTGGCGACGTGCTCAGTGGCGACAACAATCTTGGTCTTGTCAGGGTTGGACACAAGATCCATAGCACCGCCCATGCCCTTGAAAATTTTACCAGGTATCATGTAATTGGCGAGATCACCAGTGGCGCTAACCTGAAGTGCCTGGAGAGGGATAGTGTCAGCTTGGGGTTATGACGCGTGAAGAAAATGGTACTTACTCCTAAGATCGACACGTCGACGTGGCCTCCTCGGATCATGCCGAAGGATTCAGAACTGTCGAAAGTGGCTGCACCCGGTACCAAGGTAACAGTTTCTTTACCAGCATTGACAATATCACTATGACATCAGCAGGTCGATCTTGTGTGGTTGATTCTCACGTAAATACTTACGGGTCGACCTCTTCAGGAAGAGGATATGGGCCCTGCGCAGTTAGTATAAAGCACACAATGAAATGCAAGGCAAGAAAAAAATAGCTAAAGACTTACCATTCCTAGAATTCCGTTTTCCGACTGAATCCAGACTTTCTCGTCTGGTGCTAAAAAAGACAGCGCTAACGTCGGGATACCAACGCCGAGGTTGACATAAAACCCGGGGTGCAGTTCCTTGGCGGCACGCCGTGCAATACGTAATCGCTTCTCAGCTGCCGTGTTTGGTGTCATTGAGGTAGCAGTAGACGCAGCCTTCCCCGTCTCGGGTTCACGCGTTTTGAGAATGTCGATTTTGCTTGGTACTGTTGCAGGCACAATACGATCCACGTAGATGCCAGCCAAGTCAACCTCTCCAGGGTCGATTTCACCCAACTCGACAATATTCTCGGCTTCGACGATCGTCAGCTTGGCCGCCTTGCCCATAAGCGGTCCAAATGCTTTCGTGGAATATCGAAAGACGCAATTGCCAGCGCGGTCGACCTTGTGGGCACGCAGAATGGCCACATCACCGGGAAGAGCGGGCTCTATGAGAAATGTCCGCCCATTGAACTCACGAGTCTCGCGCACACGTCCACGTTCGGCCACACTACCGTCCGGGCCGAGACGTACAGGGATCTCGCCTTCTTGTAATAGGGAGTGGGCACCGGTGGGTGTAAAAAACGCCGGTATACCGCTACCAGCCGCCCGGATGCGCTCGGCCAGCGTCCCCTGTGGACATAGTTCGACAGCAATCTTTCCAGCCAAATACTTTTTTTCAAGGTTCTTGTTGTTACCAAGATACGAGATAATGAGGCGGTCAAGCTGTCCAGCCTCTGTCAGCACGGCGAGGCCCCCCTTGCCTTCAACGCCGGCATTGTTGGAAACAGCCGTCAACGAATGCAGTGATTCAGGCCCTCTTCGGTGTAGCGCGTTGATTAGGGTCTCTGCAACACCTGAGAGACCAAAGCCAGCGCTCAGAATCACAGACCCGCTGGGAATGTCAACCACCGCTTCGTCGGCCGTCTTATATACTTTGTCACTCTCACGGGATGGCCGGGGCACCGCCGAAGCATCTTTCTGAAAAGCTCGGCGGCTGTGTGGAATTGCCAGCCATGGCACCGAACGAGCCGCGGTCGGGCGTCTGCGAGTTGTACATCGCGTGACGCACGGTGTGGTGATTGTATGAGTGGTGAGATTGCCCAGAATGCCCCGCGTTGCAACAATGGATCTCTCCACAGGTCGTGTCTGTCGCTCGGCGGCTAGGAGTCGGAATAGTGCGCGGGCCATGTCGAGGTTGAGTACAACGGCAGGAGAAAGGGTACGCGCGGTTGGTAATCCAGATAGGTAGTGGATACACAAAGGTAAAGGTTGCACCATTCGAAAGTTGTGAGAAATTCTTACCACCTATTTATTTCCTGAGCAGTTTCCTCCTCATGGAGATAGGCGTTGCTTCTGACATCGGAAACAACGCAGGCTCACGCCGCTAAGGGCGGCACCTACCGCCCGCGCGAATATCACTGTTGGCTGCTTCTGCGTCGGAGTGTTATTAGCGAGATGCGTGCTAGCTATCAACCCGCTAGGGGTGGATCCACGCCACATGAGCCACAGTAACAATTAGTGATCATAGATTTCTGCCACTTGATTGCAGCGGAGATACCATCGCCCAAACACTCTGACATCTGGACGGTTTGGATGTCAGTTACAAATTATTTTGTTGTGCGTACGTTTGTGTGTGAGTTTATATCAGCGGCTGAAACTTATGCTAACAATAAACTCCAGAAAAAGTTGCCCCTTCCTTTGACCGATCGCAGCACGCGCGGCCAACATTATGCTCGGGCGATTCAGGTGGAACTGATTTGGATACTTCCCAAATATGTCTGAGGCGAAGCATCTTACCCATTTTTCTGTCGCCTATCTAGAGCAATTTATTGATACTCTTGACAGCGTGTCGCTGGTAATGCCCCCAGAAAATCAGTTTATAACAGCTGCTGGCACTTCATAGGATCTCTTTCCCTCTCCTGATTTTTGTACTTGCCGGCATGGCCGTATGTCTGCTATTCTCCGTCACTGCCTTACATGAAGGCAACAATCATTGTGTTCTATTTCAATGCGTGACGTACTGGGTTTCTGTGCACAGTCAATTCTTGTCAAGTCCAGCCGTCTTGACTTTGTATCTTTAGTCGCCGAGTACATGCGGATTCTCCCGCTTCGGTGCCACTGGACCCGCCGCGGCGGTATATCAGCAAGTGTGGTCCTTGACAGCAGGCAGTTCGGATGGTGTTGATTGTATTCTTGGAGTATTTACTTTTGCTGCATTCCCAATTCTCAACACTATCTGCCAACGGCTGCTCCCAAATGTGGCTCCTAAATACGGCTCATGACAAGGCCACCCGATGCTACGCAGCTCTAAACTGCTCTGGCGTGTCAGGCTGGTGCTTCCAGTCCGCTGCGACAAACTCTGGCAAGTCCTTGCACGCATTATACGCGTGGGTCACAGCTTCGAACAGCGTCAAGTCGACCCCCCAACGCAGAGCTGCCTCGTACGCTGGAGCAATGACGACGTCCGCCAGCGTGATGTCATCGCCAACACTGTGCTTTCCAGCGCTGTTCTGCAGGATGGCTTCGACAGCCCTGATTCCGGGCACCATTATTTCCTTGCACCAGTCGGCCGATTCGATACCGAGGGTGCGCATCCGGTGTAGCACACTTGAGTTGGTCTTTGGCTGCACATCACCTGTAATAATGTTGACAATGTCCCGTACAACGGCACGCTGTAGGGGCCGTTCAGCCCCTGGCAGTAGGGACCGCTTGTCGGGGAAGGCCTCTTCGAAAAATTCGAGAATCGTCACTGACTGACGTATGGTCGCCTGCGAGCCGTCGGGAAAGCCAACTACTAAGGATGGCACGGTGCCACAGGGGTTCACGTCGCTGGTGTACGTCGGTGCCGATTGTTCTCCCTTCAAGAGGTCGACATAGTGCGGCGTCACCGCGAGGCCTTTTAAGGCCGCCGCTGTCCGCACACGCGCAGAGCATGATGACCGGAAGTACGTGTAGAGCGTCAGCTCTACGCCATTAAAGTCGTCTTTGGTCATAGTCTTTCGTTATGTAGAAGTATTTTGTTTTCGTTGGGCAGTACCGGGCATGTTGACTCGCGAATTGACTACGGGAAGTTTTGCTGTAACGTTTGCCATTCCGAGTCCAAACTCATTGGGATTCTTGAGGAGGAGCAGTCTACGAAGTACTCTCCATCTTGCATGTGACTGACTTCTGGAAAGAATCAATCGTAGTTGCCTTTTGCAGCGCACAATGACCAGTGCCGCAGGCCGCTAAGCGTGCTGACCGACGGCTAGTCTCGCCTTCCCCATTTGCTGTGGATCACTCCTTGCTGCGGAACCCCGCATTGTGGCGGAGACGGAAGTTGCGGAATGTTTTGTACGCAGCAGCCGTTCCAACTTAGTGGCTGTTCCGCTAACTAACACGGCTTGCATCGGTTATGCGGGGTCTCCACAGGTCGGGTTACTAAAACCACACACCAAATACTTACAAAGTACCCTACGCAAAAACTTCCGTCCGGTCTCCCTATTCAGGACGCGTTACTCAAAAGCAAATCTTTGGACGTTTCACGTCAATGGTTGTCAAGATTTAATTTTGCTTCCCTGTCCGATCCTATCCTCAGAGTCAATGCACTCCGGTTTTAACCAAAAAGGCGTCATGTATTCCTCAACCATGGCCGAATCTTGGCTGAACATTCCCTCTGAGAGCGACTTTTCACTGATTAACATCCCCTTTGGCATCGTCACATATTCTGGTGCACCAACACCCCGTGTCGCCGTCGCTGTGGGTGACCAAGCTCTCGACCTCGTCGTGTTCTCCGAATACGATGGCTTTTCTGGGCTGCCAGACATCCAGCCATACTTGCATGTGTTTGACGAGTCCACGCTCAACTCCTTTGCGGCGCTCGGCCGGCCATTGCATAAAATTGTCCGCAGCTACCTCCATGATGTGTTGGTGAAAGACGGTCCTTTCCGTGAGCGCTTGCAAGACAACGCACATCTACGGAGCGCCTGTCTCGTCCCGCTGGCGTCCGTGAGAACCCACCTCCCAATGCAGATTGGCGACTATACGGACTTTTATGTCGGCAAACATCATGCGTTCAACGTTGGTGTGCTCTTCCGCGGTCCAGCCAATGCACTGCAGCCCAACTACACTCATCTTCCCGTTGGCTACCACGGCCGCGCCTCGTCGGTTGTCGTCTCGAGAACGCCTGTTCGCCGGCCATGGGGACAGATCCTGGATGCCGACAAGAAAACACCCATCTACCGCCCAAGTAAGCGCCTCGACATTGAGCTGGAACTTGGTGCATTTGTGTGCAAGCCCAACCGTTTGGGTGTGCCCGTCCCACTCGTCAAGGCCGAGGACCACCTTTTTGGTTATGTTCTACTCAACGACTGGTCAGCCCGCGATATTCAGGCTTGGGAGTACGTCCCGCTCGGCCCATTCAATGCAAAGAACTTTGCCTCGACCATTAGTGCCTGGGTTGTACTCGCCGACGCGCTTGAGCCGTTCCGCACAGACGGTATCGAGAACACAAGTGAGCTGCAGGCATACTTGAAGCCCGCCGACGGTAGTGCTAAACCCGTGTTCGACATCAACCTAGAGGTTGCTCTACAACCTGCAGGATCCAATTCGCCATCTGTCATTAGCCGTTCCAATGGCCGCCACCTCCTCTGGTCCTTTTCTCAAATGTTAGCCCACCACACCGTTGGTGGCTGTCCGCTGAATGTGGGAGACCTTTTGGGATCCGGTACCATCAGCGGACCCGACGACGGGATGCAAGGCAGCCTGTTGGAGTTGACGGCTGGTGGTTCCAAAATTATGGATGTTGGCGGGGTGGAAAGAAAGTTTCTGGAGGACGGCGACGAGGTCGTCTTGCGTGGCTGGTGTGAAAATTCAAACGGCCAACGTCTTGGATTCGGCGAGTGTCGGGGGTGTATCCTCCCAGCATGGCCGGATGGAGTTGCAGAGGAATGAAGAGTTTGGCGAAAGAACAATCATTTAAACGGGACGTGTCCCGCTGTCTTCTGTCTAGGCTAAGTTCCGAACAGAAATGACCTCAAAACTTGCCAAATGTGCCTTACCGTCCCCTGTCCGTATCATATTGTGTACGTGTGTTGTTTTTATTGATGTTTGATACTGAGTATCTTCGAACTGTATACATACGGGTAATTGACGCCTAGCCATAAAGCCAAAAGCCGCCAAAAGAGAGCGAGTCGCGTGTGACACTGGGTCTCGTTCAGCCATTGTAGCTGGTATGTGAAGAACCGAGCTCATGTGTAGAATACGAAGCCGACATGGGTAAATCGTATGCGACGGGGCTCGATTTGAGACTGCTCGGCACTTTGAGCATATGGTCGCGGGGTAAAGGCGCCTCGCCAAGTCACCAATATTCCGCCCCCGTAATAATTTACGTGAACTATTAGAATGGATTTATGGTGTAATAAATCGACTCTACGCCCTCCTCGCTTGGCATGAATGGCAGTCGCTGCCTGATCTCTATCATACTTGTGAATGAAGGTTTGAAGCAGGGGGAGTCTACCCAGTCAACGACCCACATGGCGTATGAGATGCTTCCTACACCAAAGGTAGACGACCCAAACCCTATTTAAAAGAAAGAAGGACAGCGAGGGAGGCGACGCGGACGTTTGCACTCTAAAGTGTATGTATGACGTGACACCGAAAGCAAAGGATGCTATGGGTAACAAGAAATGACTAAAAGTGCGTATTCGATTAGGACTTGTTGATGTTTGCCTTCTCGGCAATCTACACCTGCCCTACTAAGCTGGTTAATACTTCCCAGCCCTTCTTGGAGAAGGCGCCAAGGTTTCCCATATTTACTAGGATGTGCGAGCGTTCACTATTGCCGAGCTCTCCTGCTATTCTGGCTAATTTGTGTCTTCGCGGCAGCCTGTAAGGCAATAAACTCGAACCAGCGGGGCGAAAGGCTACGACGGTGAACTGCGAAACACGGGAATGGTTCCTGTAAATCCCCGCAAGTTTAATAACGACGATCCCTCTCAACAATTCTCCGACTCACTCTTATTAAGTGCACATATTTAGGCGATCGTATATCAGCCGCGGTAGTTTAAGATCGCCTTATCATTATAAATTGCGAGAAGAAACTCCCTTGTATGGCCAGTCATGGAGGCCTTCGATTTACATTTACTGCATGTTGCGACTATGTCCATGAAGTCCAGTCACTGTCAAAGTCACTGCTGGAAATTCTAAACACGGCGGGGATGATTTTACGATGTTCGTTGTCTTGGCTTCATATTATCTATTTTCCCGGCAGATTGTCGTTCTACAGTTCTTCGCGCAGTTTGTCTCGGTATCTGATCTCGGTAGATGACAATGACAAGTCAAAAGTCTATATCTTGGATCGTAACGCCAGGTTTTCCACAGTTAACATTATCATCGATGCAGCATCCTCTGAAACTTATGATCGCCCAACCAAACATATATCTCCGAAATGCAAGTACAGATAAGATTTATCGGGGCGGTGGTTCTCCTGGGGCTGTCGTTGCTGGGCACCGCCCTGGCTGACAAGTCTGCCGGCTGTGGAAAGGACCCGACTATGACCAATAAACAGTACACGATGACTGTGAACGGCAAGCAGCGGGAGTACATCATGAAGCTTCCCGATCACTACGACAAGAACCGTCCTTACCGTCTTATCTTTACATGGCACCCGCGAGGCGGCAGCGCAACCAAGATCGTACAGGGTGAAGACATACACCACGGCGGTGCGCTTCCTTACTACGGGCTTCCTCCGCTAGCCAACAACAGCGCCATTTTCGTTGTGCCCAACGGCCTCAACAACGGCTGGGCCAACTCGGGCGGGGAGGACCTTACCTTCTTCGACCAGATGGTTAAGGCGGTGGAGGCCGACCTCTGCGTCGACACCACGCTGCGCTTTTCGACTGGATTTAGCTATGGCGCCGCCATGTCGTATGCGGTCGCCTGCGCCCGCCCTCAAGTGGTTCGCGCCGTTGCGATCCTGTCCGGCGCTCAGCTTAGCGGCTGCTCCGGCGGAACTGATCCAGTGCCGTACTACGGTCAACACGGCACGTCCGACTCGGTGCTGCAAACCTCGATGGGAAGGTCACTGCGCGATCATTTCGTCAAAAACAATGGCTGCACACCCGTTTCGCCCGAGCCAACGCCTAACAACGGAAAGTCGGTCAAAACCGTGTACCAAGGTTGCAAACAGGGATACCCAGTTACTTGGGTCATACACAAGGGAGATCACAATCCATCTGAGACCGACCCCGGGTCGTCGACTCCGTTTGCACCTGGCAACACATGGGAGTTTTTTTCACAGTTTACATCAGTATGAGCATGACAGAAGTATTTAAAGAATACACTAAGGTACTCATGGTCAGTGCCATCAAGTTCCGTCGTTGTAACTGCACAAAGACCACATCCCATACACCATACTAGAAATCTTTTCTATACACGTACCTGTACCCTGTAACCCCCCCCCCCCCCCCCCCGGTCGGTGTATCTAACTCTACGTTTATGTTACATAGTAGGAAAAGACTCTCTTCCTTCCAAATAAAGGATTTACATCTGTTAAAATTACAATAAATTAAAAACCTGGTTGTAAAATTAACTACACATTAAAGAGTCATTATTACATACAGCCTTACTTTACGGAAGCCTAACATCACACTACGATATGACACGGTTTAGTAAAACAATATAACTATAACAGGCTGAAGGCCCGAGAGTCACTAAGTAACACGTAAACTGGGACAGTGGCCAGACCAACAGACGTCTAATCAGAAGACCATACGTTCAACTAAGTGGCGGTGCTCTGATCGGAAGTCCACAAGTCGACCCACGAAAAAGGGGTTTTTAACGCGATAAGTACGGTTTGTTTCCTTTCTCCTCTTCTTTTACTTCTTTTATTTATCGCTAGAATTGATAACCTTATGAACCCAACTGATGCTACCAACTTGCCGAATGCCCTTATCGGTGTCAGTATTTTGGCTAGCAAACACGTATATTATGGCGCTACTAAACTACAGCCATCCCATAAAGTTTAACACTTTAACGCATACCGCGAATTCTCACGTAAAATTATCTCCTGATGGTGCCTATATATTCTGGCCATCGCCTTAATACGTACAAACAAACGATCAAAATAAAAAAAATTCTACTGTCTTATACCGCCTCCAGATGCAAAGAGCGCATCCTTCTCGCGCTTGATCTTTGCAAGCTCGCGTTTCTCTCGGTCCGTTAGGGAAAGTACAGGCGGGTCGTTGTGCCCATAAAGAGCCGGCTCCAAAACTTTGACGGACGTTTTGGCAGACGCCGGCAGAAGTCGATGCCCAGTAATGACGATCTCCATGAGGTGGTGCAAGTTTTTCTTGCCGCGGATGTTGGGCCCGAACCCGCGTTCCGCTTTCATGATGCAGCCCCGTGCGAACGAAAGGACCCATAGAATCCAATGACAGGCCTTTTCAGCCGTCTCTGCAGGCGGTGGGAATCGAAACTCGATTGTGCCACCTGGTAGTGCTTTAAGATTGACGTAGTAAAACCTGTCTTCGAACAGCTTTCCTGCTTCCGTTGTTGTCTCGAGTTGATCCAAAAAGCCGAAGAGCTGCTCGGGTCTTCCATTGCGGACGTCGTCGGCAAATAGACACAGCTTGTTCACTTTCCCGTTTTGGTCGGAGAGCAATGACCGCGTGTAGAAGGTGTCACGACGGCTTGGGGGCAACATTGCTGTGAAGGGCTGATCAAGGACGCATAGGGCCTTGAGGATTGCCCGCACTTCGTCAACCTTCCACACATCCCCGTTGACGTTGTGCGGCCTCACGTGCACATGTGTGCCGCTTAGTTGACTTGTGGCAATGTCGAAGTGACTGCCAAGAATGCTGTAGATTTTGAATATGACAGGTGCCCAAGGTGTATCAGTGCTCATGACGTCAGAAACCAATTCAACGCCAACTATGAAGCAAGGTAACATTGTTAGTATGAGCTTCCTATCAAACCATAACACTTCTGTTGCCCTGTCCTTAACTTACAGTAGCCGTCTGGCTCGCCTCTCACAAGAGATCCATCCTCCGTGACGCTCCAGTCTTCGTAGTCTTTGCTCATCCCAAGCACGCATTTAAACGTATGGGTGGTCAAGATTTCGTGGACAAGGTCCTGAATCTTGTCGCGATAGTGGCCCTTGCGTTGACTGTCCCCGCCCCAGCCAACAACTTCCTTGGCTGTATCAATTTCGGCTGTGTTCTTTGGTCGTAAGTAAAGCTCGAGCTCTACGCCGAAGGTAAATTGGTATACTTCACGGACCCGGGGATTTGTGGAAGCCATGGTGCAAGTAGATTTTAGTGTGTAGGCGTGCCAAATTTGTTGTCGAATGGCATGAAAAAAGAGAAGACTGGTATGATAAACGGGAGTTGGGTTGCAACTTTATCTGACGATGGGAAGAGAATGAAAGTCGACTGGCGCAGCTTCAAGCAAAAAAAAGTTTGGAAAGTAGGACGATAAGCCGGGACAACACCTGCTGCTTCAGTGAATGTCGGTTTCGTTTAATATCTTATTCATAGTCCTTTCTTCGTTTGCCTACGTTGACATTGTTCGTGATTTGACGTTCTATAAATGGTAATACGGGCCATTTAAGACAACCAACCTACATTTACTACAAAGTGTCATCTATAACGACGCCAACTAACAAACTCAACTACGGACAGCATTGACCACATCCACAGCATCTAGGACAAGTTGTACTGGACTTTTTTTTTGTCAGGGCACCAGAGACGTTCGCGACAGAACAATATACTCAAAGATACTATACAGTAAAACAATATTCACAAAACTCATACAATAACGAAGGGCGGTGATTCAATGGCTACAATTAGCCTTGTGTTTGCGAGTCACAGATCTGATTTATTTCCTTACCAGGAATCCTACGCATGGTTCGTACAAAACAAAGTACAGACCAAAAGGACGTCAATGTGTATGATTTCCTGTCAATGCACTGTAAACTATTGTTGTGCTAGTCTCCTAGCTTCGTAAAGGCTAAACAGCACTTCTTCACAATAGTCTCAACATTTTCCTATGTACGAGAGATTGAATGAATATGAATCTGCGTCTCGGTCAAAATAACTGTTCACTGGTCTGTCATACAAGCCAAATTCACGTCCAAAGCAAACTAGCACGGTATGTCAAAAAGGTATTGCAAACAATCAGAACCACGCAAGTGAGTTATACTTCGTGCCTGCCTAGGAAGCCAGCGCGAGCTCTGTACTTCGTACCACCGTACCGTTATAGTGAGGTCGTACAAACGTGCTTAGTCCTGGGCGGGCCCTGATTGGCTGCTTTAGACCCAATTAGGTCCGCTGAGAGCCGTCGCACGCTAGCTCTATGATCTCGACGTACAGTGACTCAATGCACACAATTAAAATTCGCAGGGAAAGGGCGAAAATATGAAATCGCCACCAAGCAAACAGTTTATTATGCTCCATCTTCCTTCGCAACTATCCCGTTCTTGTCTCATCCCTTTTCCCCTTATTTCTCTTCTCGCACTCGCCATCTTCCAGAACCAAGCACAACGCCAATTCTCAAGATCTCTGACATTTCCCATCACTTCCATCGATTGCACTGTCGCCATCGCAACAACTCTGTTCTCTTTCGCCATTGTTTTGTATTCGCGCAACGTTCTCGTGACACTTTCGGTACGCTCGTTTTCAATACAATTCTGTGGAACCCCCTCCATCTTATTATTCGTTAACAAAATCTATGGAATGCAAAAAAAAAAAAAAAAAAAAAAAAAAAAAATAAAAGTCTACTAACTCATTCCTTTCTGTAGGTCCGCGACAAAACACCAGGATGGCGCCCCAAAGAACAGACACATACGACCCATGGGGCCCAGATGCATGGGTGGAGGCTGGACTGGCCAGTACACTCGGCCTCCCTAAGAGAAATGGGACAATCCCCGTCAGCCTTGGGCCCGACAGTGTGTTCCAGACGGCGCAACAGGTACAAAAGGCACTCGATTTGACGTTTTTGCCTAGAACCATCAATGCCACGGTGACTCCATCGAAGGTGGTACACCGGCCTCCAGGCTCGAGTTCTGCTCCCCAGCGCCCAACGAACGTTGTGTGCTGCCTGGTTCCAGGTGACGCCTGGTGTGACTTGGTAGGGATTTGCAACGTTCGCACCGGCGGGTTTGTACCTATCGACGGAAAGTCCATCTACTTGCATATCCCGACTGCCTTTGTTGACGAGCTCACAAAGACATTGACTCGTACAGAAGAACAAAAGGCCCGGGACCGCGCCGACAAGCAAGTCATCGAGAAGTATGCCGACTTTTGGGCGCGTAAGGACGAAATGACGCGGGCCGAGCGGATTGCCTGGATGCGCGAGGAAATCGGCAAACTAGAAGCCGAAAAGGAGGCGAATAATGGCTAGAAAACACTTAATAAACATAAGGGACTTAATGATGCAAAAGCACATGTATTTACCATAACTCCGTAATTATAACTAAGTATTTCGGCCACAGATAGATCACTACTGCATGAACGCAAGTGAATTCTGGCAGAAATAGAAGCTACTGTAAAAAATGGGATGCAAGCAACCTTTGAACATGAGAGGTGCTCGTTAGATGCAAAGTAGAGAACAAAATAGTATGATTCAAGCACGGTGGCAATAAATATAACTTGCCAATTAATTAGTGGGACCTGATAAGTTCTGTGAAATTTAATTTATATTACGCGCGACAACCGGTGAACAGTACATTCACTTTATTATAAAACATGACAATGAATATATTTAGCTTGGAGTGGCACAACCTTCGTCTTCCCAGCAACAAGGAAGTCGCTAGCAGTCAGCGGCTCGAAACATCGAGCTCCAGAACGAAAACACCGATCGACACAAGCTTTAAAATCCCGTCGTCAGCACAGCCGTTGCGGATTTTGTTACCTTCCCGCCTCGCTGGCTGATGGCTGAAGGCACATTCCGGCCACCGCGGTATCATCGTAACACCATGTCAGAATTCATGGGACTCATTTCTGGCAGCTATGATGTAAGGGCAGCTGCAAGAGAGCTTGCTGCCAGACAGTTCGTCGCCCCACAATATTAAAGGTGGCTATGGACCTGTTGCTAGCAGTTTTCCGCAGGCAACCAAAGCAGAGCTGGCGCCGCAATGAGATGAACATGGGGCCATGACTTTTGAGATTGAGAGCTCACTGATGCTGGGCGTGACTGAGCGGTCGCTGCTGAAATGCTAGAAGGTACAGAACCTGTACAACTGGGGCGAGCTGAGCGTCGTTTTGGGCAGCCGTCCCAGCAGGGTCAGGGGAGGAAGGAAGAAAAGAGCATCCATGGTGTTAACAGTATCTGGGAAGGGTTGGGTTATGTAAGGTGCAACAAACTCAACATTTGGTTATGGTATTTTGTTTGCGTGGTTTAGCATGGCTCCTAAGACGCACGGCGTATTAGCGAACGCCGAATGAGTGGCGACTTTTATTGCCTCCTGACGTAAGTATACGCCAACTCCTACCACTCCTTGTGCTGTTGCTTGCTTACCTTACCCGTGTCCGCACTTACCGGCAATTCACCCCGGCTCTTTCACTGTATTAGGCGAAAGCCTTCGGTCACAGCGCTGAACTTTGCGCCCATCTCCGTACAATGCATAACTCATCGTAAAATTGGCACATCGTCACCATCATATTGGTCCATTTCGGTTCTGCCACCACCACTTTCTTGCCTTCGTCTTGGCCTCCTCATCGCCCAATTTCGCCATGCCCAACCTCCGGAAGCGACGTACGCCCTACACAACAGTAGCTTGGTTGGTACAAACGCGCCTCTGCTTGCTATTCCGCCTTTCCCATTCGCTAACATATTGACTTCACAGCGTGTATGTCCCTTGTGCCGTTCCATTTTTAGCCACCTATTAACGGCGTTCAATCAATAACCGTTGTCCATGTGCACTGACAGCTTTTCCTGCAGGTCCTGCAAACAGAGAAAGACTAAATGTACCGGCGAACGGCCATGTCGTGGATGCAGGCGCATGGGTGTTTCGTGCGCCTACGAGCGTGCCACACGCTTCCAGAACCAAAACAGACAAGGCGCGGACACTGCAGCGAAAGAGCGCCGCTATAAACGCCATCGATTTTCCAATACCAACCAACCAGCATCGACCGGCATCTGGTCCAACACATCTGCGTCTGAAAATGATAGAACCTGGTGCCGCTTTCCAGCTGCGGCCCACAAGCATCGACTACTATCTACGTCTGGCAGAGAAGCGCCTAAACGCATTGAACCCCGACGAGGCTGTCTCGTCGCCACCAGGAAGCCAGACACCCATCATAGGAGAGCGCACAATACAGATATTGTCGGAGGCGCGGCAGCGCGATTGTCCCGGTGCAGCCTTAGCTGCTTTCAGCCTCGACCACTGGAAAAGCATCCTGCAGGTCTGGGCCGAAGAGGTCGGCTTGCAATACCCATTTCTCGACACCGAAACACTGGCTCTCGGCTCTCGACATCGTGGGTGCGTTTCGTGAGAGCCAGACTGCAGGCCAGAACGACACCAGCCCGACATCGGGCTACTCTGCGCCGGCCGGGACACCCAACACCAATCATCGCAGACATGTGGAAGACACGGCCATTCTCCTCCTTGTGGTCGTAGCCATTCTTGTAGACCCCACGCTTGTCTCAACAGCGAACCCCCTTGCGGAGGTCATCTACCGCGACGTCTTGATCCGGACGCACCTTGCTGACGTCGACCGGGACGATGTCTCTTTAATGACTATATCTGTGGCAGAGAAGTACTGGCATGGCGTGTCATTAGCGGCGTTATGCGCCTCTTGCAAGAGGAACGCGTTCTGCAAAACTACGACGATCCAGAGGTGTTCGCGACGGCCTCGTCAGCTGCGGCCGGAGACGACCGGCTCTATTGGTCTGCCTTCACCATGGAGCGTCGTTTCAGCTTTTCGACCGGGCTGCCGTTTGCCGTTCGGGACTCTGATATCCAGCACTGGCCACAGTTTTCCGACACATCCATTTCCACCGCTTACCTAAAAAGTATGGTCGACTACTGCCGTATCTCATCCGAGGTACGCAAGCTCATTTTGCTGCCTGCGGCACCACCAGCACCCTTCGCGTTGACCGCTACGCGCGACTTTCTCGATTTCCGCGTTGTTCAGTGGCAGAAAAACCTGCCGTCTGCGCTTGTGTTTCATGGCGCGCGTGATACATTTGATTCAAGCCGTGAACGCCGTGGTGAGTATCGACTTCGCCTGATTCTATATCTGCGCGGCAGTCAGATGCGCACGGTCATCCACCGCAAGTCAGGCTTGGCTGCATTGTCATCTAGAACGGCCACCACGACTGCATTCGACCCGGCCAGTGCCAATACACTCGCCCTGATTGCCCAGGACACCATCCGCATTCTTGTTACACTGGCACGCGATACCGACATCTACCACGCCCAGCTCAAAACGTTTAACCACTTTCTCGAGACTGCCCTGACATCTCTACTTTTATGCGCAGGCACAGCAAAGAGTACAGCCTTTTTGTCCTTTCTGCCTGACGTCATGGATGCTCTGGCGCTTGTGGAACGTCTGTCGGTACAGTCGCCCATAACGAAGGCTTTGGCGGTGAAGCTCAAGCGTAGTCAGGGTGTGGTCAATGCCTGTCGGTTGCGCATGGAACAGAAACAGGAGTCTGCTGTGGCACGAGAGGGAGAAGAGAATGAGGTTGAATTCGGAGGTGGGCCCCTCACGCAAAATGCTACACTCCTTCCTGCTGAGGAGTACTTCCTTGCTCCGAGTGGTCACGAGCGTCAGCCTAATATACCAGAGCAAAAAGTACTTGGCCTGGTGCACCCAACGTCGCTAGATCCAAGTGTGCAAGTGCCTTTGCCGAGTCCAGTGTCTGACCAGCGCCTCTCGTCTGACCTGGGGCGTTTCTTTCCCCCGGATCCTCTGCTTCAGTCCGTTGACGATAGAGGCCATGATAACACCAGGACAGGTGCGCCCACGAGTGACGCAGCAGGCATGGGCTTGCCGTCATCTCTCGACGTCAACTCGCCAATGTTTGAGTTATTGAGTGTAGGCAACATCCTTGATGATTACGAAAATTTTGCATTTTAAGCTCACTGAATAATATCCTTGGTATTTTATTTTATTTGAATATTTGCAAGGCTTCTTCCTCTTTCAAATGATGATATCCTCTGCTCAAAGACATGGATAGTATGCTCGTGCGGATTTTCAGGTGCTCCACCTGGTTGTGCCGGTGGTTCACCGCGGCATTGCACACTAGGCGGTGCAATCCCAAGCTCTTGTAACCAAAACTGTGAAATCACCGTCACATGAACATTAAAGTAACTCTACGCCAACTACATAGTGGCCTAATGAATCGTTGCCATCGAGAACAAGACTTTACTCAAAAGAGCGTTACTTCACACCAGACTGTGGCCATAAATGGACCTAGTCAAGAAAATATACACACAATGCCTACAACCGCTTCAAACTGCTGATGTAGCGGCTTCATCAATTCACGCTCCTGCAAATATTTCCATTCTTGCTATCTCGATCCAACCGACACGTCCTGTTACCAAAATGGCCCTCAACACGTCCGCCCAGAACTGCAAACGATCATTAGTCAGGTCAAAAGCCCCATCTACCTCGCTGGCGACGGACCAGTCGCCGGTTTGATCAAGTGTGTTGAGCAACGGAGTCTCAGCCGTGTAGGCCACCAATCGGTTTGGTGTTGTACCTGCCGCAAACTGTAGCAGCTGGTCCGCAAACCACTCTGACACACGGCGGTCTGAACAGCGCAGGTCACGGTGAAAAACCATAGGCAGTATGTCAGCGGTATGCGTGACGGGCCAGTCCTTGGACCAGTGCTCGGTGGCATAATCAAAAACATAGCGGTAAAGTGATTTTGGAGCCGGTGGCAAGCTCTGTGACGAGGTCTGCAAAAATGGCCGGGAAAAGAGTATGGCTGATTTGTTGTATCGGCAGTGTCCTTCGAGCGCCACAGAGACGTGGTTGAGATCGGGAACAGCGGGCGTACGAGACACGGAATGTCAAAGGAAGGACGTTGAGTCGGCGTACAGCTGTGCCGCACGCTCCCGGAGTGTTTGAGTGGCGTCAGGCGGTACGCGACTTTTAATGAAAATAATCTCCGCTATCCAATAAACAGCCTTCAATGTGCTCTAGTTTTTGTTCTATTGTCGTTGCTTTGCCATAGACGTACCATGACATACAACTCTGCCGTGTTAGCTAATCAGTGGGGGCATATGCAATACTGTCGGACATGAAATGTGTCAAAATGGAATCCATTCTATTCTATTGGCCAGGGTCTGCACAAAACAAGACCAAAGACAAGAAAAAAAAATTCAAATAGAAGCGCCGTTCAGAACCTGTTGGTACAGAGCTCGGGCAAGTGGAAGAAGAAGTATGAACGAGAGAAAGAAGAGTGAAAAAAAAGCCAAAAAAAGTTTCCAAGTATATACACGAAATTTGCCAGTTGGAAATATAACCCTTCTTTGGTTATTTGATCATGTAAAACAAGTCATAACTCCCCCAAAGTGTCCCATTTAAAAAAGCATCCATGCAGCCCAGGCACCCGTCAGGGCCGCGGCGGCGCGCAGAGAGCCTGCAACCCCGGCCGAGGCACCCGACACAACGACGGTCGACGGTGACGTTGATCCCGATGAGGCCGTGGCTGACGTGGAGGGGCGGACGGTGCCCGTGCTAACAACTGCAGCGGTGTTCGAGGGGGCGCCAGCCAGCGTGGTCTTGGACAAGGTTGTAGCAGGCTCCGCGGTGCTCGTGGTCGGCTTGGCAGCGGCAGACGACGACTGCTTGATAGAAGGAGTGGCGACAGCAGCCGAGCTGGAAGAGACGGCGGCGGCCGACGAGCCGGAAGAGACGGCGGCAACGGACGTTGACGAGCTGTTGCTCGTGGTCGGCGCGGTGCTGCTGCTTGACGTGGTGGTCTGTGACGTGGTCAGACGGGGCGTCTCGGACAAGGACGAGGATGACGACGACGCAGAGGAGGACGCGGAGGAAGGCGCAGAGGAGGACGGGACAGGAATGGGGGCACGGACGACGGACGACGCAGCGGAGGACGGGGAGGACGAGGAGGGACCGGGAACACGCACGAACGACGCATTGTGCGACACGGAGGGCCGCACGGAGGGCCGCGCGTAGGACGAAGAGGGCATGGACGACGAAGAGAGCGGAGAGATCATAGAGAACGGGGAGGACGAGGAGGGAACGGGGACACGTACGGACGACGCATTGTACGACACGGAGGGTCGCACGGAAGGCCGCACGGAGGGCCGCACCGAGGACGAAGAGGGCACGGATGACGAAGAGAGCGGGGAAAGCGGGGAGATCGTGGAGAACGTAGAGTTGCAGCGCACCGTCGAGGTGCTCGTGGCGGTCATGGAGATCGTATCGGTCGTGGTGGAAGTAATGGAGAAAGAAGAAGAGGAGGGCGAAAGAACCGAAGAAAAAGCAGACTGGCTGCTGTCACTGCTTACCTGTTGGCTGTTGCCGGTGGACTGGCTGGTGGCAACAAAGACACCAGGCGAGTTCACCTGCGTAGCCGCAGTAGACGAAGAAGAAGAAGAGGTAGTGGGAGGCACAACAGCGGCCGGCGACGAGGTGGTCGGGACAGTCGAAGCGGCAGCAGACGAAGAGGACACCGCAGCGACGGCGGTCTTAAGCTTAGCGGCAGCAGACGATGAGCCCGAGCTGCCGCTGGCAGACGAGTCAGACTCGCTGTCGCTAGACAGGGCCACGCTGGCCGAGACCTCCTCACCAGATGAGGCGTCAACGCACTTGCCCGAGGGGTACTCGATGTTGTAGACGTGCGTGGAGGTCAGAGATGTCGTCAGGCCCAGGGTGTGCGGGCAGCTAGGCTGATTGCTCACGCTGAGGTCGAGCGTGCAGGTCTCGTCGTAGCCCAGCGAGCAGAGCGGGTCGGCAATGTTGTATAGCACGTGGTTCTGGCCGACCCAGCTGCTCGAGTCCGCCAGGCAGCTGGCGACAAAGTTCATGCTATTGGAGGCCGACAGCGGCAGCTTGTTACCGGGAGTCTTGATGAGCGAAGCGCACTCGGAGGCGTCGACATCCTCGTACTCCATAGCAACACCGCCGCCGGCAATGGGGTCGACGGTGGCCGACGAGCCAGTCTGAAGGTAGTTCCAGGCGTCATAGCTGATGTCGTGAGCGCCACCCGACTGGTCGATCCGCAGCAGGTGCACGGAGCGGTCGCCGTTGGTGACCTTAACACACAGGTTGTTGCAGTCGACGGATCCGGGCCAGTAGGCAACACGGTTGGTATCGATATAGCAGCCGAGAACGCCAACCGACGATGAGTAGCTGTCGTGGGGTGTGACCGAGACACCGGTGGCAATAGCGGCGCGAGCAGCCGCCAGGGCAAGCAGAGCGCTGGTGGTGGAGAACATGTTGATCAAATATGTGGAATGTTGTACAAAGTGTGCAAGTGGTATCAAAAAGAATGGCGACTTCCTGAGAATTGATGATACTTGTTGGGATCTGCGTGTGATCCGAGGCGAGACAGTCGTGCTAGAAGATGTTGCTGTGTTGTACAGAGAGAGCTGAAAGCATAAAAGCTACCGTAACCAGAGGTAGAATGAGAGAAAGAAACAGGCGCTCGTTGGCCGTGTTTGGTTGTATGAGAAAGAAAAGAAGAGTCGTCAAGACTGCAAGGACGAAGAAGTCGTCGTTGATTGTTGCTGTTTTGCTGATGTTGGTAAGAATGAGAGTGGCCGGCCACTGGATATGCGGATGCGGCAAGAAAATGAGTGTAGTTGCGAAAAGCACGAAGAGAGGATGAAGGTGAGGAAGGGATGAGAGGAAAGTGGAAGAGATCCATTTCCCCAGTTCACGGGAAGCGGGCCCAGGTGCCTTTAAGTACGACGTACGGTGGCCACCATCTGGAGGGAACAAGGAAGGAACGATGAACCACAACCGAATCTAGATCCGCTGCATGCTACGCACATTGGGAAAGCGCGTCGGAGCGGAGACAGAGCTGGATGGCACGAGTGGGGCTGAATGGTTTTTTTGGGGTTTTTTTTTTATTCTCTCTTTTTTTTTTGCCTCCTCTCTTGCCTTCGCGGTCGTTCCTTTCCTCCTTCGGGCACACCTATCCATGCATCGTTTCTTCTTTCTTCACATCGTTTTGTGGTCCCTTGCGGCCTCAGGACGATGTGTGCCTGCTCCTTCCGCTTTGTGGTTGTCGCCCCTGGACAGGTTAGACAGGTACCCGCCTCTGCCCCTGCTCCTTCCTGGCGGAGTCTATCCCTGTCAACTTATTCCATTCTTTACTAGCTTCCTAGCTCCAGGTCCTCCAAGGGACACATCAGGGCAGGTGGAGACCGGTTGGCATCAGCAAAGGGGAGAATCCGTGACTTTGTTGTCGCTATTCGTGGCTTTGTTGTATTGTTATACTGCATCTCTCTTATGCCAGTCTCTCCCTTGCTGTCTGTCCGTTTCCATAACTGTTGTTGTTTTCGTCCAACTTTTCTTTATGAGCTGGTTTTTGTTGTTGTGCCTGTCGGGGTGTTTGTCGTTGACATGTCCTTGTGGCCGGCTGTGATTGGTTGTGTGCCTGGCGCTAGTCCTAAAGTGGACCTGGTTGCATGCTGACTCGCACGGGCCACAGGGGTGAGCCACCCCTCAGAAATAGGTCGTTTTGTTTCTCTTTGTTTGGGACTCTCCATCTCGGAGGTGTGGCCCAGAGGTCTCTTTCTTCCTTTGGTCTCTTTGTCTCGCGTTCCGCGGGTCTCCACTACACAAAGGGTGTATGAGCCACTAGAAAAATTCTGCGATTCTCAACTTCCAGCACCAGGAAAGTCCCCGAACGGTAGCCGTCAGGCATCACGACGGCCTCATAATGGCGTGATTTCTGGTTTGTCCACAAACTTCGCGCCGCATGGCGTCCACACCACATCCAGATCGGGAAGAGGCACCGACGATGCGATGAATGCTTCTTTGTCCTCAATGGGATCGAGAGCAGTCCGTTGTAGCATCGCTTCAGGGGAGCCTCGATGCACCATCTAGCCGACTAAATGCCGATTCTTGATAGCCTTTGTGCATGTAGGCTCAGTGTTCGGAGTTCTTACTTCGTAAGATCTTACTTGGTTAGGCATCGAGCAGTGTGCAACAGAGTTTTCGCACGTCTCTTTGTTCTAACTGCGAGACCGGCGCACCACTGTAAGAATCTGCACTTTGTGCCAGACAAGTTACATCACCATGCCGGCAAAGCTTTGGCGGCTCGTTGGGACTTGTATTGGATATCTTGGCTTCTGAATGCAGCGGCCTAGACTCCCAAAATCCGGTCTACGGCCGTCAAGGCCTGCATAAAGGACGCATCGATAAGCGCAGTGCGTAAGATGTTCAAACACTTACAGCAAAGAAATCGATGTATCTTCCTTTTCCCACTAGAATGCTCTCGCCAAAAGATAGCGATGGACGCAAAAGACAATGTACATAATCGCTCATACTAACTGCAAAGTGTCAACATGCGTCTTTTTGTTCTGGCCAAAACAATAAGCAGAAAATAACTCCAGGTTGGCGTTTGACAAATGCTCTGAAATCGTTCGATTCCAGAACTTGCGTGCTCTCTACAAGGCGAGTGCCTTGCCCTGCTGCTTTGCTGCCCTTAACCTACAATCTCTGAGTATCAAATACGGTTACCACAACCTCTGTTAATCCAACACCACAGTGGCGGAGACAGCTCATGCAACAAGTCCAATCCGAGCAACATTCGACCCCTGGGCTTGACAAACGGTTTCCGTTTTCCAGCCTAATACACTGCCTTCAGTTCGGGCCTCTTGACCGAACGGTTTACTTGTTTGCATCACGCATTTCAGAGGATGCACCAAGACCACAGTTCCACATAAATTTTGCTTTTCCGTTCGCGGAAAGGGTCCCGACCAAGGAGGCAAAACTGGCAAAGATAGAAGCAAGAGGAAAATAAGATCGGATAACTTGGCCACCTGGACTGGTCTAGAACGGATTCGCCATGCTCGGCGTGGATGCCGTTTAGGCAGTTAAGCGATTGTCATCTGTAGTCGATGGATGCGTTCTCTTTGTGCGTTCTTTTTTCACCCGACACCCGTCGCCTTCGCGTGAAATCTCTGTAAACGACGCAAATCGTCATGTATATCCGTACATGGAAGAGGGCCGAGACTACTTGTCCTTTCGTACGTCATAAGTGGGTTCCTATTGTTTCTTCCTTGGGTCCAGGCCGGATTTTTACAACTAATGGGGTAATTTCACTGCGACTGCGCCCGAACAACTTTGCCGCCCACTCGCCCAGTCACCCAATTTGGTGCGTTTGTAGTGTGTGTTCTGTTTCAGTGCATAGCCGCTACCGTGTCCTTGCGTTAGAATGCTCCAAGCGCGGCATACGCTGGGCTGGGCTGCAGGGCCATGACAGCCCCTTGCAGGTGCCCAAAAGGCATGGTCAGTTGCATAAATGGGTTATTCACCTCCCATCGGGGCGCAATACGCTGCTGCATGCATATACATTTGAGAGGCTACTATCGCTTTCCTAGAAAAAAAAAAAAAAAAAAAAAAAATGTTAATACATCCGTTCGTTGTTTTGATCATCTGTTGTCCTGCTGGTTAAGCTTCCTCGCCGCAATACGAAGAGGAAGTGAACCTCCAGAACATTTCTACGTAGGGCGGCCGTTCACAGCTCTCCCTGACGTGCGCGACCCCTTTCTCTGACACCTTTCCACGTGTGTGCGAGCCCAGTACCGGGCATTGTGAGCAAAATTAAAAGGCCGTGTAGGTACAATTGGGCCCAACGAGGGCGAGCAAAAAGATTGTCTCCTCAAAGAAGAACAACAGAAATTGAGAGTAATGGGTCTGGGCAATGGTCATCTGATAGCGTCGAGTCTCTTTTGCCAGCACTTCATCCGCCCTGTGCTGACCAGATTGACGTACGGAGGAAGGGAGGCTGCTGTGAACACCAGTTCTTGATGAGATCTACCACCACACTTGGGATCACCATACAAATTCGACTTTGTGAGATGTAACACACTGTGCGTTACTTTTACTTGGGCGGGGATATTGGCCCACCAAAGTTCTCTGTAAAATCCACGCTTGTCAAGTACCACATATCATCTTCTCGTGATCCAGCTGCCACGTGGGTATGGCAACACGATCTGCTGTCTGTTTTCCTGGACACAGCACATGGTGTACAATTGAAAATTGTCTATTCAAAACGGGTGGTGTCCGCGTTACGTTTACATACCCCGCGGCCTGCACCAATTCTTAGTTGCGGATTGTATGTCGTGAATGGGGTACTACAACGTACGGCAATATTTAAAGTAACTTACCAGAATGTCGCACATCATCAAAGTATGCAATATAAGTATATGAACACGCAACATAAAACACATCGACAATGGGCCGATTGTTGGTACTTCCACACGAGTCAAGAGGAGAAAGGCGCTCTTGAAGTACCGGACATCCGAGGGGGCTGAATCGAGCAATCGTTGACATATAAAAAGGCACATTCCCATCCACAAGTGATTTGCAGACAGCCACGCCGCGACGTAAAACATTTTCAATACCAAAAAGCAAAGACTCAGCATCAACCAACCCGAAATTGCAGAGGAAATTCACCTTCTCAATTCGCTCAACATGGCCGATGGAGCAGCTTTACCGCCTCTCATCCGCCCGCCCACGGAGAACCAACTTGCAGAAGATCTTCCAGGTCCTACCGTTTTTGTGACTGGTCATGCTGACGACGGCACGGCCGTGCTACACTCACGTCGGCCGGTGAAGTGGGCCACGTACGGTGAAGGTGAAATGCAAATGTCTGTGGGCTGGACCACGGCGTCATTCCCATGTGACCTCAGCGACGATCGCGATATTACCGCCCATGATTTGCGCATGGCCCAAGGCCCTGGAGCAACAGGTCTGGTCGTGGGTGGTGGCACCGTGTTGCGATACGTGGATTTTGCCCCGGGATATGTGTGCATGATGCACAGGACAGTGTCGGTGGACTACGGTATTGTCTTGGAGGGTCGGGTGGTGAGCGAGCTGGACTCGGGCCAGACAGCTGTGCTGGAGCGTGGCGATGTCATGGTGCAGCGAGCAACGATGCACGCATGGCGTAATCCGAGCAAGACGGAGTGGGCGCGCATGATATTTTGCCTACAAGCTTGTGAAGCGCCACGGACCAGAGATGGCCAAGTGCTCAAAGAAGACCTGGGACGAGGCACGGAGGGTATTCCTGCTTCCGGTAACAACAGTGCAGACGAGTAGTGTATCCTTGAGGTCAAGCTGAATGGTGCTTCATTTTGTTATGTGCATTGTACAGCACAATTTTATCCATCTGTCGTGCATAACTACTCGTTTAGAACCATCTACTTTCTACTTACGGTGAACCTTGTCCTGCCATAGACCGAGACCATAAGTCCTCCAACACAGCCTCACCACGCCATGTTTTCTGTGGCCAAGCTACAGTGCTGGCATGACGTTTGGCATCGTTCCAGTGCGGTGCGTCTAATGCGTCTGCCCAAATGCGCATTTGTGTGCGGAACCATGCTCCTAAGTAGTACTCGGGCGGCACTACGCTCGGCGTGGCTGGGGCGAATCTTGGGAAAATAAACGGCGTTGCTGCTGATGGTATTTTGTGCCCCTCGAAATCGATACCGGCTTGGTCCAGTAGTATCGGGTTGATGGATGAATCGTTCGCAACTCCGGTAGTCGGCTGTGCCTGTGAGCGGGCGCTCTTCTCCCGTGCCGCCTGCTCATCCTCACGACGTGTATTTGCCACAGCATATGCCCCGACCAAGACTTGCCAGATCCAGAGTCCACAGCTATACGTGCCAAGTTTCATAGACTCGCGAGTACGGTCCAATTCGTCACAGATTCTGTCAAGTAGCCAACGACAGAGCTCTCGATCAATGTAGCTCTGTGTCGGTGAAGGATAGTTCGGGGGTAAGCAACGTGATGGTGGAGGAGGTAGCCACAGGTCAGCTAAGAATGTGTGTAGGTACAAATACGCCGCGGCCGACCACGAATGCGTAGCGGAGGAATGTAGAGTAGGTTGCAGCACGCCGTCAAAATAGCCTGTATTGGATGAAAAATTGGAAGAGAACCCGTTGATGGCAGGTTGCTGACCGCCTTGGGGGAAAGCGGCTGCCGGTGGCGGCGTGCTGATGACCGACGGACTTGCTGCTGCCGAGTATGCTTCATGGGCTGAATGTGAAGAGTGGTTCGTTGAAACGGTGGTATGACTCGTGCTTGGACTGGGTACCATCGATACTATACCTCCACTGGTGTTGTTGTTGCTGTTGGTACTGTTGACGTCGTGGTAGCTACTGAAATTGCCATTACCAGCGTCTGTAAACCCAGTGATGGATAGTAGGCCGAGATCAAAATTCGTTAGAAACGGTCCCATGTCGCCACCCATATCCATCACCACTTGAGATCGCATTAGCGTGTTTGTTACATGCTCGTCGACGCCCACACGTAGCTCTGGTTGACTGTGCGGGATGCTGTTCATTGACGTGAGGCGCTCGGGCGGCTGATACATCTGCCGCCCTAGCGTCATGGCAAATGGTGGCGCATGCGGGCGAAATAGAAGCCATGTCAAGTAGGATTCCGTCTCCAGCAGCAGCACCTGCGTAAGTTCTTGGTCGACGGTGATTTCCTTGACAAAGTCAGTCAAGGGCGTGTTTATCGAAGAAGGCCTATTGGCGTGCGTGGAAGAAGCCGAGCGTGTTGCTTTTCGTGATCCGGAAGGGTAAACATGCTCTGCTTGTTTCGGTTCATCGGGCAACGAAGACAATCTCTGCAATGCATTGGTCATTGAGATGGTCTCGAGGCCGGGATTGGAAGCCCCATAATTAGGCTTCATCTCAAAGTAGAATGGCGACAGCTGCGTACCGTCAAACTCGGCTGCGTTAAAATTGGCGGTGTCCGGATATGCAAACTGCAGGACCGGCCTCTCGCAGTCGTCCCTGCGAGTGTCTCTGGGCTTCCAGGCCGTGTGGCTCTTGGATGCAGCAACAAATGTACTAGCAACCAGGATCAGCCGCTGGAATAATCCGTGCCATCGTCCCCGTAATTCGTCCGGCTTACGCCAGTTGATGAGCGTTAATAGTCCACCCAGGTGTGCTTCGGCTGCGATAATGTCACCAATGCCGCTCTCCGCCAATGCGAGAGCAGCAATAATGTTGGCGCACTGTTCAGTCCATGCCGGATCTGATATGTGCTCATTGACCAGTCGAATCGCCTCGATCTTGTGGTAGATGTAAGTCTCCTCCATTCCGCTGAGACCACCATTGATCCAAGAATAGTGCATGGCGGCCAAGAGAATGTTGCTGCGGAAGAAACCGGCGTCCCGGAGTGCCGTGGCGTTGTATGAGTTGTTTGGGCTTTTGGGGACCAAGGAGCGGGTCAAAATTCGAAAGTGCATCACTGCAACGTCAGATATATGTAACAATGATATAGTTGTGTTACCCACGGAACGGTACCGTACTATGATGAAACAGCTCCATAGAGCGCAACGGCATTGTTATCGGCATACTGTCAAATGGGTCCTTTTGCAGGTACGCCAACAGCGCCGATGGAATGGAGTGGTAGGGAGTTCGAAAAGAAGGTTCGAACTCGATCATGCTAGAGTTGTCCTTGGCAGCGTTTCCAAGGTCGTTGCTATACGAACGTTTCGCGGTGAGGGCCGACAAACTCATGTCTTGCGTGGTTTCTGTCGTCGTGTTGGTAGATTGCCCACCGCCATTCTCATGGCTTTGACTCGTTCCGTGGAAGTTTTCAAGCCCGCCGTCCTTCCCGTTGCCCGAGGAGGTTGCACAGTTTGCTTTGACAGGATAGCCGCAGGCTCCACCACGAACAAGACAGTTTGTGCTATTGAAGTAGGTCAGTGGCTTTCAATGGAAGAAGACATATAAAAATACGGCATTCTGAAAGACGGTCGAAGATGCATAATATAAGCCTAGCAGCGATTGAATCAGAAGGGAGATGCGGAATATGAAGTGAGAGGAGAAAGTATGGTAAGGAGTAAAGTCAGGGGCAAAACGTATTGCAGTTTATTGCACACAGTTAGCACTATGCGGAACTCGTCCTCAAAACGTTTGTCGTTGTTTTTTATGGCGGCATCTGACCCTGATTTGCGCGCACATGCCGTCGTCATATGCAGACGTCGTAAAACATTCTTTGACCGACACTTGTCCTGAAGATATAAATCGCAACAAAACCCGGAAATCATCATTAATTTCTCATCTTCATGTGAAGATTGTTGCCCGGTAGTTCTGTGTCATTGATCCTCTTTGACTCTGTTCAGCTTCTCTTTTGTGCATCACTGACGCCGTTTGAGACAGTCCGACAAAAATTCGAAGCCTTGCAGCAGATCCATGTCTTCCACGAGGCACGGAGCAATGACATTGAGGTAATTGGACGACAAAATAGTGGGGCAATGACAGATCACGATAATATTGGAACAGAAACAGGTGTGTTAGACAGCGGTAGAAGTGGCCTTAAAGGGGCAGGAGGGGGACAATCGAGGCCATCATAACGACAAAACAGCAAAGCAGGTGGATGAGCGGGACAGAAATTACCACGTTCAACCAAACTTGACGACGCAAGAAGTGGCGACTTCGCACATGCGGAGGACATACTGCGAAGTGACACGATGATATTTCAAGCGGCAAGCACCAAGACACGCATCGAGCGCGGCGCAAAACCCAGTCGTACAATAACAAAAATGACACATATTTCCCGTCCATTCGTCACTTACCAAATAGGCTTCTGCTCATCACACCGGATGTGCCGCTGTTTGCAGGTGTAGCAACCGTTGCGGCTGCGCTTGTGCTGCCGTCGTCTTCTGGGCAGCTGTATCGACTTCGACTGTTGTGCTGGTAAAGGTTCTGAAGGAGATGGCTGCCTCGATTGTGCTCCCTGCACTCCTTGTGCAGTCTGTGTTGGCTGCATCGGTCGTGACTGTTGCAGCTGTCCTCGCTCTCGTGATCTCTCTTGCGTCGTCTGCACCTTTACAGAATGTCGCGCCTATGTATAGTTGTTCTCCCCTAAAAAAACCGAAAAGGCGATTCCATTAGCCACCCCCCTTTTTCGAAGAGAATTTTTGCCGCACTGATTTCTTCTCCCTTTCACTCTTGCGAGCCCTATTTCTTCACTCCAATAATCACCAAGTAACCGTCACCATCGTATAGCATGCCACTCCTTACGTTTGAATGGTATTTGCCGTCAACCTTTGCGTTCTCATTGGAAGGAATCCTTGAGATTGGCCAAAGGGGTGGGAAATGCAACCAATTGCTCGTAATTTGATCGTGATTCTTATAGGCGTGATGAGAAGGCACGTAAAAATAGCCGGGGGAAGACGAAGAATTCAAATCTCGTATCGTATGCACAGCCGGTGCAAACTATAAGAACCACGCCTCAGAGAGCTGATTGCAGGATGTGGTCAGAGATTGGTTGCTTCTGGAATGGTGCAAAATGTGGCCACAAAAAAGATAGACCTTAAACAAAATGAAGGGGCGACTCAACAGCGAGAGGCAACAACAGCCTGTAGGGGGAAATCAGTTAGTGGAAGCCTTTCGGGAATTCGTCAGAAAATGTCCAAGGATTGCAAATGCTACAATACCGTGCACCGACCAGGTGCTGACTATGCACCGGATCAAGGTAGTGCGAGAAACACACCGCAGACGGCCCTCATATGTGTGGAAAGCCGCGATAAAATACGCTATAAGTGTTAAAATATGATTGGGGGATGTATAAGACTTAAGTACCAAAAGCGAACAAAAATGTAGACGAGATGTTATAGTCAGCGAAACGTACCAGATGATATAATGTCGTGTCGGAAGAGGAGGATGTGGCTGAGGAAGTTAACATCGCGAGGATACTAGTGGAGGTTTGAATTATATAAATGCAATCTCTTTCCCGAAACTGGCCAGATACGGGATTGGGCTGGGAGAGCCACACGAAGCCGAAAACAGAAACTAATCAAAATTGAAGGCTGGAAAGGTTAGGTAGTGAAGATGGTCAGGTAAGGGTAACTAAGCCGTTAACGTATAGAAGTAGTAGGATTGTCTTGTCACTTTTGCTCGGCGTGAGTTTTATTGACGGGACCAATCGAAAAAAGCAAATACAACAGCAAGTATCAACGGTATATGTACATGCGTGCTTTGAAAATGGACTCTTCGCATGGTCTGCAGCAAAACACACAATATTATGTTGGCGGTCGTGCTAGATACCGCGCAATGCGTGTATGTGGGGTGGGCCTTTAATAATGTGGTGGAAAGTCGGCCACACGTCAAAACAGTCGAGGTTGCACGTTGCCACTAATCTTACAGGTGTAAGGTGGCCACCTGACAACAATACCGGAATCTTTCAGACCGCGAGGGCGAAGTAGCCAAGGCATAATGTCGAGAACAGCGAGACAATGTAGACTGGTGCTGCCAAGGAGTTGCTGACCATGTAATACTCCGTTTTTGTTCTTATTGGTTTGCCGCGCCCTTGCTTTGCATCGTATTGCACCTCTTCTTTGTACTGTCGTTCCTCCCCCCTTTTCACCTCTCCTCATTCCTCTCCTTTGAGCATGAAGTAACAATACGGCACACCATTACGACATGCCTTGTAGACATGCAATGAAGTGGGCCACCTATGGCGGCATCTCGGACAAGGATGGGTGGAGAGGGACGACGGAAGTGAGACTAGAGCGCGGCGTGGGCTTCGTCCGGACGCATGAATGCTGTGGGCTGCTGCGGCCTAGTTAAGCGTCGTTCTTGTTGGCTATCAGCCCGTAAATGGTGTCTTCCCGGGAAGACAAAGAAGGCAATTCCGCGTCACTGGGGTGAGTTGCATTTTACGGAACAGGTAGTCGTCGAAAAGAACACAGAAAGCGACAAGATGCGACAGTGCTCATCGAGAGTAATCACAGCAACACAAAGATGACGATCCAGTCACGAGGAAAAGGGGAAACACGGCAACGCGTAATATTAAGCTGATTCAAAAAGAATCGTGAATGCAACCTCGTCCGGCTTCGTTCAATATGTTCTGCCGCGTCCTTACCTCACCACCAACACCCCGTCGTTCAAAGTTACGGGCTAGCTCTAGCCGTTTTCTGGTAACCTCCGCTATTTTTTACTGCGTAGCACTTGCGCATGCTTGTCACTCCACCTTTCTGAGCTAGTTTGCTGATAAGGAGCATCGAGAGCTATCAGCAGCAGAATGCTCACACATTTGGCGTCGGCCCTATGGGGCCGGTTTAGCAAGGTTGTCGCAATGTGCTTGCCCGTCATGTAATTACTGAGTAATACTTGTGTCCTCGTTGTGTATCCAGGCGGCCACCGAGGCAACCATCTTGTCATCAGTCCGCAAAATTTGCCCCGACGTTGGTGTGGTGGGTCGGTTAGTGTAATGATTGGCACGTATGGCCTGTGTTCGAAGTCAGGTAACACAACCGATGGGCCGAAAGGCACCGCCAATGTGGTCGCAGTACGAGTGGAACAGTGGGGTTGGCGGTCCCTTGAGGAGAACGAAGCTGTCAACGGTCTTGGCCCATTTAAGGAGGTCAAATACGATCGGAACTACGGAGTAAAAATAATTGAGAGGCGTAGGACATTTGATGGCTGCTGACAGTAGTGCAAATCTGAACATTCTAGTGAGGTTAGTGAAGCTGTTCAGTGGGCCTGCAGTACGCTGCAGGGAGCCAAGCGATACGCTTTATCCCAAAAGAATATGTGGCCTCCGGAGTTTGCTAACCATCTTCACTTCAGTACATACGACACACTACAAGCTTAGATCACAGCATCGAGACTATGACCACCTTGTAACTTCCGTCTGTCGCCGCCGGTCCCTGGTATGGACTTTTGTGTTCCGACTGGATAGTGAAGAAGCGAGAAAAAAAAAAGAAGAAAAAAAAGACACAGGGCACAGGAAATACGTGTGTACTCCAAGCGTAAGGGAGGGGGAGGGGAACGTCGGGTAGTGATTTTTGAAGATAGCTGGCAAGCCGCATGTACCTTGTGTTGGGGGGGATATATTGTAGGCTGCAGGACCAAGGGCGCAGGGGCGCCTTATGGACGACATGCGGAGGGCGGGTCAAGATTTCGAGTAACATCGTAATCCTAATACAAAATAGGTAGGCACACGTATCATTGAGGAAATGCACGGAATTATGACAAGCAACAAGAGACTTGCCCGGCATAATACCTGCTCCGTCGAGCGGGGGATAGGTAAAGGAGACACGGAGAAGGAGTGTCCTCGGCAAGAAAATCCGGATGAGGCTGAAGGATGACAAGGGGTATGTGTAAGACACAATGTGCAGCACTCAACGTCTTGTTGCCGGTGAAAGATTAAAAAAATGCCTGACATTTTCATGATTTTGGCGCCGGTCGCTAAGATCTCCGCAAATATGCGCTGCTAACAGCAAGCTCAACAAAGCGGGAAAAAGCAAACGCCGACATGTAGGCCTAAGCCCTGACCTAATTTCTGTGCTGGTCTTGGCCGCATGCGGCACGAGCATTCAGACAGACTACGACAGGTGACAAGGGTCACATTGGCGAAGTAGAAGGCAACAGGTGTTGCTGAGCGCGTACTATTGGTATCTTACCATTATAACGGAGACGAAAAGGGCAGACAACCTGACAAGTGGTTGAGGCGAGTCGACAGGCCGCCATTTCAGGGGAAACTACAAGAACACTCAAATTAACAGAAAATCTGGCGAGCAAGAAGACCGAACGTCGTGTTCACGTCTCGTTTTCGACTCAAACGGCAAAATCGAGAGGGCCCATCGAACGATTATTGAGGCTTCGACCGTTGATGGCGGCGGTTAGTTGCCCAAACCTGCCAGCATGCACTGATGACCAAGAAACTTTTACCAAGGCAGTTTCCAGGCCCAGCGAAATAACTGAGTCGAGTGACACTGTGGCGGACCTTAAAAGCAGTAAGTAAGCGACAATATTGTCAATATCAAGTGCATCGGAGCCGGGATTGTTGTGAGCAAGATCGTGCAGCACAAAACTGTACTCCCTATGCACACGACTGTCGTATAAAATGAGAAACAGCATAATAGTCAAACATGTGGTAGATACAAGTAAATACGTCAAGTCTACTTACTACAGAGTACAAAGGCAGCGTAGGGGGTGGTTGCTGTAGATCATGAAATTTGTTGACAGTGGAAGCAAAAACTTGAAGCCAGTGGATGACCGCATCACGGTTTGTATGAACGGTGCTTGCCTCAAAACAGTCCGTTCTGCGTACCGCCAGGTGCTATCGCCCCGCGAGATGTGTTGTTTTCGATAAGAAAAGCACTCCTTATGTCGAAAAGTATGAGGGGCATTTCAATCACAAACAAGACGACCAACAGTGTTGCTCAAAATCCACAGCAAGAAACACAACAGCATCTGCGCGATAAAAGGCTGCAGTTGCCACTTGTCATATGACGACATTTCTCGTGGATTCTGACACTCTACGGGTCTCCATCGCTTCTCCCCACCCGTTGCAGTCCTACGTCACTTCACATTCATATTTGGCCACTGGAACTCAGCGAGCGTCCTCCGGGCGCGCTCCCTCAGAGGTCCCCTAAGTGGCCATGCCCAAACAAGGACGCCAGCCGGAAAAGCCATCAATGGCCCGTACCTGTTTTCCGTTAGTTTCAGTCGATTCCTGTTGGGGCTGCAAACTGACGTCATGACGACGAACGGGTCCGTGGTCAACCAAGCATTTTACCGGATGGTGCGCCGTTGCGACGGAATAAATACATTTGAGGGGAAGAGTTTTTCTCTCGGCGCGACGATCAACACTACGCCTCAACGACAAAAACGACATTCATTTCGTGTCGAATTAGATTCAAGAAGGGAATCAGAAGCTTCAAAGACCCAACACAATCGACCAATTGTCGCACGACGCCAGTCATCCGCCATTCGATAACAGTGCTCAATCCAACAAACCCCGCTGTCAACCCACGAAGGCCCGGGAGGCAAAAACGTGTCAACGGGCTCTGTGGTCTCTGTCAGCACCCTCGTCGCTACCGCCACGGCCCGGTCCTTTTGAGTCGAGTCTTGGCTTTCCGGGTGGTCAACTCAATTGGTCATTCCTTCTTTGCCAGCTCCTTGTTACTATCGTTCCCGCCATGGCAGACAGTGCGATACAGCCTGCAGAGGCAACAACATCCTCAGCACTCCGGACTCCGACAAATTTGAACCGACCCCCCTCCCCCACGCCAGAAGCGCCCCTCGCCGATACAAGCAACAACGACGAGAACAGCGCCAACCAACCTCACACACTGCCCGGCCACATCAAGACTCGCATCGCGACACAAAAAGACAAGATTACCGACAAGACCGAGCGTTTACGAGACAAAGAGCATCCTCCAGGTGGCTATGATGACACACCTCTACCCACGGCCGCAGGGCCTACGTACACTCTAAAGTTTACCTTCCACCGGGCAACGAACCTTCCCGTGGCCGATTTTGGCAGCTCGTCGTCGGATCCTTTTATTCGTGCTACTTTGACAGTGCCAGCCATCACCAAGCGCCACGACGAAGACCCGGACATGGTGCATCGCACGCGTACCATCCATAAAACGACAGAACCGGTGTGGGACGAGGAGTGGGTGGTGGCTGGCATCCCCGCGTCGAACCAAGGCTTCAAGCTCAAGTGCCGCCTGTACGACGAGGATTCGACCGACCACGATGACCGTCTGGGCAATGTCACAGTCGAGGTGCCGTCATTCACGGGCCGCAACTGGCCCGGCATAGAACACGCGACCTTTGACGTCAAGAAGCGCATGGGCAGCAAGCGGGCATATCTCCTCAAAGCAGCTGCAGCGGCCCTGACAAGCACAAAGTTGACACCAACGCTCGAGCTCAGCATTTCCGTCGTTGGCGAGGACGTGCATCACAGAGAGGACGGCCAGGGTATGCGGATGTACACCGTTGGTCCGACGGGCTTTGTACGCCACTTTTCTCCGATGATTGGCCGCATCACTAACACCCTCGTCAACCGCGACGAGCGCCACGACGAGGACGGTGCGGAGACTGTGCAAGATGCCCAAGCGCCTGCTGCGACGGCACCCTCTTTGGCGTCAGCTCCAGATCGCACTACAACAGCCGGGAACGAAAAGAGCGAGAAGGACGAGGAGGACGATAAGAAGGCGGCGGATGCAAAGCAGGATAAAGCTAGCGGCAGCACGAAGAAGTACGACTTCCAGGCCAACGAAATCCAGCTACAGGGTCCCGTTCCTGCGGGACTGTACCACCGCTATGTTGAGTTCCGGCCCATCATCGGCCGCATGTTCTCGTCGCACGGCTTGCGTGGCCGCATCCTCAACAAAGCCCTGCACAAGCAGCACAATCGCGTGTACAATTTCAGCCGATCGACCGAGTATGGTACTTTCCCGCCCTGCTCCGATGAGGCATCTTTGCAGTTCCTGAAGCTCGCCCACTTTGACGAGGGCGGCCGCATCTTCACATACATGATCTCCCTTGATGGCGTCTTCCGCTTTACCGAAACCGGCAAGGAGTTTGGCATCGACCTGCTTTCGAAGCACACCATGCATTCGGACGTTGCGACTTACATTGCGATTTCTGGAGAGTTCTTTATTCGGCGTCTGGCCGACCCTTCTGGCTCGTCGAACCCGCAGCCGGACATGCCCACGCACCCGCCCGCAGCATCGCTCTCCGGTGGCCCACCCGACGAGGAGCCGCCGACTCACCAGCCAGGCTATTACCAACTCGTCATAGACAACGACTCTGGCACCTACAGACCTGATAAGTCGCTGCTTCCTCTCCTCAAGGAGTTCCTTGAACGGAACTTTCCGGGCCTCGGCATCGTCTGCATGCATTGGGAGGACGAGACACTGCAAAAGATGAAGAGCGAGCAACATGAGAGTAAGAAACGCGAAGGCGGGGGGGTGCACCTTGTCCTCAACCGTAGCCCTAGCAGCAGCTCGGTCAGCTCATCCGACGAAAGTCGTTTGAGCGACATGGACGACGACATAGAAGGGGCGCACACCGAAGGCGGCGGCGGCCACGGTCACCACAAGACCAAGAAGGAGGTGGCATGGGACCTACTCGAGGACCCCTCTCGCATCAAAGATTTGCATAGTGCGATGCTCAAGCACAATATCGGCGATGAAAAGTGAACGTGGGTTGGCTAGGGGGAAGCAAGCGTGCGTCTTGATGCGAACTATTGGTGATTTTCAGTAATTTTCGTGTTGCCTTTTGTTACGTACCCAATATCATTTTACAGTGTTTTCAAAGTTTTCTATTGAGTTAAAATATTTGTTGTTAGTTACTCGCTTTGTATTTTCAATACGGCTTTGTTGTTCATACAAGCAAAGATGACAAGCATTGCGTCAACTTGGCAATGTAACTCGTTCGGACCCGCTGTTTTCATCTTGTATGGCGCCTACAGTTGGCTATCGCCAGCGGCAGCGCGGGAAAACACCGTAGCCTAGTTTACTAATATCGTCACCACAGAAGCGCTCACACCTCAGCCGCTCACAAACATCTCCCACAAGCGCAAGCTGCAATCCATCACGACCGAAAGTACCTACACTTATTGACATCCGACTGCGACACATCCAATGGCGGATATTGCTGGCATCCCAGTGCCGGGACAGGCTGTCTTTGGTGAGATGGTGAGCACCTCGCTAAATGGGATCCGGCGCCACGCAGAACAATTATTTATTAACAAACTGCCTTTCCTGCCATCCAAGGCCTCAGTCCACGCCTACACTCTGCCCCCTTTGCCGTACTCATACGATGCCCTCGAACCACACATCTCCGCCGAGATCATGACCCTGCACCACGACAAGCACCACCAGGCCTACATTAGCAACCTCAATGCGCTACTAACAAACTACTCGTCAGCCATTGCGCAGGGCCGCGTCGCCGACCAGATTGCAATGCAGCCCGGTCTGCGTTTCCACGGCGGCGGCCACATCAACCACGCACTGTTCTGGCCGTCTCTGGCACCATCCTCGAGCGACGACGCAAAGAAGCCCAAAAAAAAGGCGCCTCAGCTGACGAAAGCACTCACAGCACAATACGGCGACTTGGAGGGGTTCTGGGCGGCGTTCTCAAAGACACTACTAGGCATCCAAGGCTCGGGATGGGGCTGGCTGGTCAAGTTGGACGGGAGCGACAGTCTATGCATTGTCACGACTAAGGACCAGGACCCTGTCGTGGATGCAGTGCCGGTGCTAGGCATTGACATGTGGGAGCACGCGTACTACCTGCAGTACCGCAACGGCAAGCAATCATACGTAGACAACGTGTGGCAGATCATCAACTGGACGACGGCCGAAGCGCGTTTCGCAGGCACCCGGGACGATGCACTGGATGTCATTCAAGTGACGCTGTCTGTGTAGGCGCGTGTGTTTACCAATAGATGAAGCTGACAATATGGATATCCTGATATAGTGCGTGTATAGAATTACGTCAATTGCAGCCGCCAAAGTCTATTTATGTATATTATAAGCCAGACGCCAGCCAAAAAGAAAAGCAAAGCAGACAGTGCACTGTAACGAAGGAAAGGAAAACAACAGAAATATGCAAAGTAGACAAAGCATGAAGAAGAAGAGGGAGCAGAGTACATGGCAAGAAAAAGAAAAAGAAAAAAGGCATGAAACGCGTATATTGTCAAAAGAACAGACGGAGGAAAAAGACACAGTAGACACGAGGATGCGAAGCAGGCGGCTCTGTAGAAGCCCCCAAAAATAGACACGTTCCTCATCTGCGCGCACAGAAAGTCAACCCCGGCATCCTCAACCATAACCGTCGCCGGTCGAGCCAATTGCCTGGCCCTCTGTCGTGTCTCATCTAAGTGTATGTCCCAGGATGTCTTCACTGGCCGCGATTCGCGGCAGTACAATCGACTCGGCTGTGTCAGTGGCATTGGTGTAATTCCATAACTTCGAGTCTATTTGTTTCTAAAGGCGAGCCTCGCTGCCTAGGGTAGTGACGGGGGGTTATCAGAGCGCGGATGTTGATTTTGGTGCAAGGAATGCACATTCGTAAGAGAGGCCGCTTTTCCAGCCATCACTGAAATTGGCCTCGTATGTGTGTATTCGTTCATCGTAATAATAGAAAGCGGGCACATAATCTCTGCCCAAATGCATCGACGAGTTCTTCGAACTTCCTCTTCATATCATCTCCGCACGCCGTCCATACTATATGCCAGCTCTGGCTGTGGCATCATATTAATCTTCGGAGTGTGGATGTGATTTGCGGGTAGTCTCATCGTCGGTGGATGCCCTTTCGTTCGTCTCCGCTTGGATTGCTCCTTCGTCAAGAAGCATAGGAAACTCAGGTGGTCGAAATTGCAACATAGCAGAGACGACACGGCTCAACTAGGGCGCAGCAGCCATCGCTGCTCCTCCGACAGGCTGTGTTGTCGGAACACCACCGGCTGTTGCACTAGACGACCGGGGCCGGGTGCCCACGACCTCGCGGGCGTAAAACTCGACAAGCATGGTAGCATATGCCTCTAGGTCCTCGATGGGGATCGCAAGGCGGAAATCGTTGAGGATCAGGAACTGCAGTTCCAGGTGGTTCAGCTCGGCCAGCGGCAGGCCGCCGACTTTCGCATACCGAGCATTGGTGTAAAAAACGTCTGAGAAGAACTTGCTCGCACACGTGACGCCGGCAATTATGAGGCGGTGGATGTTGAAGCTGTCAACGACAAAGTAGGTAGCAGCCGAGAGAGACCCTGCGACATCAAGCGGTGCGGAGGGCGCAGGAGTCGTTTTCGAAGAAGCAGTTGCCGCAGCTGCGGCTGTTGCTGCAGCAGTATCACGTCGTGGAACACCACCTTCATCGTCTTCATCTTCGCTGCTGCTGCTGCTATCGCTGCTATCCGCCAGCCCTTCGTCTGTCTCATCAACATCGCTCGAGCCGGCATCAGCATCGTGCATAGCGACATCCTTGTCGCCTGCAACGCGGTCATTACGTTCCGTCCTCTCCTTCTGCAGGTCGCGCTGCTTCTCCTGCTGCTGCTGCTGCTTCATGACCAAAGCGTTGACCCGCTCCGTCATGCGATCAAAGTACACCAGAAGGCTAAGGAACACCTCGTATGTCGTCGGGCAGTATTTGTGGATGCGTGACAAGTAGCTCAAAATGGTGATGGCCGGGACGTTCTTGCCGTGGAAAGCCAGCACCGAGGCCGAAAAGGGACTGGCACTATGGCCACCACTGCTGTGCCCGTTGCTGGTGCCGTCTGCTCCGCCATCGTTATGGACCTGGGCCTGACGCTGCTGTGCGGCATTGCGGTGCAGCGCATCGTGTTGGTGATCATTGGTCGTAGTAATTTTGGTGAGAAGCGCGGCAACCATCTCGATGACATCGCCGATGGGCATGGCGCTAATCTCAAACTTGACATCCTGCAGTGGCGCTGTGCCGCCCAGGCCTAAGCTGCCGCCTCCCAAGCCCGCACCGAGGGGACCGCCCAGGCCAGCGCCGTCACCCAAAGCGCCGTCCGCCTGCGTCAGGCTTTGGATGTGGTTGAGGTCGCGGATCAGGATCGTGCGCTGTGGGCGTTGCTGGGGCCCCGTCGGTGGTAATGGTGGAACGGGCAAGACATAGGAAGTCGGGAAACCTGGCAGAGAGGAGGGCAAGCCAGAGGTTGATGAAGAAGAAGAAGGAGCGGGAGCGCTGGTGAATGCCGCGCTGATCGTCTCATTGTTATTAGCGGCCATGGGTTGCGCTACGCAGCCATTCCTGGTCTGCTGGGGGCTGCTGGGCGACGACGAATCGGGCGGCGTAGGAATGCGCGCGTAGCCTGAGGTGTCTTTGCGAGGAGAGGTGCGACGTATGAGATTCTGCCCGACGATGGCGGCGCTGCGCGCGACGTCCGCGCTGCCCGACGGAGCTTGCCCGTGCGGCGACGAGAAGCTGTTGGACGAGGAAAGTGGAGGTGACGCAGGGTGGTGGGCTGTCGTCGATGTGCTGGCAGATGTGGGCATCGGGTGTTCTTGAGATTGGGACGGCGACGGAGGGTCCTTGGGATGTTGAGGGTATTGATTATGTTGGCTAAACTGGTGGTTCTGTCGCTGCTGATACTGTGATTGATGTTGCTGATGTTGCGGCTCTTGGTGTTTCGCGATGGCGACGCCCGATGTAGGGGCCCGAATGTGAAATGGGGAGGATTCCGCACCATACACGTCTCCAATCAAAGTGGCCATGATCTCACGGTCGCATTGTCGTCCAGAGTCGAGTCCAGGGAAAGGGCGATGGAGAGGGATCGAGGATTGAGAGGCAAAAGTCAAAATACTTGTTGGCGGTTGGGCAGTTGTTGCCTCGTGAAAACGGAGAGTGCGGTGAATGTTGCTGCGCTTTTGCGTGGATGTTCCTGGAGGCGCTCCGTCCGTACAAAGAGCGCTTAGAAGAGCTTTTCTTGAGAAAGAGGAAAGAAGTGAAGAGGGGTGGAACAACGGTGGTGCTGGACAGGAAATAACGTGATTAGCGCGCTGGCAGAAGTATTGACACCTGGGCCTCCGGGCTTCGGGTCACTGTAGGGTGGGTAAGGCGAGTTGGGGGTCGGACGCCAGGCCTTATCTTGCCCCGCGACAAAGAGGGAGGCGATAAAGGGCCGGAACCTGACAAAGTCGGATTACGCGTGAGGCCACTGGCGCAACAAACAAGCGGTAACGATAGTCGGAGAAGGGGCAAGCAGCGATTGGGGCGGCGCGATAAACTCCAACTCCATACAGGGAAACTGGCAACTACGAAGTGGCACGAAGAACGATGGGGATGTGAACACAATCGAAAAAGGAACAAATGATCAAATGTGTGAAGAAAGAAGATTCGGACGCCACTACAACATAAAAGAAGGGGCAGTGGCACACGACCTACTCGGGCGCATGGATCGGCAGCGAAGCAGGGGTTGTAATTGGGAAAGGGAGACAGGCGACACAGAGCCGATGACCGTGATTGATATGGCCGATAAAGATAAGGACCAACCTACTCAACCCCCGCGGCCCAGATATCCCACGAGGACAAGAGAACCAAAAGAAAACCAGGGGGATGTGAGCCCTCTGGGGGGCGATCTGTTAAAGGACAAAATAAAAGAACGCGCTTACCACTTCGGTGGGCTGGACAGAGGGCCGTTGAATGGTTCAAAGCAGCCGCGACAATGTTTCCAGGGAGACAATTCGAGCGAAGGCCGTGTTGTTAGGTGACGTCGTGACAATGGCGGGACTTGAAAGAGACAGCGAGACTCAAAGTACAAGTACGACGCAAAGCGTGGCAGTCTGGGCCTGGTCCTAGGGCTTCGACTTCCCGGCCACTTGGAGACAAAAGTCGAGACCGCTTTAGCGCCAAACGTGGGCTGAACAGTGGGCGCTTGACTCGGGGCGTCCTTTCGGAGAGGAGTTGGGCGACAGGCTGGACGAGTGGAATTGATGTGTCGGCAGCGATCCCACTTAGAAACGAAATCGAAAAGGCACCTAAAAAGGCAGTCGGCATAGATGACGATCGCAGAATAGAATTCGATCCGAAACGATGTCCTCGGTTTCGCCTCCCGCCAGGCTCCGGCACCTCCAAGCTCCAAGAAAACGCCTCAGCCTCGCGTCTCGTTGACAACCAGTTTACTAGCTTGGCCGTGGCAGAAATGCGCGGGCATGTCATTGACGGAAGAGGAGAAGGGGAGGGGAGGAGGAGAGAAGAGAAAAAACGGAGAAGAAGGGGGGAGATGAAAGGAGAAAGTAAGAGGAAGAAGAAGAAGAAGAGATGGACAAAAGGAGGGAGCGAAAGAGAAGATGACGAGATGGAAAAGTCGGTGGAACCCGAGACCACGGACAGAAAAGGAAAGAGAAGAGAAGGAAAAGAAGAAACGAAAGCGCAGCATGCCACACGCTGAACACCGCCCAAGCTACAGCGCACGCGGCCCAATGCTGCAAGTGTGTGGACGTGGGTGACGACGGCGGTCGTTGACAGGGACGACGTGGTTTACAGCCGCACAGGCATTCCCAGCGCAAGCGCTTGCCTGTGACGACGGGACAATGGCAAATGACGACACGCTGAAAATATTATGTGCCTGGCATGCACGCGTCGCACAAAGGGGTTTGACCATCCAGTGCAACGGAGGAGAGAGTCTGCTCAGTTTTGAGGCAAGCCAGACCTGGCCAGGCCATCGCGAGCCCAGATCTAGCCATTCTCCTTCCTTAACCCTTCCACGGGGCCACCCTTGCGCAGGGGAAAGGGGGATGGGACGTATCTTACGACGTACGGACCAGAGAGGAGACACGGAAGGCCGGTGAGCGGCCCGCGAGAAGACAGGCCTTTGCCCAGGCGCACCCTACCGTATCTTACCCCCGTGCCTCGAAAACCAGCCAGTGAGGTGTATTTGTTTGAAATTTGTCAATTTTCTGCATTTTTAATTGACCCAATGCAAAGGGCGCTGGCATCGTAAACCACAAAACTGCCTACTGTAGCGGACGTGCCGGAAGTTATGGCGGTCAAGAGCACGGTCGCCGATAAAAACTACGTCCCAAAAGGCAGGGCGAGGTACCACGTACGGCTGTTGGAAATTACAGGCCTGGGCATCGACTACAACGGTATGGGCACACAAAACAAGGTGGACGACGAACCAATCTCGGTGCGCGACACGACCACGAGGTCAAGTAATTCCCCGCAGAGGGGACAGACAGTCAAACCCTTGAATTGCGTCTGGGTGGCGGAATTGCCCTACTTCGTAGAGCTGGCCTGGCAGCCCAAGCCAGTGCTAGCCAATTACCGCAATGCCCTTGAGAATGAGCCGTGCCATGCCGATTGGGTGGCCCTGAAGTTTGGTTACAGACTTCGGAGGCGTGAGCCTCACCGCTGTGGAACACGCGCAAAAAAGCTCCTTCAACCCAATACTCACCTTGCACTCAATCACTTAAACTCTAATAGTTTGGTCTCGTGTTTTCGGTTGTCCGTTCTCTTTTGCGACATACAAAGGCAATGGCAGTATACATAAGGAACAAAGCACAATAGCACAATGAACAGCAGACGGTTCAGCGAAGCGGCGGTCGAAATTATGTTGGTAAAAGGGAGCGGCAACCGACAAAGGAACAGAGTACATCACACCCTGTCAGTCGTGTGCGTGTGTGCAACGCGCGCGTGCGTCGCAAAGCGCATTGCCACCCCTCGTTCGGTTTATGTCGTTGACCACCCACTGATTAACGCCTCCGAACACCTTTTGGCTCCTGACCACGGTCTGCCACCCGCTCCCCTCCTCTATTGATGCCGCACCGTGTAGTTTGTGTCCGGCAAGTACAAGTGCCGGTCCGCACCGGCCGCCGTCAGCACCACCATTCGGATGACACCACCTGAGCTGCCGTCCCACTTGATCGCCTCCTGCAGCGCGCCCTTGACAAACGACACTGCGTCGGCCTCGTCCATGCCCTCGCGCCAGTTGGCGTCGCAGTAGCCGTAGATGTACGTCGAGCCGGATCCACCAATTGCATACGCCTGCTTGTGCAGCGACCCGCCCAATGGGATCGAGTACACTTGGCCGCCGTACCGCTCGTCCCAGCCAGCAATAATGAGCCCCGCGCTCAGTGCATCCTTGTTGGCATAGCACACCTCCTGGAAGATGGACGCAGCCGTCTGCGTGGTGGGCGGCTGCTTGTTGAGCATGGCAAAGAGGCCAAGCTGGTACTGCACAATGTCGGCAACGGCCTGCGTGTCGGCGGCCGAACCGGAGCGGCAGCACCAGATCGTATCGGCCACGCGCGTGAGCTTGTCGGTAACACGGTTGGCAATGTAGGCGCCAGTCGTCGTACGGGAGTCGGCGCCTGGAGTCGAGAAGCGTTCGTTAGTGAGAAGACAAGAAAAACGAATGCAAAATACAAAACACAAAATACAAAAAGCAATTAAATGCAAGCAGAGGGAAATCCATAGCCCATTGCAACATACCCAGAATGACACCGTCTTTGAATGTGATCGCCATGCTGTATGTGGTTAGCATCGGGCACTCAGCCGAGAGTACGGCACGCAAATGATCGTAGACCTTACATCGATGTTCCGAGGCTGTGCAAAGAGTATTAGTAGATGCTCTGCGTTTCCATACATGCGGCACGCGATCAGGGCAACTTACTTGACCTCGCCCTTCTTTAGTCTGTCCATATCGACATGGATGCCATCTTAAACAGCCGAGTCAGTCTTGGCCTTGCAACCCAAGGCATCGAGGGCGCCGTCTTGGCCTCAATGTCGCCAGATCTGGACGTAGGACAAACCTTCGCTGAGCTGGCCGGACTTGCCGTACTCCATCGTGTGTGTAGGTGTGTCGGTGGTAGGTATTGAGGAGGGACGTGGTTATGAGAGGGGATGAGAGGGGAGGCTGTGGTGTGTTGACAGCAAATCGTTGCTAGAATCGTCGCTCTTCATGCACGGTACGCGGGGGTATGATGCGAAATGTTTCGGGGCCCAATGTCGTCGTGCGGGTTGAGTCGTGGTAGTGTAGACGTGGATGCAGATGCAAATGGATGTAGCCTTGTGTCCGTTGATGTGGTCGCCAATGCTAGGCGGCCTGGTTGACGAATGCTGAGCTCCAAACATCAAGCTCCAGGCAGCTTGCTGTAACGCGTTGCCAAGACGCTGACCGCCCGGCAGTACTTGCACGTGACCAGTCACGGCGTTTTCTTAACCAAAGCCAACCATTCACGATTCGCATATTGGTACGAATGTATTAAAAGATTTCTTTTCTTATTCTTGAAATTCTATAATGCTGTTTTACATCGGCTATTGGTATAAATAATGGTACGACCAATGATATTTGGTCGCGGGTTGCAAACAGAGGGGGAAATAGCCAAGGTATATAGGTACACCGTAACGGAAGCAGTAGAATAGTAGGCCGATTTAAGAGATCATAGGAAGAAATGAGGCCGACGAGAAAAGGTAAAGCAACAGGGCTTGCTTGACACGGTGTCAAATTGTAGGGAATCCAAAACAAAATACGACAGAAAAATAACAAAACAAGCCGAGGAAGTGCGGTAACTCAACCGCCACGAGACAGACTGCGATATGTTAGTGGGCACGTAAAGGCAACATGTCACCACCCCGTACGGCTTGTGTATTGGGCATGCAAGACGCTCGTATAAGATGACTCACCCTTCTTCCTTCTCCAGCACTATTGATGCCTCTCCACCGAGCGTCAGCGGTGGTGGCGCGGCCTCGGCCTCAATAGCATTGCCATCCTCGTCAACGTTGCCGCCGCTCTCAGGTGTCGTTGGCACCTTGCCGTGGCCGCCCTTCCCGCCGTCTTTGCCATCCTCACCGCAGCCGCAGTCGTAAAAATCACCAATCTTGCTGCAGTCGAACAGCTCCTTCTTGAGCCGCGTGTTGACCTCATTGTGCACGAAGCAGGCCCAGCCCGCCGCAGCGTTGCGCGAGGACACCTGCGGCGGGTATTCTTGGAGCAGCGTCTGGAAATGAGAGGCGCAGTCGCCGCAGGGATAGAGGCGGGCAAAGAGCTGGATGTAGGTCTGGAGCGCGAGGCTGTCGTCGGGGGTCGGCGTGTCAGGGAAACGTGCCATCATGGTATGCAACAGCTTCCAGGAGGCGCGACCAAGCTCGGCTCTGCCGGGGGACGTTAGTATGTGGGAGTTTCGTCATCGCACTCCAATGCAGTCGGATCAAACGAGTCGGTGAAGAAACATACTTGGCTGTCGCATTCTCGAGCTTGGGTGCGATGGATCCGCCGGTTAGCAGTGTTTCCGAGAGGCCCAGGCTGCCAATGCTGCCGCCGAACGGCTCCGTTGCCGTTGCTGGCTTGAATGCGGGCGTGGACGTGCTGCCAAACGACATGTACATAATCGTAACAAAGACGATGAAACCCGTGACCAACAGGCCAAGGCGGAACGGTCGTGTCATGACGGGAGGTGCTGTGGTCGGTGAAGAGGGGAGAAGAGTTCGGCGCAGTTGCACAAACTTTGACGTTAACGTCGACGTCGACTTTGTTGTGGAGTGGTCGAGTCGCTTGAGGACAACAGCGTCGTGGTCGCGCGTAGGTCTGCTGCTGGCTCGAGCACTGTCTTCAAACGGCCGCGCGTCGTGTTTTCATGCTTCGATGCTGTGTCGTTGTCTGTCTGATCGCAAAGTCTGTATGTTTTGTCATCTGCTGTTGCGCCGATTCATTTTCCGTTTGTCGAGTGGCTGCCTCCCTCCTTCCTTGCGTCGTGTCGTCTCAGCTTAGTGGTTCTCGAACGGCCCTGCCAAAAGGGGCCTAATGGCTGAACCTGTGGCCCCAAGGCGCGCCGTTAACGCCAAAAGTTATAAATTAATAACTCCAAATGAGGGAATATGGGCTTGCATTTATTAAACGACTAGCCTGATCCGGGGCCAGGCGACCGTTTTGCTCAGTAATTACGCTGCACGGAGCGGTAGGCCCAGCCTCATGGTGCATTTTACACGTGTTGAAACAATGGAACTTCATATGCATCGTAAAAACGGCCCCATACACACTTGAGTTGATGCCAAGATCGTATATTCGTTATTAAATAATTAGGTACCTGTCTGTGTGAAATTACGGACGTTTTTTTCTTCACCGCTCCCTCCATTATATTTATTTGTATAACCTTAGCCTTGTTCTTATAAATACCAAAAAAAAAAAAATCATAATCATAATCAAATTCGGTATCATTTTTTTTTAAAAAAAACTTTACTTCGCAATGCGCTACCTTTGAGCTGGTTTCGAGCCCTTGAGATACTGAAATACGCCATAAAAAAGGAAGCGCAAAAGACTTCGCTCAAAAAACTTTAAAAAGCTTTCGAGAGCTATTATCGTAGAGGGCATAAAATCTGGTTATTTAGACAACAACCCGCCCGATGCCTCGAGCTCGCTCACTCTCCAGGACCAGTGGCCCACCTCCCGGTCCACTCGCATCTAAGCTTAGGGTCAACCGCGTCCGGTCCGCCACGACATGAACAGTCTCGCCTAGGTTGCGATAGTCGGTCTCACAGTGGTGGTGGCCGGCCAAGGGTTCGTGCGGATGACCGTTGAGGGACGGCTCGGCATGGTGGCCGCCAGTTGTTGTTGAATCAGACATGATTTGCCGGATCTCGACGCTCGGGTAAGGCAGACGGCCCTCGCGCAGCGGGATGAGCATGAGGGGGATGGCAGCTTCGAGGGCGGGCGTAGAGCTAAGACCGATGGTGCTGCCATCTGCATCGGGCGCTGGGATGACAAAGTGGCCCTTGCGGCGACCACCAATAAGCCAGGCGTCCGTAGGGGCCGAGACCTCAAAACTAAACTCAAGGTCATCAAGAAGCGAAGAGGCTGGCACCGAAGAATCTGGCGAGGCGTCCGCGTCACCCGTGTCCCAGATGCGTGTCCACCGAAGATGCAGTGTAGCCGGCAGGAGCTGATTCACGCAAAAGATGGGCAAGCTGATGGAGCTATCGTCGTCACCACCTCCGTCCTCGTCCTCGTCACTGTCATTAGACACAAAGCGGTCGGCTGCCACCGCGGTGCCAAAGGGTCCTTGCAGCTGGATGTCGGCCGTGTGTACAATGGTGATGCTGGGAATATCAACGGGAATAAGAATGGTGCGGATATTGCTTGATGACGCAGGATCGGCTGGTGGGATGGCGAGGACAGCATGTTGCTTCTGCCAGTCGTAGATTACGGCCGCTAGATCATCCGCCTTCGACTTCGTCGGGTCGGTGCTACTTGGGCCCAGGCCTGGGAACTCGCGGGCCCAGTTGACATGTGCCAACACGGACGTGGTCATTTCGTTCAGCAAGGCAATCTTTTCGAGATCGTACGGAGACAAGGATGCGTGTAGATGCCGTAGCACGCAGGAAGAAGCGAGTTTAGCATACTGCGCTAGCGTAGTCGTCTTCCGAAACGCGTCACAGACGGATGCTTCGAGGGCGGCGTCGAGCTGGTCCTGGAACACGCTGTAGTGGAGTTTGATGTACATGGTACGCTTTGTGTCTTTGCTGGGAGGCGCGTTGAGCGGCCCGGAGCCTGGCTTACGCACAATCTTGTACAACAAACTGACCGGCTGCTTTGGGAAGACAACGGGCAGGCTGGTGCTGTGGTCCACACTGCCGTCTTCCAAGGCATCCGTGCCCAGCTGCGCGGTGAACAAGTCCGATTCGAGGAGCTCGCTGCGGAAAACGCGCAGGGGGCTGGCCGTCGCAGTCGATACGGTAAAACGCGAGAAGAGCGCATCGTGCTTGAAGACGTCCTGCACGTTAACACCCAGGGCCAGAGAAGTACTGACGGAGGGCACTTTGGAGAAATGAAACGTCGTGCCTCTGGTTGTCGTGTAGGTGACATCCACCTTAAGGCACAACTCTAGTACATCCTGCTCGATAGAAAAGGGGAACGAGATGGCCAGTGATGTGCCTGCGGGGACGTCGTCAAAGGAGACAATACCGCCCTCGACGGGTTTGGCAAACGTGTGGCCGGTAGATCCGAGCACCTTGGCTTCGGTGGTGATCAGCCGCAAACCGCCTGTCGCCGCCCGAATGTGCATTTCGCAGTGCTGGATGTCGTTCCAGCCAGTGATGAGGGCCAGTTCAAGGAAGTTGTTCTTGTCGAGCTGCAGATCTTTGGATGTGGACAGTTGTACGTCAAGGGCATCGGCCCGCTGGTAGAGGACAAGGTGTGGCTCAGCGAGGATGTTCTTGGTGTTGGAGGAGGTGGATGCGGAAGATGCAGACGCTGTGGTGGCCCCGACATTCGACAGCCGTTGCACTGTGTGGGTCTCGTCATGGTCGTGGAATAAGACGAGGTTTTTGCTGACAATGCGTATTTGGTCGATGGTGTAGATGCCGGGAACAATAGTGCGACTGTGGAGCTGGACGCGACTCGTGCCTGGGGTGAGAGTGCAGACATCTGTGGTCTCCAGCCAAATCTCGCGGGCCTGGCCACGACTTGAGGTCTGCGTTAAGCGAACCCTGACTGAATCGACTGGCAGGTTGTCAACCAAGAGACTGTCTAGGCGCAGAGTTACGGAAAAGCTGTCTTCACGATCGGCGAAAAAGGGTGGACCATCAACGGCAACTACGCAGAAGAAGTTGGTCAATGGAACACGCATCTCGCCAGACACAGATGTAGATGCGGAGAGGAGGTCCGCAAGGCAGCCCTGGACCGCAGAGATAGGCGGTTGCTTCGTCTCCTGGTTCTTCTCTGTGAGCTGCTTCACGCGCCCAAACGATGCCCGTTCCTCAAGACGCTGGCGTTCTGCTTCGGCAGCTTTGACCAGAAACTTTAGCAGACGCCATGCATACTCGTCATTGTGGCCCAACTCTTTGAGGCAACGCGCATACATAAGGAGCATGGACAATTCGAGCAAGTTCCAGCTATTCTCGCCAAAGAAGGTGGTAGTCTCATAGAAGTTTGCAGCGGCGGCAGAGTAGTCAGCGAGGTGATACTTGAGGACGGCCAAGTCGGCGAAGTTTGCGTTAACAGCATGTGTGTGGCCGGCGATTGTATAGTGGCGCAGGGCCTTGTCGGTGAGAACCTCGTACATGCGGAAGAAGTTGGTGTCGGATTCGACTGCAGTGCGCAAGAGCAGATCATCAACGCCTGCAACAACGTTGGATGAGGGAGGAGATGTGGGCGAGGGTGGCGAACGAGACGAAGAGACAGGCGCGCCCGAGTTAGTGTCGTCATCGAGACTGACCTCTTCCAAGCGGTCGTGGTTGTTGACTAACTCTGACAGGATGGGCGCGGTCGACCAGCCGTCCGACCAACCACGCTTCTCGCCGATCTTCTGCAGAATGTTGCGCGCCAGCATGTAGAGGTCTGCGCGACGCGCGGCCAGGTCCTCCAGACCAGCCTTGAGGAAGCGTGTTTCCTCTACATCATGAGCTGCCGGCTGAGTTTGGCCCGGACCGGGGAAGATACCTGGACTGGGTGGCGCCCGGCCTCCCATCCCGGCCCCACCTGATGACCCCGTGTTTCTAGGGACGACGTACGCGCCGGGTGCATCATTGTCTTCGGCTCCGGAATGGATACTTTGGGCTCCTGGCCATTGTCGGAGGCGAGAGACATGGAAGACGGAGGAATGGGAAGTGCGGTTGTGGACGTCTGCGCCAGGATCTGCTGGGCAATAGAAAAGGCGAACGAGGCCACCATGTTGTCTATGACTTGCCGTGATGATGGGAGGAGAGGCTCGGCCTCGCTGGCTAGCGAAAAAAGTAGGTCTTCGCGCATGACCTGTGACACGGCCGGCACAAACTCAAGAGTGCGGCGGCAGATTTCGGCCAGCATGGGCAGGTTTTCGGGGTCGCTGCGCGACGAAGAGGACGAGGATGCGACGTGAGTTGCGGCGGCGGCCGGAGTGAAGTGCATGGTGGCCTCCTGCTGTTCCTGCAGCTTGGTGAGAAGCTCCTCACGCGTGACCCACGCATTGCCGAGGCGCAGCAGTAGGGCAATCTGGCGCGCGAAAATGTAGCAGCGGAAGTCAAAGACAGATACATTGTTGGCGAGGATGAGGTCGCGGTAGGGCTTTTTGGTGGCGCTGATGGGTATGGCTAGGGTGGCAGAGTCCGCTGCTTGAAGATTGACAGGCTCGTCTGCGTCATCCCCACGGATTGCTTTGAGAGCTGCACTCTTGAGGTCGTCTGTGAAGCTGAGGAGAGTGCTCGCCGTCAATGCATGCTGCTCCTGTATAACAGTGTCCAAGCCGACGCTCAACTCATCGTAGCCGACCAGTGCATCATCGACGAGGCCGACGCTCTCAAAGCCGCGAGCCAAGCCTTCCTTGAGGATGAAGAAGGTACAAAAATTCCAGCCTGGCAGGGTCCGCTGCACATCTTTTTCGCGGATATCGTCTTCGTACTGCGACACACGCACGTCGAAGCTTGCGAGGATGCGGCTCTTCAGCTTGCCCACAACGTCGGCCCAGGCTGCCTGTGCCTCGCGCTCAGACTCGACGTAGCCTCCAGTAGGGGGGGTGGTGCCGCTGCCAGTGGACTGTACACGCGGGAGGAGCTCGTAGGGCACATCGTCGACGCCAACGCGGATCTGGGAGACACGATCGATGGTAGCTGACGATGCCGGAGCCCCGCCGCTGCTGGTGCTCTTCGAGTCGGCGGCCGTGTTGAAGTCAGACCGTAGCCGTTCCAACAGCGTCGACGAGTTTTTGCCCCAGCGGGACGTGGTCTTGGTGGTTGCGCTGTCACTGCCCGTGCCGTCGCCGCCGCTGCTGGCTTTGCTGGTGCGGGGCTGATTGTAGGCGGGCGAGTTGGGCAGCACGACGTGCACAATCATCCAGTCAAAGGCATCGTGGTTTTCGAGAGGCGCGATGCTTGCCTTGCGGTTGCTGCTGCCGGACGAGGCAGGGCTGGTGTTCTTCTTGACCCAATCGCGGATTTCGGAGCGCGTCTGTGATTTGTAGGTGTCGGTGTCGTCGCAGCGCACGAGCAGCAGCTTGAGGTACGGTGTGCGGCGCAAGCCGGGGATCTGATGGCGTCGCTCGGGCGGGCGTGGAGTGGAGGACGAGGGAGCATTCGAGGTGGTTGTCGTTGTCGACTCGAGCGAGCCTTGACGGCCCCCGACGGTTGCGGTCTGGAAGCCGTCGTCGGCCGTCGACGCATCCGTGGTACCACTGGGGCCGGGTTGAATCTGCGCAGTAGCTGCTGCCGGTCCTGTGACGGTAGGATTCGACTCGGCCGGCACCAGCTCGACGTGCAGGGTGTCGATGGACCGCAGCGGCCCCGAGTGCGACTGCCAGTGCAGGTGTCTCAGGGGCAGCCGAGCGAGCAGCCCTGGGGCGATCAGTCGATAGAGGCCATGCGGATCGTGGTACTCGACAGTCACCTTGGATGTCGAGAAGGGCTGCTCCATGGTGGCGGGAAGGGAGCGTTTGGTGGTGCAAGGGTGGACGAGAAGCAAAGCTTGAAGCTTTCTTTCCACAAATGTAGCCAGACGTAAACGGGTTTCAGGGAGCTGTGGATGGGGCACGGGCCAGCTTGCCTCTACAGGGTAGGCGCACGCTAGGCACGTCATTAGGGGCTCTTGAAGAGGAAGGCGGTGAGGGGCCACATGAGGCAGTGATTGGATCTCAGCGCAGCGTCAAACGTCCGTTTACGACCACCGTACCGTAGCGGGGCAGGTGGCAGAATAAATGATGGCATCTTGCGCCACATCGTCGACTACAAAAAAGCGAAGAACAACGGAAAGGCGCGACGGAGGCAACAAGCTACGACAGACCCTTATCCCCCCTCCCAACCTTATACCGTTGCTCCCCTCTTTCTCCCTCGACGAGTCTAGTAAATCCAGAAAGCCCGACACAATGTCTGGAACGCTCGAGGCCATCCGTTACACGCGCGGCTCGCTGGACGTGCTCGACCAGCTACGGCTACCGCACGAGCACCACTACGATGCCGTTTCGACGAGCTCCGAAGCCTTCGACTGCATTCGCTCGATGCGCGTGCGTGGCGCGCCGGCAATTGCCATTGTGGCCAGCTTGGCGCTTGCTGTCGAGCTGGGCGCGGCTGCTACCCAGACGAAGATTGGCGCGTCGGCACAAGAGGCCGTGTCCTACATTGACAGCCGCCTCGACTACTTGCTGGAGAGCCGGCCGACGGCCGTGGACCTGGCAAACGCCATCAGCCTCCTGAAGAAAGAAGTGCGCGGCGTGCAGTTGGCGGGACTGGACGACGCGGCGGCCAAGGCGGCGGTCGTTGATGCGTACGTGGCGGCGGCGGAGGCGATCCTGCAGCGCGACTTGCAGTCCAACCTCTCGATTGGCAACCATGGTGCGGACTGGTTGCTGAAGGAGGGTGGCTCTACGTCTGCATCTGGCGCGTCGGGCTCGGACAAGATCTCGGTGCTCACGCACTGCAACACAGGCTCGCTCGCTACGTCCGGCCACGGCACGGCACTCGGCATCATCCGGTCGCTGCACGCCCGCGATGCTCTTCTCCATGCGTTTTGCACAGAGACACGGCCCTACAATCAGGGCAGCCGGCTGACCGCGTTTGAGCTCGTGTACGAGAAGATCCCGTCTACGCTCATCACGGATTCGATGGCAGCCGCCTTGTTTGCGCTCAAGAAGGACTCACACAACATCCGCGCCGTGATTGTCGGCTCTGACCGGGTGGTGCGCAACGGCGACACGGCTAACAAGATCGGCACGTATCAGTTGGCAGTGCTGGCGCGCCACCACGGCATCCGCTTTGTCGTGGCAGCGCCGACGACCAGCATTGACCTGCAGACGCCGACAGGTGCTCAGATCAAGATTGAGGAGCGTAAGCGCGAGGAGTTGACGCAGGTGACGGGCCCTGTGGTCGGGCCGGATGGCAAGGTGGACCTGTCGCAGCCGGCGGTGCGCGTGGCGACGGCAGATCAGCGCATCAATGTGTGGAACCCGGCGTTTGACGTGACACCGCACGCGCTGATCGATGTGATTGTGACGGAGAAGGGCGTCGTTGAGAAGAACACCAGAGGAGAGTTTGATCTCACGGTGGTGTTCTAGGGGAGGGGCTCAGGCATGCCTGCGATATGCTCAGATACCAAACAATAGAAATAGACTTGGCGGTGATCTTCTTCGCGTGGATTATGCATAGCTTCCTCTGCAAGCCGTCTGAATCGGCGGAGGTTCATGGCACAGTTGTGTTGCCTGTGTCAGAAAACAAAAAGGGAGTCTCCCTGGACGGCTGAATATTTCGGCACCGAAGGTGCGGTCGCTTCGACATATGCCTATTCAGACAATAGACATGAGAGCCTCGTATTTGGACTAATGCGCTGCTTCCCCGGCGACCCACTTTATTTATCCATCTGATAACTGTCAAACGCCACGAATGCGGCATGCCAAGTCACCAGAAAAGCCCCTAAAGTCCCTAAAAGCCCCTAACAACATGGCCAGCCCCCCTTAATCAATCTGATAACAACATACAACCTGTTGAGGAAGCAAAGATAGCACGGCGGACACACCTGATGCGACAACGACCAGGAATCTATTCGGGAGAAAAGAATCACGTATCTCTCTTCCGAGTCAAATTTATGTAAATTGCCCGCAGCCAGAGCCGACCCGCCGACAAGTGAAGAGCGCTTCAACTTCAGTGGTCGTCCAAAATCCATCGCTTCTCACTTTTCGTCTTGGCAGACTACGCTTGCCCACCATCTTCATCCGGCAGGCAGGTTGGGCAAGGACGTTGTGCGTGATTTTATATGTCCTTGACCTGTCCGGGCATGGCATGTGGGGGCAGAAGACGGAAAAGAGAGACCGTCCACTTTCAAAGCGGAGACATTTAAAGTAATTTTGAATTCGTCACGTTCCGGGAACGAAGCGGCATCGGAACAGAACTTTCCCTGATATTTTCTTGCCTTCCATTTCGGCAGGGCTGCTCAAACAGACAAATAGGGACATGAGTATGGAAGGTTTAGGCAGCTCTAAAGTCAGAACCTGGTAGGCCGGCATGGGCCAGCAGACTTGTTGCAAAATGGCTACCTGTTGTTTCTTTTCACATCTGATAATTGTGTACGATTGTTAGTAGTACGTGAGGATTGGTTTGTGTCGAAATGGCTGTGGTTCTCCTCTGTGGAACGCACATCGGTCATGGAAATACGAAAAAGGCCCTCACGGCTCTCTGGGAGGTGACAATATCATGGCACGTTGCGTACGAACAAGCGCATCATGCGAGAGACTGGCCTCATTTTGCCGTCGTAACGTCCTCATAACCCACATGACACCGCCATCTCCATACTTACTTGGCTTGTCAAGCGACCGTCAAGCCTACTGTGACATGTCACTCTGGCTTGGTCATCCTGCTGTTCTCGGCTGGATGGCTCTGCTCACGGCAGATATTGCCGGCTTAGCGTTGCAATTCTTTCCCAGTAGGGATTTTTGTCATAATTCTGTTTGCCAAGACAATAATCCTGCGGCGAAGACCAGGTATTCATTGGCGGTGTCATCAACACTAAGCACTGGCGAGCTCCTCCAGGCCCACAGCGAGAGATCTTGGCAGCTCTATGAATATCCACCTCTGGCTCTTAAGACTTCTTCGCCTGCCAGTACGTTGTATGTTCCTATCTAATCAGATCTGATAGCATAGATGGATAACGACAGCATAGATTGTGTCGACAGGCGAATAAACGTGGATCGGGCGGCCGTCTTCCCCCACTCCTGGCAACCAGATGCAGAGTCTTAGGTCTCGGCTAGTAGGTCTCGGACTGAGGGATGCATGGTCAGTGTTAGTCGCTTTTGGGGGATATTTTTCTTTCAACATTGCAAGAATTTTGTTCTAGTTCGTCGTCAGATGCCTGCGTCTGGAGCTTGGTCGGACCCTGGCTCGGAGGTGCTGTGTGCTCGTATCCCAAGCGCACGCCGGATGCCAACTTAGTCATATTTACTGCTCCGCTGTGTGCATCCTCCTGTCACGCTATCCTCCGTTTCGAAATTAGTTGTGTTGGAAATATAAGAGGACGTTTGTATTCCTGTTTGTCTTCCCTCCCGTAGTCCCCTTGGGATTGATTTTCTTCCACATCCACCCCGGCACCAGCCGCTCACCCTGCCCTTCTTTTGTTTACCTTTCCACAGCAGGAGCCAAACGCCGTATATACGTCAACCATGGGCCCTCCCAAATTCCGCTTCAATACGACCGCTCTCTCGGAACCTGAGGTTGCGTCGGCAGATAAAATCGCTAGAGATGAGCCTAAGACAGCCAGTCCTGCTACGATTGTACCGACCAACGTGGATCTAGAAGCCGATGACCTGCCACGCAAGGATGCCGACACCCTGCCGACCGAGACGGCCCAGGCCGGTGTCCAGGACGTCGAGGCCGTGACCCTCACCTGGTCTAGGCCTTCTCTGATTGCCGTCTTCATTCTGTGCGTGGGAAGAGGCGCCCTACCAATGTATTCTGGTGCTTGCTTGGTTGATCATTGCTGACTCCTTCTACAGCATGTTCCTTTTGTACTTTGTCAACGCGTTCCAGGCCTCCATCCTCTACAACCTGACGCCGTACGTGACCAGTGATTTCCAGTCGCATTCACTCTTGACCGTCATCGGAATCGTGTCCAACGCAATGACCGCCGCCATGTACATCCCTCTGGCCAAGATGCTTGATCTGTGGGGCCGTGCCGAGGGCTTTGCACTTATGATCTTCTTCGCCACGCTTGGCCTGGTCCTCATGGCCACCAGCAACAGCCTGCCTACCTACTGCGCTGCCCAGGTGTTCTACAGCATTGGCTTCGGTGGCATGACCTACAGCATCGACGTAATTACCGCTGATGCCTCGCGTCTCAAGTCCCGGGCCCTGGCATACGCCTTCACTTCGTCGCCGTACATCATCACCGCCTTTGCGGGCCCGAAGGCCTCTGACGACTTCTACAACTACATCAGCTGGCGCTGGGGCTTCGGTACATTTTGTATTATCTTGCCCATCGTCGCTCTGCCGCTCTTCGCCCTGCTTAAGCTCAACTTGCGCAAGGCCAAGAGACAGGGCATGTTGATCCGCGAGTCAAGCGGCCGCACATTGTTGCAAAACGTCTGGTTCTACCTGGCCGAGTTTGACTTTCTGGGCGTGTTCCTGTTCGCGGCTGGTCTGACCGTCTTCCTGCTTCCGTTCACGCTGGCAGAATCGGCGCCCAATGGCTGGAAGTCGGGTTACATTATTGCCATGATCGTTGTCGGTGCTTTCATCCTGGTACTCTTCGGCCTTCACGAGTGGCTGCTGGCCCCGTCGCCATTCCTCAACATTGGTCTGCTGGTCAACCGCACTGTCATCGGTGCCTGTCTGATTGACATCACCTACCAGATCTCGTACTACTGCTGGGCCAGCTACTTCACGTCGTTCCTGCAGGTCGTCAACAACCTGACCTTGGCCGAGGCTGGGTACGTTGGCAGCACGTTTGACGTCCTGTCGGGAGTTTTGTTGCTGGGCATCGGCTTCCTTGTCCGTAAGACGGGCTATTTCAAGTACCTGTTGTACATTGCGGTGCCCATGTACATTCTCGGCATGGGCCTCATGATCCACTTCCGCTCGCCCAACGGCTACATTGGCTACATTGTCATGTGCCAGATCTTCATCTCGTTCGGAGGCTCCATCTTCATTATGATTGAGCAGCTGGCTATCCTGGCCGTTGTCGACCACCAGCATGTCGCGGCTGTTCTGGCTCTGCTATACGTTGTCGGCAACGTTGGCGGCGCCATCGGCAACACCATTTCCGGTACCATCTGGACCAACACTTTTGCGGATGCCCTGGAAATGTACCTGCCCGCTGAAGCCATGGACAAGATCGAGGACATCTACGACGACCTTGACACGCAGCTGAGCTACGAGGTCGGCAGTCCCACCCGACTGGCCATCCAGGACGCATATGGCTACTCCCAGAAGCGTATGTTGATTGCTGGCACTGCCATCATGGCGACCTCTTTTGTCTGGATGTTATTTATTAAGAACATTAACGTCAAGAAAGTCCCCCAGGTCAAGGGTACTGTCTTCTAAGCCGAATGATTTTAAAAATGACAACGATTTGCTTTGGGCTTGGGGTGGATGGGAGAACGGAGCCACGACTTGTGCAGAAGCGAGAATGTTGAAGGCTGTTTGATACTATACGTATATATACCCGGCCTAATACTATACCACATGATTGTTTAGTTTTGTCATGTGCTATGAGTACCGTGGAAAATCAAAAGTTTCCGAAATTTCTGTTGAGACGACATGGCTGTGTAGTTCCGTGGTATCTTAATTTCAATTGCGTTAGGTTTCACCTCGAGGAATCAGTCATGTATACTAACCCTGGACGGGCAAGTTGTTGTTAAAGAGACAGACCCAGAAAAAACGGAGTACGGGGGCGACGACTGACGGTTTCTTGATTTTGATGACGAAGGAGAGGTCTTGGTGTTCTTGAGCTCGTGGCCGAACACAGCCAAGCCATGGCGGGAGGACTTGACCAGCTTTCCTTTGAAGAGCATTGATAAAGAAGAGGGCCCAAAGGAAACTGAGGACAGTGAAAATAATCCAGAACTTGTTGCCAAGGTTTTGACTGCCAGGCGGCGTGATATGAGCGACAATAAACGGGGACAACCACTGGGTGGCATTGGCAGTGGCGGTGATGGGTACACGGAAGCGCAGCGGGGCGACCTCATTGGCATATAAGAACGTCTGTGCAAGGAAACCGAGCGGGTAGAAGAAATCGCAAACGAAGAAGAATACGACAGCAGCAATACTGCCAAGATCTCCCTCCTGTCGGCTGCGACAGACCTAGACAGTGGTAGTCCTTCTGGCATCCATGTGTTCTCATACAGCATGGGCAGGGTGCACCCGAGTTTCCAGCTGTCTGGCACCGTCTGCCTTGGTGCCGCCGTATGCCTGGACGGAACTGTGGCTGCTGATCTGGCCGATAACAAGCGAAGACGTTCGCAATCCGGCACACTGCAGCCGACACCGCCATTGTCCAGCTTACCGAGTTTCCCCGAGAGTGACTTTGGGCGCAACCATTTAGCAAATGCCGGGGACAGAGAGCGCCAGACGACTGGTTCAGAATGTGAACTCAAGACGCTCGCCGTAAGGTCATCATTCAACACAGAAGTGGAGAGCTAGACGTTCAGGTCGAAGTCGCCGCAAATGGTGAAGAGGCAGCTGTTGTCTCTGTGTACCGCACAGCGAGGCGCATCTTGGAGGGCGTCATTTATGTATAATTAGTAACCGTATCTGTAGAGCATACGGTAAGTTGGAATCAAAGCTGGTTTGGACTTGGAGGGTAGAAAAGGTTAGACGTATAATGATGAGCTGGGGGTGGGAGATTGGAAATAAAGCGTTTGCATTATTAAGGCCAAAGCAATTAAAATCAAAAAGGCACCATACCAACATCCAACGGTCTACGGCACCTATCAATCTGGCTTAAACTGTGAATTGCAGTATTCAATGTTTTGCCATTCCATTCGCTACCATACCTCCTTGTCCCTTTTTGGTTACTTCTCTAGGTATAATTTCTATTGATTTGGCACGCCAGGTGCGGCAACTTGAAGCAGTGCCGGGAAATTGGGAGTACCGAGGCCGGTGACCGGGTCCCAGCCCTTTGTCGCATTCCACGAAGCAGGGCTGTCAAAGTATGTCGTGTTGGTACAGCCGATGCCAGCTCCGCCGGTGATGTCATTCCAAGCTGCCGTGTTGTTGTACAACCATGGGTTGAGGAAGCCCAGCGGCGAGAGGCCCTTGCTGCGACGAGCTGCGTTCAGAAGAGCCACCACGCCAGCAACAACAGGTGCCGATGCGCTGGTGCCCGCAAGCTGTGCGGAACGGCCCTTGTCGAAAATCAAAAAGTTGTTGCCCTGTGCCGCAACATCTGGGAAACCGCGGTTGGAAGCATTGAAAAATGGGGCGTATGTGTCGCCAATGGACTGGAGGTACGTCGAGACAGCAGTATCCTGGTAAGGTGGGCGGGGGTGGAGAGAACTGAAGCCACCGGAGCTGAACGACACGGCCAGCTCGGGGCCAGTTTGGTGGGTGGCTCCAACGGCGGTGACATAGGGACAACCAGCCGGGAAGCTCGGCTGAAAATAGGGCTTGTTGTCTGATACGCGCACGCAGGCATCGCCAGGGCCTGAATCGCCGGAGCTGAAGAGAACACTGACACCGCGAGCTCCAAGCTGCATGAACAAGTTGCAAACCTTGTAGGCGTACTCGGGGGGGACTGACTGCTCCTCTTCGCCATACGATGTCGAGAGGGTCTGTGGGAGCGATGAATCGTTCAGTGCCAGCATGTACGTCAGGAACTCCAGGTAGGGCTCGTTGCTCCCAGGCTGTGTCGGCTCGTCAGGTGTAGGGACAAGGGGGCTGTAGTACTTGTCAGAAGATGGTGCTGAAACGCTTCAAATAAAACTGAATTGTGATTTACTTACCCTAAGCCGCCGGTGCTGTATTCGATAATGGGAATGGGATGGCTGATACCAATGATGTTCTGGACGTCAAGGTTGGCCTCGCCACTATCAAATGCAGAGCTTTGGTCGTTCTTGCCGTCGTTGATGAGAGCCACAGAGAAGTTTTGGCCTTTGGCGGCGGGAACGTAGTACTTTGTGAACAGTGCCAGGTCACTGTAGCGGGCGTACTCGTTGAGGTAGGATGCAAAGCCGATGAGGTTCTGGGCTGGATCGGTAACAGTATAGTTGATGTTGTACAGGGTCTTGAGGCATTGGGGAGTGACACCATTGCCGCACGACGCGACATCGTTCTGCTGGGCCGCGACAGCCAGAGCGGACTTGGCGCTGCTGTCCTCATTGTCTTCAAGATACTGCATACTGAAGACGGTCGATTTGTGTGTGCTAAATTTGCCAAAGCGGGTCGTCGGCTGGACCATGTCGAGATGGTTGGTCAGGGCATCTGGGACACTGTATGCCAGGGTACGGAGGACAGGTGTGTTACTGTCTTCATATTGATACCAGTCAAAGCGGGTGTCGAGCAGTGCGTCGGCACGGTCGACTGTCGTCGTGAACGACACCCAGTCGTTGTTGACAGAAGGCTCGATGCCGTTGTCACGGAGCCAAATCGAAACATTGTCGACAGCGGCGTCTGAAGGGGCTGTGTAAGACCTGACCTCATCGCGTGTCAAGTGCATGCCATAGTTTGGGTGGCCAGGCGTAGACACCTCGAGAACAACTCTCTCGAGGTCGTCGGCACTGCGCTGGCGCAGCGCGATCTTGAGCGAGATGGCATCTGACGGACTCGCATTGCGGACGAGGCTCCAGCCTTGCGGAACGTTGGGCAGGCTGTGGAACACCTTTGCACTGGCCACAGAGGCAAGGAAAAGGAATGGCGCCAACATCGTGACGGCTGAGACAGTGCTAAGGTAAAAGAGCGTGTGGGGAGGGGGACCAAGACAGGCGCCGGGTATGATGTCACAAAGCCGGCAATGGGGACAGGATGTGTAGGCAAGCAAGAGAACGCGTCAATGGACAGGTTCAAGGGAGAGCGAGACAAAAGAGCGACATCGGTAGGGCGCAAGAAGTTTGGTCGAAAGGAGGGAGACGAACGGGGGTAATAAATAAAAAGCCACCAGGTGCGACAGAGTGCAATAACCGCCGATATGTGCGAGAAGAAGGAAGCTGGTCAGGAAAGGAAGGAGGGATAATGTATTTAGTTTCCTTGGCCTGCTCCTTCCTGAAGGCCGCCCATGTGCTGCGTCTACCACTGGGACCTTCCTTTTTTCTTTGGAAGCTGGCATGGGCCAAGAGACCTTCTCCGCAATTATTTGTTGATCGACCTTTTCTTCTGCTCTTGGCCCCCGAACAAGGAAAGAACGGACAGACTACACTACAATGGGGCGATCTTGATCGATTGTGCGAATGCGACTGGTGTCAAGTAAAGGACCATAAAGAACCGCAAACACTGTATCTGGCCAACACGGCTCCTCCACAGAGTAACGATTGGGAGCAGAGTGTGCTTTTACAGCGCGGTAGTATATGGTAGGTTGATCATGTGAACTGGGTCCAAGTAGATTGGTCAATTTGGACCTCGCTGTTTCCAATGCGGACAATAATTTACACAGCACGGCAGGTACAATCCGGTGTTGATTGCGAAATGTGGGCGAGGGATTACCCAATTGGGAAGCATCGGAGGCGGGGGAGGGCACGGTGGTACGCCCAATTGCAGGCACGGAAGGGACGACCGAGCACCACACTTAGACTTGGCTCTTAAGAGCAAGACACGGTAGGAAGAAAGCGCGTGGGAGCGGAAAGGATGATTAAGGAATATGAAGCAGAAGAACCAAATCGTAACAAGGGGTAATCAACAAACAAATCCAGGGCACAAGTACGCCAGGGCGGGTTTGGTCCACTAAAACAGATCCAGCTAGTCTCCAGATCTCTCGACTCGATCTTAGACCAAGTAATTAAGTCGTATCTACCGGCTGTTGGCCACGGAGTAGTGGGTAGCAGTGCTCCATCGCGGACAGGGATCCGCTTGTAACACATACTTCGTATTGTTAGTCGACCAAACATCTGCATGGGCACGACCGAGGCACAAAGTGTCTGTGTGGTAGTAATCCTCCGCAGAAGCAGACGGGAAAGGCTGGGCGATCTATCTACGCCATACCGCCGTGTCGATGCATAATAATTCGATTGTCAGTCGCTGGATCCTTCCTCATTGGGGTCGGTGCTGTTCATCGTTCTGCAGCTTCTGTTCCTGGCAGGTGCACAGAGATGTGCTTGCCTAACCTGGCCAAGCGGGATTGGCGTGCGTCAACATTGATATGCCGTTGTGAACACAGGCTGAACTGATCAGCCATGCGCCCCTGCTTACTGCATCCTTGGCCAGGCCTGGCCAGGGCAGTCGTGGTGAAATGGCGCGACGAAGTAATGAGGGATAATATGTCGTCTTACGTGCTATGTAAAATTGACGGTTTTGAATAAATACACGTAAGAAAAGCAACTGTGGAATAATATCTAGAAAATGGCAAGCCTCGTGTTAGTGATGAAAGTGATATGCCAACTCCTTTCAGGAGTCTCGTGCGCTCCTGAGGCTCCGTAGCGCAGTGGCCCCACGTTTAGTGCTTGATGGCATATTAGAGGTGTTCAACAAATCAAAGGCTCAGTGGATTAAGGCCGCGATCTCAAATAAATTAAGCAAAAGACGGAACAAGTCGACGCCGCCATGGACAAAAGGAAAACAGAAAGATAAAGAAATGTGCAGTGTTTCTTCTCGCCACCATCGCGTGCTTGTCTTCGCGTTTGTCCTTTCCAGCGTGTTGATGTTGCGACGGGACCGCAACAAGAGGTGCTTTGTTTTGCGATACCACGCCACTCTTCTAAGGACGTTCCTTGCGGGGTTGTCGGAAGGACCGCGCGGTCTGGTACGGATCTCGCAATCCTAACTGTGTTAGCTCAAACGTCCAAGGTCAGCATCAGAGAGACAGCTCTCTCCTAGACGAAAAAAATACTATCCCTGGATGTAAACTGGCTCCGTCGTTCCAAGTCGCCGCCCGTGAGGGCGTCACGTCTCTGCTTTCCTAGGCCCTTATGGTGAATACTCAGCCTGTATTGGGCGGTACCGTCTTGCGCCGCATGACGCGGCTCAAGCTGCCGACCAAAATCCTCGCCTTGGGGTCGAGATGTACGGAGATATCAAAATCAATAGGATAATTAAATACGTCCGGAATTTCTCAAAGTAAATCGCTAGCTGCCTCTGTTCTCTTGCCCATTTAGCCACCATATCGCAACGTCTCGCGCCTTGCTGGGCCAAAAAAAAAAAAAAAAAAAACAAACAAAAACAGGAATGCCTTTAACCAAACCATTCATTTGTTCCCTTTCTCTTTTTTGTATTTATGTCATTCCTACTCCACTAGTCGTGCTTCTCTTGCAATTCTTTATCTTGCCCGTGGATTCTCAGCGTGGTTTAGAAGCCTCAATATATGTGCCAATGGCTTGTTGCTCCCTCCTAGCTACAATCCGTGCTCGCTGATCGCAGCTTCCCACTATTCTCTCGCATCCAACATTGGTAAAGGCTATCCTCCAACTCAGCCCCAACGTCTGCACCGGGCGTCAATAGCCAACGTGCACGAACGGGTCGTCGCGGTATCTACCGCACAAATCACCGTGGGAGCGATGAGACGGCGGTGGGTGTCATTGCGGGAGCCTCCGAGGCTTTGCAGCAGCGACTGGATATTCTTCAATTGCCGCTGAGAAATCCGGAGGAGGCGTCAGTCAACACGTTGGCACGGCGTGGTGACGAATACTGAAATCAGGCTATCAGAGAGATGGTGCAGGAATTTGGAATTTGGAATCGAAGAAAAGCATAGCACAGAGTACACAGGCACACAGAACTGGCCTAGTATATTGGGCATAATAGATTTCAGAGTCGCAAACTATGGAGAGATAAAAAAAGAAAGTGATAAACGACGCAAAGGGCGCAAATCGCACACGTCAAAGCTATCCCATTTAACGTCCCAGTCTCATATCTGGCCTCGCACTTAGACACTCGCATCTAGGCTCTCTTCGACTTGGTGGCGCCGCGGTTGGCGTTGGGCTGGACCGAGCTGGTCGTCTTTTGGCCAGAGCTCTGGATCTTGTTCTTCTGCTGCGGGTTCGACACGAAGTACAAGTAGACAGCAGCAAGGATGGCGAGAATAACAAAATTGCCAGCCACAAATTTGCCGATACCGCCAACAAGCGCAACAGTATGGCGAACCGTGTCGGCGGCAAACGTCAAGCCGGACTCGAAGAAGTGGGTGACGGCCAAGAAGGTTGCCGCGAGAGCCTCGTAGACGGACCGGATGAGGTCGGCGACGGCGTTGGAGAAGGTGGCCATTGTGTCCGGGGTGATGTAATACCGACTAGTAATTGTTTAAATTTGGGTTTGAAAGGTAATGTTACTCTTATTATTTTTTTTTAAAAAAAAGAGGTAATAATAATGACAACAGATGAGTATTGATTTACTGATCGCAAAATGTTAAGTTTTGATAAATTACGAGGAGCGTCCACCTCCTCTCCCATCTTTGTATAAAATTTACACGCTTCCTACTATCAGTCACCCCTCACATTGTCTTCCCTTCCCAGAATAACGAAGCTGCGTCGCCTTATGATTGCGCGCCGCCCTTGTTTTGCAGCTTTCTGACGTCACCACCCACTAGATTGCCCCCCACGACCTGCCACAACCAACAACCCCAAAGAAAGATAGCCGCCAAAACAGCCTCCTAGACGATACAACCGAGACGACGTATGATGAGACTTCTTGTGGATGTACGTCCTCATGATGCCAATAGTAGACTGCCCTAGAATGTCACGAGGCGACCTGCCTGGTATGGACTGATATTACTAAGCAGATACTTCACGTTCTTCATCACGTGCACTATTTTCCTACCTCTCCCAGGAACGAACCGGGAGTGACCCACCCTATTTCCATCTTAGCATATCGACTTTGCGACTCCGGTTGGTGCTCGGCGAATTTGGGATCCGGACCACGCGGGCCAACACCATCGGTAATCACCTTCACCTGAAAGAAGTTTACTTCTTTCAGCTGACACATGAATCAGCAGTCATGTCCAGTGAAGAATCGACAAAGACCCCTGCCCAAGGCGCGGTATCCGAGGCCCGCAAAGACGCTGTCTGGACGCCACAGGTCCGGCGCAAGTTTGAGACGTACGCCCGCCCCGCGTTGTCCCGAACCAAATGTTACAAAATACAAGCTGACATTGTTTTTCTTCAGAAAAAGCAAGAGCGAGTACCTTGACCCGTGCCAAGAGGCAGCAGCGCGGAGCATCCGGTGCCTGCATCGCAACGGCGGCGACAAAGCGCTGTGCCAGGACTACTTTCAGTGAGTTGACCTGCAGGATGTTCTCTGGGAACTTACTGTATCATTGCATACTGACTCAAATAAGGGCATACCGTGACTGCAAAAAGCAATGGGTAAGTGTGTGATGTATTGTGATGGGTGAATGGATGAATATGCTGATTGGGAAGCCATATGAGAGCAGCACTCTGTATATTCTTACAATCTCTCTCTCTCTCTCGCTCCCCGCTCTATTATTTTCTTATAATTGCGTACCGTGGAATAATATACTAATACAAAGCAGCTAGAGAAGCGGCAGGAGGACAAGAGAAGGAAGAAGCAAGAAGCTGGGGGCGGTTGGTTTAGCTGAGTGGGCTGAGGCAAAGATGGACAAGAGACCTGGGTTTATGTCTATACGATGATTGACACATGTACCATGTGAATGGATATATTAAGAACAATTTTACTGACTAAATGGGAAAACCTCCGCACTCCACAGAAGTAATTAAAAAGTGTCGATGGCGAAGGTATTTAGAAACGAAGAGCAAAGATATGTCTAACTTGGAATCGCTTTGAACACTCTCTTTTAAAACGAAATATATACGAAGAACTGAACAATACTTATCAACTGAGATGAAAACGGCTAATTTTAAACATGCACGATATATATGTGAATTTTGTTGCCCGACAAACGCTTACGATTCTGAGATGACGGTACGGTGTCATTTGCACACTGTATTATAAATTCGCACGGTGGACCCCGGCGGGGTGCACTCTAATTACCGTCTAGCGTTGACCACAGCAATCCTGGCGCGAAAAGCATGCACAGAATACTTCGAAAAGGGTCAACAGCTTAACAACAGCTCCAGCGACCACTTACCCACGATCAGCTGCGACCGGTAGCTCGGCCCATCTGCATGGCATAGACCTGTTCGACTTTTTCGCCGCCCAATTGCCCCCCGCCGGTGCTTTCTCCTAGACCACATCTCACATGGAACAACACACCCGCCAGCGGCCACGGCTGAAGAATGGCGTCGATATGCAGCTGCAGGCGGCGTTTGCTGAGCAGAACTGGACGACGGTGATCCGGCTCGCCGACAAGCGCCACAAGGCCAGCAAGGACCCGTACTACGAAGTGGTCAAGGTGTGCGCAGAGACCCAGGTCGACGGCGTGGTGGACAAGGCCGCAGCAGCCGTGCTGGTGGACAACTGGGTGCGCAGCGGCGCGGTGCCCAAGGATCTGGAGTCCATTGAGTTGCTAGAGTGGGCATGCGACAGCGACGGGGACATGAGCGACTATAGCACCACGTTTGGTGTTCTGCACGCTCGTTGGGTAAAGGCAAATCCGCGCAACGTGGCGGCAGCAACGGCGAGTCTGCGGGCGTGCCTGCAGGCATGGGACTTGGCGAACGCACAACAGATTGCCACGATCCTCGACAAGTCGTCCCACACACACGACCGTCGGTATATGTTTTGGGGCATCCTGTTGACACATTTGCTCGCGGGCGATGCGGCACAGGCCGAGTCGAAGCGCAAGATCTACGGCATGCTAGCACAGAAACAGCTGGAAAAGGCGGCCGAGCCAGCCGAGGCAGCGGCGTCCACAGCCGAAATCACCGACAACAAGAACAAGGTCGGCGAGGCAGATCGCAGCTTGCATACCGAGGAGGAATTCTTGTTATACCTGCGGGTGGTGGCGGCGCACGGCACGGCCGACAACTACACGCAGAGGGCACTACATAAAACGGCAGGTGCCGCGGCACAACTTTTAGCAGCCGGGCGCAAGCAGCTTTTCGACGAGGTGCTGGAGCAACTGGAGACACTCAAGCGCTGGGACTCTGTGTTTGACCTCTGCCGTCAGGCCCTCTCTATGTCGACGGGCAAGAACAACGACCAGCCCTCGACCGTGGCCTGCGATGTGCGCGTCTGGAACAGCTTCATTGCTGCGGCGCAAAAGAGCGACAATCCTGAGGCCGCCTTTGACACTGTGCAATCCCTACTTGCACGCTTCATCACAGCGAAGTCCCCAAAACTGCCCCAGATGTACACCAAGAACGTCGGCCTCGCCCTGTTGCAAACGACTTTTGGCCTTCCACCAGCATTGTTGCCAGAGCCGGCCACCGGACAGTCGTCGCTGCAGGTTGAGCAGTTGTTGACATTTATCGAGGCCAACCTAGACAAGGTGTCCCTCTTTGACGATATACGGCTCTTTACTGAGCGTCTTTCGTTTGCACAGGCACAAGACCTCATCAACCGCCTCACGGATACGACACCCTCCACGACCCTCCGCAAGGTCCTTGTCTTCAAGCTGCGCTACCTTCTCGCAACATGCCCCGAGACTCGCTGTCCGCGCTCTGTTCTCTATAACCAGACAGAGGCCGACGCCGACGCCGCCCTCCTGCGCGGTGACGGTGGTCTGCGCTTGTTTGAGCTTGCGTGCAAGGTCTGTCGCAATGCGGCGCCTGCTTCGTATGGGTGCACGCACTGTTTGCATGAACTGGCCATAGGAAGTCTGCAGCTTCACCGCACACTGTCCGACGACGCCGACTTTATCGCAGCCGTGCCCAAAATGGACAAGGACCCTCGCATCGATCTTGCCCTCGTGGCTGGCAGCAGTCTTCTTCGCCTAGCAGGCGACGTTGGCGCCGACAAGGGCGTTGACACCAGTAGCCTCCTCCAGGCCGCCCTTGTTCTCGACGCCCAGCAGCGCCAGACTCCCGACGATATCCCGCTCCGCCTGCTCCTCATCCGTGTCTTTCTCCGTCTCGGCTGTGGAAGCCATGCGCATCAGCTCTGGCAGCCACTTGGCGTCAAGCGGAGTATCCTGGATGCCCTTGGTCCTCTCTTTTACGACCGTCTGTCAACGGTGGCGCCCGGCCTGTTTACCGGAAGCAGCACGCCTAAGAAGCCGCTGTTGATGGATCCACTCAGGCAGTACTTTTCCACTGTCCTGCGCCACCCGTCGGCTGTCCGCATCTGGGACGCCTTCGCCGCAGGCAGCTACAGCAGCATTCTCGACATGGCCGCTTACCATGGACAGCTGCAGCACAGCTGCACTCGGGTCATGACGGTTGTCGAGGAGCGACGCGCGGCACGCGCGCTCGGCGGTCGCCTTGATGATGGCCTCCTTGAAGACCTTGCCAGTGACCTTGCCCGCGACGACACACCCCTGCACAATTCCACCGACCATGGCGCTCTCCCTAACCTCGAGAGCTCGTTTGCGGCGCCGCTTGCTGAGAAGGTGTCCCTTGGCCCGGGTCTTTCCGATGTGCGCATGCAGCTGTCGCTGCTGGCCGAGCGGTACCTGGAGGTGATCTCCTTCAAGCCGGCCAAGGAGTACAAGCCGGCCAAGGCCGCTGAGGCTGCCGCCCGTGACAAGGCATACTTGCTCGAGTCGCTCGCACGCATCCAGTTTTCTCTGGACGACCTGCTGCATGCCTCTGCCCAGCCGGCTGCACATCTCACCGCAAGCGAGTGGTCCTACTACACGGCTGTGTCAGTGCTCGTGTCGTTTGCGGCTTTCAGCCTCGGCAACACGACCGGAGATGCCACCGCAACGGCGCCGCCCATCTTCTCGTTGCTGACCCAGTCGCTGATGACGTCCGTGGACCTTCTGCGCAAGTCGGCTCTGCCGCCTTCTTCGTCCTCTCCTACCACGTCCGCGCTCCTTCGCACCTTTACCGATATCCACAGTCTTGGCATGTTGCGCGAGACTGCTGTTGCCGTGAAGTACACCGGTGCCTTCCTCGGCGCCTTCCACGACAAGGAGAACGCTCGTGACCGAACCGGCAAGTCTGGCCTCGGCAAGGAGGCACTCGCTGGCGCTGCTGCTTTTAAGACGCTTTCGGCGGGCCTGCTCGCCGACATTAAGACGCACGTCAAGGCCTGCAAGGACACGCTGGGTGCGCCCGGGTGGCTGGACCGGCTGAGCGAGACAGTGAGCAAGCCTGGCGAAGGTGACGGACAGAACGAGCTAGCAAAGGCCGTTGTGGTCGCCGTTGGTGGGTCGGCTGCGGTTGAGGACTGGGCCGGCCACCTGCTAGACGGCTGGCGAGAGACCATCCGTGGCTGGGGACACGTTCAGTTAGACTAGATGCCACGAACTGTGAACGAATAATAGGACAACAAAAATTGAAATAATAAATGTCGATTCGTCAATAAAAATCTGGCAAAGTCATGGGTATATCCAAAATCATCAAACCATCTCGTGTCCTCTTTTAAGCTCAAGAGACCGCCACGGTCACAATAAAAAGCAGTTGCCAAAAAAATCCCAAAATCCAAATACGTCAATGCAACCTCCAACCTAATTCGCATAGCTGTGGCTCCGTCGCCGGTTCGCCTTTCGTGCCAAAAGCTGTACCCGCTCCTCGCGCAGCGTCACCCACAGCCAGAACCACGACACTGTCTCGATAAACATGAATGTGAAGAACACGCGGTTCTTGAGACCGTCGCCCACGGACCCCGGTCGGCCCTCATACTCGTAGAGCAGGTGCCGTGCCTTGCGCGTGCTGCTGCCGCCGTACAGCGGCGAGGACGCGCTGAAGAAGAACGAGTAGAACAGCGTGACCATGGAGATGAGCACACGCAACGGCGCCTGCATGCCCCAGTAGTGCACGAGGCACACTTCCTCGGGCATGCTGAGCGTGATCAGGTCCGAAAAGCCCCAGCCGGCGAGAATGACGGCCAAAAACGCGAGCGCCGGTGTTGGCACGTCAAAGGCCCGCGAGTAGGGCATGCCCATGGCCTCGCCCAGGACGTACACGAGCGCCTGGTCAGCGACCGAGGCTGGGTTGGTCAAGAAGAAAAAGCCGAGTGTGATGTGGAAGAGAGACAGCGACGTGACGATGGTGCGCGCAGAGATGAGCGCCATGATGGGCAGTGTGTAGTGTGCTGCGTCTGTCGTTCTAGTGTACCAGACGTAGTAGGTCGTCGGATTTGTTGAGGAGCCAAGCCGTATCGCAGTTGGATGTTGGTAGCGTTGTATTGAACGTCAAGAATGACCTTGCTGGGGCGGTCGCGAGGTGGTATCGAGATGGTTGTCGAAGACGACGTGGGAGGAAATGAAGTTCACGAAGTGCTCGTGAATGGCAAAAGTCGGGATTCGTAGCTCTTTGGCGCAAACCGTCACACGGCCGTGAGACGGGAAGGAACGAACAATACGGGAACCCAAGGGAGACAGACGTATGAAGGGGGCGCGCGGGACGGGAAGCTGCGACGGTCGTGCTTTCCTTATTAGCGGATTTACCGTTGTGAGCTGGAAGAAGCTGTGTGTCGTGTGCGTTTCCCGTGCAGGAAGGGGCGAAGGGAATAGATAGACAAAGAGGGAAACGGTAACGTGTCCACCAGCTGAGGTGCAAACGCCACAAACTAGGACAGAATATGCTGGATGTTGTGCAGGGAGCGTCTGTCCATTTAATCGGAACGCGACACGCGAGATACGAAACGCAAATACACATTTTGACCAGAAACACCATTTCGTTCGCTCCGCGGGGAAGAATGCAGGGGTCTCGACAGGAATGGCTAACCAATGTTGCACACGTCACAGGGCAAGAGCAGCCGACCAGGGTTGCTCTTTCCGAAACACTGCAAAGGTATGCACAACCAACACACATTAACGGAGAACGTCGAATGTCCCGATAAATCTACTGGTTCGACTCTCGTGCCGTATACGGAGCCACGCACTCTGCAGGCAAGTGTTGTTGCATTGAAGCTATGTAATATTTTCGAAGCTTTTTGGGACTCGACCTCTGTCGGGCCTGTCTGAAACAATTATTGACTTAGTGCCTACCGAAGCTACACGAGGCTACCAAGCCACTCCAAGGGCAGGAACGAGCCTGGCCAGGTCTAGTTTAGCGGGGCTCACGTTCAAGTGGGAGAAGGCACGTTGAGTTCCCTCCCATTGTCAGCATCAAGCTCAAATCTTCAGCGTCCAACATTGTATTCAACACGTTCAAGCCATCGACATCCCTTGCCAACCATTCCTCAATGGACCCCTCACTGGACAATGCCCGCCATCTGCGCTACTGGCAGCGCTGCCTGCGCACATTGTTACCATACCAGTACACAGCCAACGACAGCACACGCATGACGCTGGGCTGCTTTTCAGTAGCAGCCGCGGATGTTCTGGCTGCAGGACCGACACCGATCTCGATCATCCCTCCCGCTGACCGGAAGGCATTCCGGTCATGGGTGCTTGCCTGCCAGCACCCTGGTGGCGGTTTCGCCGGCTCACCAACACATGTGTTTCCACGCGCAGTGTACGGCGGGTTTGACTTTGCGGCAGGCGGGCCGACGATCGGGGCACAGGGCGAGGCAAACATTGCGGCGACCCTGTTTGCATTACAGCTGCTAGCACTGTTGGCCAGCGAGCCAGAGTCCGGAGCAGACGGCGAGCAAACCGAGGGCAAGAAAGAGGGAGCTTTCCTTGGCGTGAATCGAAACACAACCCTGCGATGGCTTCGGCGGTTACAGCGGGAAAACGGCAGCTTCGGGGAGTATGTGACAGAGGTAGTGGACCCACGAGCTGCAGGCGGCCGACGGACGGTGATCGGGGGCGGTGCGGACATGCGGTACTGCTACATCGCGGCGATGATCCGGTGGATGTTGGGTGGTGGAAGAGCCCACGACGACGTGGAGGATATCGACGTTGATGCGCTGGTGCTCTACATACGGCGTGGACAGACGTACGATGGTGGTTTCTCGGAAAGCTCGACACATGAGAGCCATGGTATGCTTCTGCTTTGTCACCTGCTTTTGCTCCTTACGGGTCGCATGCTAACAATCTAGCTGGATATGCGTTCTGCTCTATTGCGGCCCTCGAGCTTTTGGGACGTGCCCCAGAAGACGGCTTGGTCACTACACCTGCAAAAAACGACCTGTTTGCCCGTGGCATTGCCGATATACCCGCACTACTTCGGTGGCTCGGTTCCCGCAGCTTTTTGTACAAGACGAACAGCGACGATGACGGCGGTGATGAAGAGGAAGAGGAAGAATGGCACGAAAGCATTGTCACCAACGTCACGCCGGATACCCTGCTGCAGTCGGCGTGCCACCCGCTGCTTGGCTTTAACGGCCGGTGCAACAAGCACGCCGACTCATGCTATACATGGTGGACGGTCGGCTCGCTGGTCATCTTGCAGCAGAATGGTCATGGCCTGGGCGAGGCTGCCGGAACTGCTGCAGCCAACTGGGATGCAAGCCGTCGGTTCCTCCTCGAGGAGATGCAGCACGCCATCGGCGGCTTCTCAAAGGCACCCGGCGGCCCACCGGACGTGTATCACTCGTACCTGTCGCTAGCAGTGCTGGCGACAAAAGGCGAGCCCACCCTCAAGGCGTTCGACCCGGCAATGTCTGTCAGCGTGGACACGGTGCGCACGATCGAGGCCGCTCGGCGTGGACTTCTGCGTGGGTTGGGTGATGGCGGTGCAAAGCGGCGGACCGATCTACTATCCCTTGGCAAAGCTTGCTGGGAAGCAACTAGCACAGTTACATCAACAGCGACGGCTGCTTAAAACAGCGTCCACGAAGTATCAGACAATCAAGTTATTTTCCTTTTGGTTCTGTTTTGGACATATCTTAGCCAACTTCATGAGACACTGCTGAATCCAGATTCATACCCCATAGCAAACTGCTCCCACGGCAGACCTCGTGGTTCACCCAGCCAAGCCGGGCCGTCAGACTTGGCCACGCGGCTCCAGCCCCGGATAAGCGCCCGCCAGTAGCAAGCCTCTGCCGCCGGACTGAAATACCCGCCACCGACAAAGAGAGCTCGCTGCCGCTGCGCAATGCCCTGTGCGACGTCCGGGTGCCGCTCCAGCCAAGCCACTGTTGCCTGCAAGTCGGACCAATCAGGCGCCACAAAGACGACGTTTGCCTCGGCAGCCGTGTAGTGGACAGGCCATGCGGACTGCACGCCGTCTGACGCGACCCAAGATGGAGCGCCCGTCTTGTCGTGAAGCAGGTCCGAGGAGAAGAGCGGCCGGACCAAGTGCGTCGTATGCTGCAGCCAGGCCATAGGTGGCGTCAAGAGGACGCTCTCACATAGCTGCAAGAACTGCAACCGCCCGCTGTACGTGATGCCCTCGGTGTGCAACGTGTACTTGTAGCGGCAGAAGTCTTCGATCCGCAGAGCGTTGGTGGACACAGGGGTGGTGGTCTTGCTGTTACCTTTGTCGCCCCCACCCTTGTCGGCCCAGGCCAGCTCCTCGACGTCCGCCCACGATGCTTTGCCTGCGACCTTGAGCAGGTTCGTCCGCATTTGTGGGTGTTGCGCGCTGTTGTATCGCTTTGTTCCGCGCCATACCGGTCGAGGGTCTTTCCTGTGAAAGGGCAGCTGCCGTTCGAGTGACTCCACTGCTGCCGTCGCCTGCGCAAACGAGCCCACAAACGACAGTGCCGGCCAGCCCCAAAAAGAAAAGTGCGGCATGAGAAAGGCACGCGTGACGAGTGGGTTGCCTGGTGTCGAAGCGGCATACGCGGGGCGGCTGTAGGACATGGTGTCGTTGGCAGGCCCGTCGAGCACGTTGATGGCAAAGACGGCATCAGGGAGCGGTGGGTCGGTCTTGGGTGCAGTAAGAATGGCGCGGTGAAGCTGATGGAGGGCAGCCATACGCGCATCCAAGAACCCACGATCCAGCGTGCCTTTGCCTTCGTGGTGAACAATGTACATACGCCCGTTCTGCAGGCGTACCTGCAGCGGCCCAGAGTCTGCGTCTGCTGGCTTAGGAGCGATGCGGAATGGGCCAAGAGCGACCATGTCGTCAATGTCTTTGGTCAGTCCTGGGAAGATCGTGTGGCATTGCTTCTCGTCAAGATGGAGGTCGTCAAAGAGAGGACGATTGGGTACTCCGCCCTGGACGGTAGCGGCGTGGAGGCGAGCATCGTCAATCGTAACCTTTCCGTAGAGGTGATAGAAGAGCAGCAGTAGGACGCCGGCAGCGGCGATAATCATTAACTGTAGGCATTGTCGTTGGCGAAGCGTGGAAAGAGGATGCATTGTAACTTTCGAGATTAGATATGGTCAGGAGAGAGTTGTGAAAGGCATTCCCTGGCGATTGAGGCTCCGTGTCTCCTCTGTGCCGACAGCTCGGGTAAAGGCGAGACTTCGTCCAGCAGCTTGGAAGGCGGCAGCCTTTTAACCGTGAATGACGGCAAGGCAAGCATCAGGGCCATCGCGGGTATTGATGTCTTGAACTGCAGCATGGCATTTTCCTATTTGTCCTTGCGCCTTACCGTTTTACCTTCCGTCGTACGGTGCACATGCATAAGCAATAATACAAGAGAAATAGCGGCCGAAAATCAAAAAGGAGTCTATCAATGCACAGCCTTCTTAAGATCGCATACAAATACTACCATATCTTGGATATGCAACCTTGATGCCTAGCCCATTCGTTTTTGTTTTGTTTTCCACCGCCTCCAACTCATCACACCCAGTCCATCTTACATCCGCTCCCGCCGCCTGGGTGCCGCCCGGATGATGTCGTCCACACGTAGCAGCAGCTCGGCCGCCTCGCTTGCCGACGACACCACAGCCTTCTTCAGCTTGTAGCTCTCAATCACGCCGAGCTCGCGCATGTCCGTCACGCCACCGCCCGGCGTCATCAGGTCCAGGCCGTACGTCGCCATGCCGTCGTAGATGGTCTTGCGCAGGCGCGCCACCAGGTCGCCCGAGTCGAGACCGGCGTTGTCTGCCAGGATCGTCGGCAGCTGGCGCAGCGCAACCGCAAACGCACCCACAGCCATCTGCCGCTTGCCCTCGACGCGCGTCGCCGCGCTCTCGACGGCCTTGGCCATAAGCATCTCCGCGCAGCCGCCGCCCAGCGTTGTCCGCGGCTCCTTGACCGTCTGCGACAGCACCGCCAGCGCGTCGTGCAGGCTGCGCTCGGCCTCGTCCAGCAGCTGCTCGGTGGCACCGCGCAGGACAATCGTGCAGGCCTGGCCGGCACCGACACCACTGAACTTGATCAGCGTGTCCTCGCCAATAATGACCTCCTCAATCAGGTCGCAGCTGCCAAGCTTGACCAGCTCGGGGTGGTCAAAGGTCGAGGCGATCTCGCCGCCCGTGACCAGAGCGAGGCGCTCGATGCCGTCAAAGTCGGCGTGCTCGATGGACATGATGCCGGCGTCGGCAAACAGTTGCTCGGGCCAGTTGTAGATGAGCTGGCGGTTGATGAAGCAGTTGATGCCGTGTGCCTTGATCTTGTCCACCTTGGCCTTCATCTTGTCGCGCTCGGCCTTCTCGAGCTCCGCCAGCTTGCTCGTCGTCGTGACCTTGACGCGCGCGCCAAAAATCTTGACCTTGTCCGTGTCCATGGACGTGTTGGCGACCAGGATCTTGGCCTTCTCGAGACGCTTCGGCTGGTTGACGCCAATCTTCTTGTCCAGAATGAAGCCCTCGTCGAGGTACGACTCGCTGAGCTTCCCGCCCGTTTTCTTGATGATTTGGATGTGCGTCAGGTCGACGGTGCCGCCCAGGCGCAGGATGGCCTCGGTGGCGAGCTCGGCAAAGTGGTCGCGGTCCTGGGCGAGGACCTTGGAGGACAGCGTCGTGCGCGCAATGGCCACCAGGTCCTTGCGGAAGGCCTTGGGGTCCTTGCTGTGGTCGACGGCCGACGCCTGGAGCGCCGCCAGCGCCGCCTGGCTGGCTATTCTGTAGCCCTCGATGATGGTCTGCGGGTGGATCTTCTTGTCGACGAGCTTCTCGGCCTCGCGCAGCAGCTCGGCCGCCAGCACGGCCACGGACGTGGTGCCGTCGCCCACCTCGTCGTCCTGCACCTTGGAGATGTTGACCAGCACTTTGGCCGCGGCGTTGTCGAGCGCAATCGACTTTAATATTGTCGCGCCGTCGTTGGTCACAATAATGTCGCCCGTCGACGCCGACTGCAGGATCTTGTCCATGCCCTTGGGGCCCAGCGTGCTCTTGACCAGGTCGCCCACGGCAATGGCGCCCACAAACGCCGACAAACGGGCATTCTCGCCCTTTTCCTCGGTCGTTCCCTCCTCAAAGATCTGTGTCGGGCTGAAGGAAGCCTGGGGACGAGACACGGGTCAGTATTTGAGCTTGTGACCGAACATGGACCTTGTTTTTGTTCTCAGGAGAAAGTCTGCTTAGAAAGCCTTACCATGACGATAGCTCAAGTGTGTCGCTGCGGCAGGGAGGGACGGAACGCAAAACAGTTCGTCAATCGAGTATGGCGCCGTCAATGCAATGCGAGAATATCTTGGAGCGGTCCGTCCGCTGGGTGGGGAGCTGTGAGCTTGTGTTGTTGTGCTGCACAAATCTCGGTTGCCTTGGGATGGAGGTCGCGATGCTTTGGAGCTCGTGCTGCAGGTGCTGTGCAATTACGGTAGGCTGGCGTGAGGGCCGCCAATCTCTGCTGCTTCTACGGCCTGCTCTGGCGTTCTCTGGTCGCTCCTTCCCCTATTACGGGCACCCACTTCCTACCCACCTTTTGGGGGCAGTCCGTTTTTTTTTTTTTGCAGCCTTCGCCCCTGGCAGCCGCCAACAGCCCCTCCGGCGCCGGCACTTCAATTATCCGCAGGCTACGCACTTTCCTCCTCGCGTGCAGAGCAACTGGCCCAATGCCGGCCTAAAATTAGGTTTGTTCAGTTGGGCGGACAGTGGTGTCCAGGGGCCTTTGCTGTAATTTTGGCGGGGCTCAGAAAACCCAGACCCACTTTTGCACTTTTTGCACAGTGTTGGTGGGCTATGGGCGTGCAAAGCGCAAAAAAAATAGGAATCGACGCCCTCTCCCAAAGTCGCCAAATCTGGGACAGCAAGCATCACGAAAGCAGACGGCACTCGACGCACAACAGTCCTCGCAATACAACACATACACCGTACCTATCACGCACATCTTAACAAGGACATCACAAAATAGTCAATAGCCAATAGCTTACTCGTCATACGCTGCCGCCACCACCCAGCATGGCGCCCTCTTTCGACCACCTCCGCGAGGCGGATCTCGACGACGACGAGTACGACGAGGATGAGGTCGACATCTCCGACCTGCGCGCAAAGTACGAGGTGCAGCTGGAGCAGGGATTCGATACGTTTGTTGTGATTGACGGCCTGCCCGTGGTCACGGAGGAGCAGAAGCCGAAGCTGGTCAAGTTCCTGCTGAAGAAGCTCAACACGGTGGGACGTGCGCGTGAGGACAGCATCGAGATGCCCATGGAGGGCGAGGACGGAAAGTCTCTTGGGTGAGTAGTCTGGGGAATGGCAGCGTGCTTTCAGCGGCCGCTGTCTCGTCTACCTTGGCTTGGCGGTCATAGCCTTTGCCATAGCCTTTGCCATCGCTTTGTCTAACATGCGTCCCAGCTTTGCTTTCGTGGAGTATTCGTCTGCCGGCGAGGCCGCGGCCGCCGTCCGGCAACTCGACAACGTCGCGCTCGACAAGCGCCACACGCTGCGCGTCAACAAGCTGACCGACATTGAGCGGTACGGCCGCGAGGGCCGCATCCACGACGAGTACGAGCCACCACACATTGACGAGTTTGTGCCCCGCGACCACCTGCGCTCGTTCCTGGCCGATCCCAGCGGCCGCGGCCGCGACCAGTTCGTCCAGTACCGCGGCGACAACGTCGCCGTTGTCTGGAATAACGAGAAGGACAGCCAGGAGGTTATCGTCGACCGCCCCAACTGGACCGAGAGCTTCGTGCAGTGGTCGCCACTGGGCACCTACCTGACGTCGGTGCACATCCAGGGTGTGCAGCTGTGGGCAGGCCCCAAGTGGGACCGTGTCGGCCGGTTCCCCCATCCCTTTGTCAACCTCGTCGCTTTCTCGCCGCAGGAGAACTACCTCGTCACGTGGTCCAACCGCCCCATCTCCATCTCCGAGGAGGGCCACCCCGCGCTGTCCATCGACGACGACGGCAAGAACTATGTGATCTGGGACATTGCCTCGTCCAAGCCGCTGCGGTCGTTTGCCAACATCGACATCCCCATTGGCCCCGGCGCCGAGGGCCCCGACGGCGTCAAGGCGCCCCGGAAACAGCCATGGCCGGCCTTCAAGTGGTCGTCGGACGACAAGTACGTTGCGCGGTTAACACAGGGCCAGTCCATCTCCGTCTACGAGCTGCCCCGCATGAACCTGCTGGACAAGACGACGATCAAGATTGAGGGTGTCATGGGCTTTGACTGGGCACCGGCGCGGCCGCAGCGCGACGGCGTCAAGACGTATGAGCAGCTGTTCTGCTACTGGACGCCCGAGATTGGCAGCAACCCTGCCAAGGTCGGCCTCATGAGCATCCCGTCCAAGGAGATTGTGCGCACGCTGAACCTGTTCAGCGTGTCGGACGCGAAGCTGCACTGGCAGTCCGAGGGCGCGTATCTGTGCGTCAAGGTCGACCGCCACTCCAAGTCCAAGAAGTCGCAGGCCACGACGCTGGAGATTTTCCGCGTCAAGGAGAAGGGCGTGCCCGTCGAGGTGCTCGACACCATCAAGGACACGGTCATCAACTTTGCGTGGGAGCCCAAGGGCGACCGGTTCGTCATTATCACGACGACCGAGCCGGTGGGCCCGACGGCCGTGCCGCCCAAGACGTCCGTGGCGTTCTACTGCCCCGAGAAGGCCAAGGGCAACGCGGTCGGCAACTTCAAGCTGCTGCGCACGCTCGAGAAGAAGAACAGCAACGCCATCTACTGGTCGCCCAAGGGCCGCTTCGTCGTGGTCGCCACCGTGCACAACCAGCAGAGCTCGGAGCTCGAGTTCTTTGACGTCGACTACGAGGGCGAGAAGCCCGAGGCCGAGAAGGACATGACTGCCAACCTGCAGCTCATGAACACAGCCGACCACTACGGCGTGACGGACGTGGAGTGGGACCCCTCTGGCCGGTACGTGGCCACGTGGGCGTCGGCCTGGAAGCACTCGATGGAGAACGGCTACCACATGTACAACTTCAAGGGCGAGCTGCTGCGCGAGGAGCCCATTGACAAGTTCAAGCAGCTGCAGTGGCGCCCGCGCCCGCCGACGCTGCTGTCCAAGGAAGAGCAGAAGGCGATCCGCAAGAACCTGCGCGAATACTCGCGCGTCTTCGACCAGGAGGACGCCGAGCGGATAGCCGGCGCCGACCAGGAGGTCGTCGACCGCCGCCGCGAGCTGCTGGCCGAGTGGTATAGCTTCCGCGAGTCCATGGAGGAGGAGCTGGCCGAGGAGCGCGAGCTACAGAACATCTCCGCCAACGTTGTCGAGGAGATGCTCAAGGCCAAGACGGAGGCCCTGGGCGCCGTTGAGGATCAGGAGAAGGTGGTCGAGGAGATTGTCGAGGAGGTCCTCGAGGAGACGGAGGAAATTGTGCAGTAAAATGGGCCGCGGCCTCGTGCACGCCAAAAGTCTCAGAGTCTTTTGTCTCTTGCCAAGAGCCCCAAAAAATGGTGGGCGGAGTGGACGGTCTGGGATCATTCTTTTTTATCATTTTTTGTTCTTTGTTTATTTTTGTTTCATAGTCAGGTCAAATGTAAAAGGCATTAGAGAAGGGCGAGATATAATGCGGTTCTCTCAGCTGTTTTCCTTATTTTATTCTCTGAACGCGGTGTTTTTTAAAGTCGGTTCATTACGAAATAAAAAAAGGAGGAAACTTGTTTACTCCAATCCTGTTTGCTAGTATGCGACTATGGCCGTGTGGTCCCCCTTGGACACGCGAGAAATGAAACGGTCCTTGAGTGACAGTCTCATCTCGTCAAGACATGTTGCTGGAGTCGTGTTTGTTGCACTGTTACGGCTTGGTCACCCTTTCCCATCATAAACATGTCCCGTGGGTGGCCGCTTTCCCGATTCTCTGTACCTTAATCTGGCTATTCAGGAAAGAACAATACGCGCGCCAAGATAGAATATGGCTGATTGTACCTTTCTCTTAATGACGATTTAGGAAAGAACGCGTTCAGGCTAAAGAATCATTCGCCTCTCTCTTTCTCTTGGTACTTTCATATCTTTATTTTGTTCACAGCATCCCGAACTCGACAATACCCCAGGTCGCCCTTCTCTCCACCCTGAGCCTCCTCTCCTGCCCGGCAATAGACAGCAATTTCTGCCGTTTTCTGACTTTTGTTGACTTTTGTCTGGTCTAATCTTTTGCGTCGAGCTGGCCGATATCCTCACCACTTCGACCACAAAGATCGCAGCATCAACCTTTGAAGATTCAGCTGCCACAGCCGCAACAGCGATGAGCTTGTTCAGCAAGGGCCATCGGGTCCTCTTCGGCCTCTACATGCTTCTATGCACGGCCTCTGCAGCCTATTCCAACTTCACCACGACGTGCGAGGACCCCGTACTGCACACCAGCCGTCTGGGTCATCTCAGCCTGCTGTCGGCATCGTGCGTGACGACCACCGGGGCCTTCAACAGCACAAAAAGCACAAACAGCACAAACAACACGGACAGTACGGCCACACCGCTTTTCCACAACAGTACGCTCGACCTCAACCTCTGCCTGGGCATCGACGCCTCGACGGCGGTGCTTACGTGGTCAATCTATGGCAAATTCTCGCTCTACTGCTCGAGCTGCCATGTCGTCGGCCGGACGAGCCTGGGCTGCTCGTGTGCGACGTTGAGTGGCGTGAAGGCCAACTCTACGATTGATCTAGGTAAGCGAAGCGGAGCGAAGCGGAGCGAAACAAAGTGGCACGTGAATGTGATTTGGACATCACTAACACCCTACAGACTCTGGCATCTCCAACAGCAATGGGACGCTGTCTTGTCTAGGAGGCATCGGGATGGACAACTAACGCGTGTATGACGACGTGACCGCTACATTTCGTGTAATGACCTTTTTTCGTGTCCCATTTCTCGTTCCGTCTCTTTCGATGTCTGAGTTACATCTATACAACAAGACTGCCCCACGGGGGCAAACAGATGGAAGGAGTTAATACTCACAAACTCGGGTCTTTACAACTTTACATGATACTCTGTTTTAATACCCATATCCGTTGAAACCAACCTTGAACCTGACGTCTACGTACCTGGTGTGTGCCGTCATGCCGTTTGCTGCTTTTCCTTTTATTGTTCTTTTTTTTGTTCTTTTTTTTTTGCCTGTAGATATGATCACGTGGGCTTCACATCTCAACTCTTGCTGTGCGATCGCAGAGACTCGGTGAGGCTCTTTCCTGAAAAGGCAAGGATGCTAATCACATCCTCGACCGACCGTATGCACACCGCTTCACGGCGCCATGACAATACCGCTCTGTTGGGACTCTCGACCGTGCAGTCCGGTGAGGACTTCTCGGACCACTCTGCACTCCTCGCAAAGAACGCGTTTCGATGAGACAGCATGCTGTTGAGTGAATGCTCACGGTCAAGTGAACATTGGGCGAGATGTCTCGCAAAAGCAGGTAGGAAGCCTTTAGGGATTCTTCATCTTCAACTCTCCTTCTTCCTGCAACTTGAAAGAACAAAAGCCTGGTTCGGCTGACTTTGTCGAGAAGACTCTCTCACCCACTCCTCAACACCATCGAATGCTTCGGTGAAAGGTGTCTCCACCACGACAGACACGATGGGGTTGAAAAGCAGGAAACGGAACATCAGCTACATTTCAACTTCAGTCCCCAAAGCCGCAAATGTACCTACCGCGCTCTCCGAATCAGACTCCAAGACATTCAGCAGTGACACCAACTCGGACAAGCCGTGGAAGATGAAGAGCCCGAAGCAAGACAACAGACATATGTGTCATGCTGTGAAGGATCGACAAGCAGCACGACTGAGGCCAAATCGTACGACGGCGAGACGCAGTCTCGCTTTTGCCAATGCGCGGGCAGCGTCCGAAGTCGCCAAGTCGTTTGACGCGACCTGCGAAGCGAACGAGCTGATGCCGAACGAGTCAGCAACAGAAACGAATAAGAAGATGACGAAGAAGACGAAGAAGAGAATGAGATCGGAGAAGGCCGTATCGTGGTCGAAGACAGAGACGGAGATACCGACGGCACGCTAGGATGGTGTCGCGGCTACCGATACTTCTACATCGACCGGTGCTGATGACGCCAACGACAATACAACGAACAGTCTGACAAAGAACAGCAGCTCGGACACAGTCGAGGTTCCTGTGTCAGCCCGGGGTTCCACTACCGCCGACGACGCTTCGGTGTCAGCGTCGGCCAACGATACCGAGAACGAGCTGGACAAGCGTCTGCGCCTGGCGGCCCGCAACGCCAGCCGTCTGGAGCGCCAGGCCTACCTCAAGGAGCAGCAGAAGCAGAAGGGGAAAGATGAGGAGAAGGAGAAGGAGGCTCTGCTTCTTAAACAGCAAAAAGAGCATGAGCTGATGGCTTTTACGCCCAAGACGCCGCTCTGCCTGCCGCCGCGGTCGAGCCCATACTCGCCCGGCTCCAGATGTCGCCTGCCCTACCCGACCAAGAAGTACCGCGGCACGCCCGTCACGAAGAACACGAACGGAACGATGGAAAAGGTGGGCGCCACACAGCCAGCGGGAGGCCCGGCTGTGGAAAGCCCATTCGGCACCGGAGGTTGGGGACTGGGATACAGCAGCGATGTCGAGGACGGCGGTGACGACGTCGGCCACGCCGACAACGAACGCGTCACGTCTTTTGTGGCTCGACTGCAGGCGGCCAAGTGCTCTGTAGACGTGCCTGCCCGCGACAAGAACATCCCACCACCGCTGCTGTGTAAAGAGACGCCGTCCCGTGAAACTAGCAGCAGCAAAACAAGCACATCGCCCCAGAAGACACACGTGGACGAACCGTATGCTGTCAAGTCGCTGTCCACACCCGGCTGCTGGGAGGAGGATGCGACGTCAACGACAGGAACAGCGCTGCTGCCGTTGAAGGACCAAGACAGCTCTCTTCGGTCGGCCGCTATCAATGATAAGAGCCAGACGGACAAGAAGCGGAAAGGCCAATTTATCCACGTCTACCGCTACACGGTGATCCCGCCGGTGGTTGCCGGAGAAAGCAATGGAAGTGGTGCCGAGTGAAGAGTGTTGGGTGGTGGGTGGTGAGCTGCCATATACGTGTCTGACGGGTAGCTCTGTTGATGTCGTCGTGCGGTGATCTTTACTATTTGATGCCACTTATGACTTTAATTTTCTGTAACTTTCTGCAATTTGTTTTGCCATTTTCTGTAACGAATATCATCAAGATGATGGATAATAACGACGCGAGGACAAGGAAGATGACGGATGACATGCTGTCCACAGACGGTAGTCAAGGACAATAATTATGTATACAATGCTTTCTCTCTCAATGCCAAAAATAAAGTTGCGTTTCAGTATCCTGCAAATAAAAGGACAGGACAGCACAGCCGCCGGATGGATGGCTCTGCCGTCTGACAAAACAATTGACTCTTCGAACGGCCATCCCGCGCCCGGCAAGACGGTGGTCTGACAAATGGTGCTTATGTCCAAAAGGTAAATAAAAGAATAAATCCCGAGTCGCAGGACATGTCCTGTTTCTGTTCAAGGTCGCTCTGCCGCCTCGCATTCGCACTCGACGACGTAATCGAGACAGTCAATCATTCCCGTGCTGCTCACTGCGCTATCTCTACGTCGCACTCGGCCACGATTTCCCCGCCTTTGTTGATCGACTTTTAGGGGCGGCAGTGGGCATCCACTGCAACCGCACCACCACCAACTCCACCACAACCCATCACACACCAATTCCGCGCCGGACAGCCCGGAACACCGTCTCCTCACCCCCAGACACGACACATACAAACAAGGAGGATTGAACGGCAGACCCTCCCAGTCAGGAAGAATGCCACCCCAAGCAGAGGCGAAGGGCCAAATTGTCAGCAAGTCCTATTTGTACCTTTCGTTCCCCCTCGTTTTAATCCGGACCTTCTCTCGCTTGTAACCTTTGCCTTCATTTCTCTTTCGTCTCTCCTTTTCCCTCTCGGCAACCTCCATTTCGACTGTCTTCTGTCGTTCGACGACGCCTTCGTTACACGACCAGTCCCTCTCTCCTCTGTCGAAGCTACCAGAGATCGCGACCTACATGCACGCAAACAATGTCCTTCATTGGGAACGGCTTTTGAAGATTGCAAGAGTTGCGAGTAGACGTATCGCGAAACGAAAAAACGGAGCGCCCGGAGAAGAAAGAAACAGGTGCATAACTAGTCACAGGTCGTCCGTTCTCCCGAGTCCCGTCCTTCCTTGGCCCCCGACCAACGTTCGTTTTTCGCTCGACTCCGCCTCGACCTATCTGTCGCGGTTTATTATAGTTTATCACAAAAAGTCGAAAAGAATCAAAGAAAGAAAACTCCCCAAGCCGTGGACAAGACACAAAAGAAAGAAAAATTCAAAAATTTCAGATACCGTCTTTTATATAATATGGATCATACGGGTCGTCGAGATAAATCGAGGGAAAGGGACGACGTCCCTTTTAAATCAACGCGAGGCAGAAAAGACAAAAGACACAAGTGTGGAGAGCTCGTTGGCATGGAATCCGCATGACTCGAGCGAAACGAGCTGTTTCCCGCTGCGACCCCATACCCCATACCCCATCTCTCGCCCGCAAGGCCAGACAAGTGAGCTTTGCCTACGAAGGGGGCGCCATCTTGATGGGCTTGGTGCCCAGGCCGTTGTGGTTGCGGAAGAACAGGATGTTCTTGCCCTTCTCTGTGGCCTCGGCGCTCGGCTCGACCCACTGGCACATGCGCGCGCTCGTGTACATGGCCTTGAGGAAGCCCAGCGAGCCGCCCTCGACGTCGGCGCGGTAGTGCTGGCCCATGACGGGGCGGATGGCCTCGGACGCCTCGTCGGCGTGGTAGAAGGGGATGGTGCTGACATAGTGGTGCAGGACGTGCGTCTCGATGATGCCGTGCAGCAGGTGGCGGCCGACGAAGCCAAACTCGCGGTCGATGGTGGCCGCGGCGCCGCGCACAAAGTTCCACTCGGCCGGGGTGTAGTGCGGCAGCGAGGGGTCGGTGTGCTGCAGGTAGGTGATGGCGACGAGCCAGTGGTTGACCCACAGGTAGGGCAGGCCGTACCAGACGGCCAGGTTGGCCCAGCCGAACGTGTTGCCGAGCAGGACGAGCGCGGTGATGGCGAGGCCGAGACCAATGTCGCTCAGGACGACCAGGCCGGCGTCTTTGTTGTCGTACAGCGGGCTGCTGGGGTTGAAGTGGTTGACACCGGTGCCCCAGCCGTTCTTCTTGCCCTTGCCGCGGCCCTCGCGCTGGCCCTCGTGGTAGTTGTGGCCCGTGACGTTGGTCAGCAGGTAGTTGGGCCAGCCGACCAGCTGCTGCAGGAGCAGGGTGGTGAAGGTGTAGATGGGGGTCTCCTCGGTCAGCTCCGACAGCTCGTGCACGAGCTTGCCCAGGCGCGTGGCGTGCTCCTCGCGCGTGCGGGGCAAAAAGACCATGTCGCGCTCCATGTTGCCGGTGGCCTTGTGGTGCTTGCTGTGCGACATCTGCCAGCTGAAGTAGGGGACGAGCAGGGCCGAGTGCAGGACCCAGCCGACGGCGTTGTTGAAGGTCTTGGAGGGCGAGAAGGCACCGTGGCCGCACTCGTGGGCCAGGACCCAGAGGCCCGTGGCGAACAGACCCTGCATGATGCTGTACAGGAACCACAGGGCGCCGCGAGCGACGACGTTGGGGACGTACGCGGGGGTGTTGTAGGTGTGGAAGCCGTAAAAGGTGACGGCGAGGTAGACCATGTCGCGGAAGACATAGGCGAGGCCGCGGGCGCCGGACCGCTCGAAGCAGTGCTTGGGGATGGCGTCACGGATGTCCTTGATGGTGAAGTCGGGGACCTTGAACTCGTTGCCGTAGGTGTCGACGAGCTTGCCGTACTCGGCCTTGCTGTCGGTGGGCTTGGCGCTGATGTCGTCCATGGACGAGAGCGAGGAGAGGGAGGTCGACGAGGCCGAAGGGCGCGGCGAGTCGACGGGAGACTGTTGGGCCGTGGAAGGGACCGAGACGTCAAAGTCGGTGGCGCTCGAGGTCAAAGTGCGGCGGAGGGCGGCGTGCTTGGCGGTCGAGGCCGCCGATGAGGTAGCGGTGGCCATGATGGAGGTTGTGTGCGTAGGGAAAGGAGGAGAAAAGAGGAGAAAAAGAGAAAACAGGAGGGCAAAAAAGGAGACGAACCAAAGACGAATCTACAAAGACAAGATGGCGCTTCTTTACAACGTCCTTCTCGGCTGGCCTGTTCCACGCTAGGGTGGAAGACAAGGAACAGATGTGAGCAAGAAGTGAGAAAGGGAAGGGTGAGAAAACAGAAAAAGATGGATGGAGGAAATACAAGAGAGTGAGAAGAGAAGAAGGGGAAAGGAGAAAAAGGATAGAGAAGAAGAACAGAGTAAGAAGTATAGTAGGGCGGGTGTGGGAGAAAAGGAAATAAAAGCAAGGATGCAGTGGGATAAGAAGGGGACCAAAACCAGGGGATACAAGTGGACAAGGAGTGTGGCGTTGAAAGCTGAGGGTATAAAAAGAAGAAAAGAGGAAAACCCAAAAAAAAAAAAAAAAAAAAAAAAAAAAAAAAGAAACAAGGAAAAAGGCCGGCAACTGGAAAGAGCAGGGGGCGTGTTGTTCCTCATGTGGCAGACGAAAGCAAAAAGCATTGTGGAGTAAAAAAGGGTAGGGGAGAGAGACGGCTGGGCTAAGCAAGAGCTATCGCGGTATCAGCAAAAGCTTTTGGCTCTTGGTTCTTTGGTTTACTCAGTACTACATAATATTACAATGTATGCCGTATGGCCGCGGCAGTGGGATGAGCATAGCCAGACGCTGAACAGTGTGTCTTTTGACCAACACTGATGACTGTTGCTGTCGTTTGCTCTTGCCTTATGTATTGTTTTCGTACTATGTGGATGTGCTGAACAAACGAATTTGGACGGGAGTGCCACAATCAGCAGCAGCGACCAACAGGCAAGTAGTCATGGCAGAAAAAAAGGGTACAAGGGAAGGAACGAGGGAAAGCAAAAAAGCAGCCAGGAGAGACAGTGTGCCGCTAGGAAAGAAACAAGCGACCAGGCCCACGGCAAGACGCGAGCTTTCGCTCCAGCAATGAGTACGAAGTAAATGAGCAACTTGGACCAAAGACAACCTGACGTCCGCTGTCTTCTGCGTCGTAATACTGGACGCTTCGTTCCTTGCCCTTCAAGCCGTCGTCTTGGTGCCAAGCACTTGTTTTTCTGGTGGCTGCGGCAAAGGACGAATTGGCCACTCAGAACGTGCAGCCTGACCGCTTTCCCGAGGAAATAGGAGGACGGAAGAAGAAAACGAGGGAGCGTACGAGGGATCCAACTGTTTTTTTTTAAATAATAATAATAATAATAATAAATGTTAAAATAAAAGAGAATTAAAGATTGCTAGCGCCGCGTATCAACTAGCGGCTCCTTCCCTGTGTCACGAAACGGAACAGTACGAAGTATCCCTCTTTCTTGCCTCTTTTGGCTTTGACCGCCTTTGACCGCCGCGCTGCTCTGGCGCATACTTTGTACTGCCGACGTAGTGTCCTGTATTTAGAGGACCACGATGCGTACAGAAACCTCCGTACACATGGTCCAGTGGTCTACAGCAATCAATATGCGATTCGTACATCATACCCAGAAGTCGGCCATCTACAGTGGCACCACGAACAGTACGCAGTTGGGGAAGAACAGATGAGACGATTTGCGATCGCCTGTAAGGAGGAAAGAGCAAGAAGCAAATGTGGGTACAGCAGGCGGTACGAACCAGAGGCGTGCGAGGGTAGCAGTTTCCCCTGTCAGGGATGCCGAGAGGGAAAAAGCATGCCGTGAAAATGGCGTGAACGTCGACCGTCACATGTAAAAATGCCCCGTATTGGGGACACTCAATGCGATACCGCCAGCACAGAAAAGGGCTTTCCCACCACAATCCCAGGGGTCCCTCCACACAAAATACGCCCCTCTGTCTAAATCTGGCCCGCTTTTTTCCGTTGGGGTAGCCGCTGGATTTTGTTGAGGGTGCGCTCTGCAAGCTAAAGCGGCACGAACGTTAAAAAATGCAAAGTGCAAATGAAAAAAACCAAAAAAAAAAAAAAAAAAAAAAAAAAAAAAGAAGAGCGAAGCCAGGCCACAATCGTGGTCCCCGAAGGTACCTGAGGCTGTATTTTGCAGTGACAGTACCACCTTATACAAGCAGTTTCTCTCATGCCACCCTCGCCCCCCCATCCACCTTTCTAGGCCCCGTCCCACGTGTGAAATGCCGTCCATTGGCAAAGGCAGGGAACAGGAGCCCCCGATCGGAGCAGGGGCCACCTCATACCTTTGACGAAGCAGCTTACGATTGATTCTCAGTCAATCGCTTCGGAGGCAAATCGACGACTATTGCATACAGGCACCTCGACGTAACGGACTACTTTGTACCGAGAACCATCAATAATCGACTAGCAAATTGTTGCTTTCACGGGAAAGACGCGGGAAAAAATAAGCCGCCCGTGAGATTGTTTTGACGGCTGCTTTGTAGCTCGGATCAGCTCCGCGGAAATCGACCAAGAAACGGACGAGAACATGCTGGCCATGCACTTTGACAAGAAGAGGAAACAACCTATATTTGCTCCGTAACAGTGCTTCTCATACGGCGTGCCGTACATTGGAAAGAAGGAGGCCTGCGCAGTTCACGTTCATCGCTCTGCCCGATGGCACCACGCCTTGTTTCGTGGACGGCGATAGGCTGGCCGGAACAGGACCAATGCAGCCGGAGCAGAGGCAAAGCACGGGAACAGACGGCATTCTAACATGTGACAATTGGGCGATACGGTAAACAGAAAAGCAATTAGGAAGGGACAAAAAAATAAGAGAAAAAAATAGAATAAAACTTGGAAATTTCTGAGGAAAAGATGAAAGACAAGAGACACATTTTGAAAACTTTGTTGAGGATCTACAATTGAGAAACGGGAAAGCCCACAAAAGAACAGCGCGAACGGGGAGGAAAGGGGGAGAGGGGGTGAAAGAGCCCATCGAAAAGGCCAGTTGAGACAAATTCCGTCAAATCAACAGCTCCATATAAGACAAAGGGCTCGGCCGACAATGGCCAATACCGAGAACAGCGGGGACTCTGTACACGCGTTGACAATGACTCGACGATGCGTGCGTGCGGTGCATGATTTGTGGCCATCTCCCTCTGGGACAGGCGGCAAGGCCGCGGTAGCGATGTTCTCGAAGTGATTGACCTAACCCCCATCTTTGGTTGTATCTCGTGATGGACACAATATTAAAGTTGTTGACCTTGCTTTTCACTGTCTGCATATGACAAGAGACAGCGAGATCATATGTCAAATCAAAACGGCGCAAGTGCCAACGAGACCGTCGCGTAGTCTTAGTGAGACAATAATGCCAACACGACGTAAATCAAGAGAAAGGTCGATGCTCATATTGTCCCTGTGGCCTTTTGATCGGACTCGCCTGCGTGACGGTACATCCCCTTCGCTCTCAGAACACGCGATTTGAAAGCATGCTTGCTCTGTATAAGCTTTTCCAAGTCCCTACATGGACGGCAGGTCGAATGGTTGATACGCAATCTGCGTTGTAGGTGGTATCAATGAGGACGAAGGAAAGAGTGGCACAAGGGACAGCGTGACACGTCGACGTACATACGTGCACGCGTAAATATAAAAACAGTTTTCAGAAATGCAGAGCGTTGGCAAATTTATGTACTACAAAATATACCCATCTTTGATTCGCCTGGAGACGAAAATCCGTCACGAAGCAGGGCTGCCTATTTGGGAAATGTGAAGCACAACGTCAAAGCTGAAGCAAAACACGATCTCGAGTTGGCCGCAGGACGGCCAGCCATTTGCATATCTCGACAGACAAAAAACCGGAGACTTGGTGCAAATAGGAAAGGAATTGCATCAGCTGTGTCTAAAGTTGACACGGAGAGGCGCAAAAGACATCTGAGAGACAGAAAGAAAGAGACCAAACCGCCCGACATACAAAGCCATCTACAGTGCAGATCGCGGCCCGCATCGGACCAAAAACAGGGCTGAACGGAGACACCCTCCCCCCTCTCACCGTCTTTCCCTTCTCCCAGCCTCCCCTCCGAATCAGTTGACCTCCATGCCGCCGTACAGCTGTTCGAGCCATCTGTCTACATATTCATCACCTTGTTGCTACTGTTGCCCGTCGCAATCGTCTGCGTCTTGAGCGTCAGGCAGTTGCCATTGCAGTTGGCGTCCAGGGCCCGCTGAAAAGCATTGCCGTCCACCCAAACAAAACTTAGTCCCCTTGGCTGCCCGTTAATAACAGCACAAAATGTGAATAATATCGAGCAGATAGCCATGCTTGACGAAAAGACAAAAGTCGGCAATCAGAGGTCGCGAGAAGGGCCCAGATTGGAAGCTCTTGGGACGCAGCAGCACCAATGACAGTCGTGGTGTGTATTGCAAGGAAATGGTGGCAGGTAGAAACGGGGAGAAGTGACGCTTTCGACTGATCTGGATGCAGGGCACTATGGCAGAGGGTGAAGGAAAAAACTGAACGACCTTCGGTTGCCTTGTTGTTCAACCATCCAGTTCGGCAACATCCATTCATTGTCAAGTGTAGTCGTGCTTGCGCTTTTCAGTCTTTGTTATGGCCTGCTGCACTGTTCGTAGTCAACATACAAAGCCGGAGTCAAGTAATGAGTCAAGAGCAGACTTGGGGTTCAAGAAACGAGTTGTTTGTTTTGATCTCCAAAAACGGAGCTTCGACTTCAGAAAACTTTGTCCAGATTAACACCAGAGAAAAGGCAACGCTGTATAAATATAAGGACAGGGGGGATTTCTAGATAGATCAAAGAAGCTTGAACTAGAAAACAAGAAATGCCCCGAATGAAATTTGCATTGATTGCCTTCGTCCTGGCCCATGAGAATGCTGCGGGTTCCCGTTTGATAAAAGCAAAATGCGATATCCAAAAGTCTACTTGAAAAACGCAAAAGTGAAAATAAGCAACCTCCACCGAAAGAAATATTAACACCCCTGAGACAAATAGCCACTTGTATGTGGCACGGTTGGTATACCCATGAAGAGAAACAAAAAATAAAGAACAAGAAAATTAAGTACACACATCGTGAAATGCGCTGGTGTGGAAAACGAGTAGTAAAAGAGTGACGAGAAGAGGAAGTAGCAAATGGGTGGCGGTAGAAAAAGAAATAAAAATAAGCAATATTGTATAAACGGGCAAGAGATTGTCCCTCTCTCTAGCCAATGTTAGATTATGCCGTTGTGTAGTTGTCTTGAAAATAAATGTTGTGTTTGGTCATAAAGGCGTAGCGAGTGAAAAAGTTTATATATGCGAATGCGTATGTGCAGGCATGTGTGCAATGTGCAGTGTGCAGTGTGCAATGTGCAATGTGCAGTGCGTTTGTACGTGCGTGTTTGGAGTGTTTTGTACAGAGATCGGATCGTGGTCGTCGGGTTCGTTTAGTAAGTTGCGTGCCAACTGGATTTAGCTGGCCTTCTACTTAGGCGAGACCTTACCGGCTTCGCGGACAGCCAGCATCCAGCGGTCCTCTTCGCCGTGCTGTGCAACGACAACGTGCTTATCGTCAGCTCCATCACCACCGGGGGTAATGGCCTTGACGACAGCCGCCATGTCCTGTGTGCCGAGCAGTGCTGCCTCCCGCTCCATAAGCAGGGCCACGCCGGCGCGCACGAGGATGGTGTCACCCTCAAAGACATAGACATCGAACAAACGAGCAGCCTGGTCGAGAGCAAGGTGGCCGGTAAAGAGGGAAGTGAAGACGCTGTTGAGACACAAGTCGGGGTCATAGTCGGGCATGTTCGTGATGTGGTCGTAGAGGACGGGCGACTTTTGCGCGAGGGTCTGCAGCATGAGGTTGTAGGCAGATGCCTTGGCGCCGGGATCAGCAGCGTAGAAGCTCAGCGGCAACGGGCGGTTAAGCAAGTTGGCGAGGGCGACAAAAGCCGATGCAGGGCCAGGCAGGTTGAGGAGGAGCAGAGCAGCAATGGTGTTGCAGCCGGTGACGTAGCCAATGTCGCTGCGGTACATGGAGTAGGCCATCAGGACATCCATCAGCCCCTGGTGCAGCGGAGCACCGGCCTGGAAGATCTTGAGGTCTCTCCACGTGTGCTCCTGGACGTCCTTGCGGATGGTCTCGAAGCAGGCCAGGTACTGCTCGTCGCCTTCGATCGAGTTTTCGGTCTTTGCGCGCACCTCCACCTCGTACGCGCGGCTGAGCGCAGCGTGGAAGGACGCCTCGGTCAGGCCAAGCTCGTTGCCAATGGCACGCGACCACACAGCGCCACGGCTGCGCGGGGCGACGCCACGCCACCACAAATCACGCGTGCGGCGCTCGCGAATGGCGACCGACCAGCGGGGGATGATGTCGTGATCCCAGATCTGCATGAGGCTGCTGACGGCGGTATCGCGGCAGTCGGACTTGGCCTGCTTGGTGGCCTCGCGGCGTTTTTCGGCTTCGAGGCTGTAGGCCATCATCTTCTGGTACTCCTTGAGGTGGCGCTTCTCCTCGGCAGGGTCCTTGGGCGGCAGCCAAGACGGCCGCGTCCGCGAGAGAACCGCCTCCTTCTCCTTGGACACGGGCAGAGGATCGATCATGATGTTGCTGCGGCGCAGAGGGGGCAGGTCAGGCAGGGCAGATTTATGGCGCGTCTTTGAATCGAGGGACGAACTGGTCGAAGAGCGGCGCACCGCGGGCATCGAACCGGTGCTAGAACGCTGCTGCGACTTAAGCTCCAGCTCGTCGGCATGCTCTTCGAGCTTCTCCGTCAGGTTCTTGGCTTCCAAGCTCAGCTCGGACAGGGCGCTCGTCCAGCTCTTAGCGCGCCATTTCATGGGCGAAGCCACTTCGCTGTGCGACTTGTTGTGCTCGGTCTTCCATTGTGGGGAGCGCAGCGAGCCCTGGGCGGAAGCGATGGCTGGTGTGCCGTTTCCGACACTGCGGTGTCTGTGCTCCTTGACCGCGCGGTCGGGCGAGCCGGGCTTGGAGCTCGCGGGGCTGGGGTTGACGGATTGAGATCGCTCAGAAGGCGGGCGTGGTGAGATGGGGACATTGTCTAGGATGAGGCCCTCTGGGATATCGTCACCTTCGTCTTCGTCGCACTCCATCTCCAACTGGACCGACGTCTTCCGCTCGTGTGTGGACTGCCAACTGCTGCGACGCGGCTTGACGATGACGGCCGGATCTTTCAGGCCATGCGGGACGTTGACCAGGTTGGGGCTGGGGCTGCGGTGGCGGAAGGAGAGGGACGTGGCCGACCGGTTGCCGTGGCTTCTCTTGGACTTGGGAAGCAGGGCTTCTGGTGTCAGTGCGCTCGTGCTCGTGCTACGGACATTGGCGCCGCGGACTTGGCTCTGCAAGCTAGGAAAAGAGGGCCGGACGGGTGGGGTGATGTCACGGTTGGCGGCATGTGGGCGTGTGCGAGGAAGCTCGCGTGAAGATGAGGAGACGCGCGGTTTGGTTGTGAGGCTGTGGGTGGAGGCGGACTGGAGCGAGGCGGCACGGAGGTCCGCCGAAAAAGAGGGCGAGAAACGGTTGGGGCGGGCCTTGAAGTCGGCAGCGTCACGGTCGTGGTGTGCGGCGATCGAGGACGCGTCGTCGTCGAGGCCAATGTCCTCAAAGTGGTTGACGTCGGACAGGACGCTATTGTCGTCGGAGCTGATGGAGTGGAAGGAGGAGGATTTGGAGGATTTGGAAGCAGTCATGCCGGGCGGCGACCCAGGACTGGGGACGACGGAGTCGACGATTGCGTGCTCGAAGACCATCATCTTGATTGCATTGTGCCGGCCAGCGGTCCGGATGGGAGATGAATGTATTGATGATGTACGACGTATGAAGTAAAGAGGCGAGGCGGCGAAACCAAGAGTGGCGGGCCAAGAGGCGCGATGGTTGGTGGAAAAGGGCTGTCCGCGTCGAGTAGGGTGGTAAGGCTGGTGGCACACTCGCGGTGTCTGGTCAACACAGAATGTGGTCGGGAAGGTGAATGGCGAAGAGACACACCGTACTTCTCCGCACACTGCCTCTCTTTCCGCGGATGCGTTTCCTGGGTTTCGTGCGTCTGTGTTCTGAGCGCGACCCCTGATGCGTAAGTGCCAAGTGTCTCAAGATGCTTGGATGGTCCGGGTCGGACGAGGGCCAGAAACGACAAAAATAAAGCAAACCAGGGCGGGCTCAGGACGGAAAGTGTCTGAGCTGGGCCAGACAAGGGACACAGAGAAAGGAGGGAGACCAAGACGACCAAAACGACCAAGGCGACCGAGGAGACCGAGGAGACCGAGGAGACCAAGAGCGCGGGAAAAAAATAAAGTTTGTCGATCCAAAAACAAAAAACGGGCGGAGTGTTTTAGAAGGGCAGATTTCGAGGCCAGTCGAGGCAAATCGGCGGCATGTAACACGGACGCGACAAGACGGTAATAACGGTATTGTCAAAACTTGAGCGCACTGTCCGGTGTCTCTTGTCTGAAATGAAGAATGGAGACCGTCAAGGGCGACAAAGAATGGGTGAAAACGAGGGACGGGTGATCGTCGAAGAAGAGAGCCAGGGAGTATGTCTCGGCGAGGCGAGATGGAGAGACGCAAGACAGAAGGGACAAGAGACAAGAAGCGATGGACACGGCCGGACCGAGAACGAAGGACAGTGGTCCAAACGGGCGAGACAAGTAAAGGAGGCTGTGGGAAAGAAACGAGTGAGAAGACGAGGAAGGCGTGAGGGCGTCTAATCCCAAAGCAGGGCGTCTGAAACGGACCGGGGTTGGTGGTCTGTGTTGGTTGGCAGGCGAAGGAGGCTGGCGGTGCTCACGTTCGAGAGGCACTCGTGCACGGGGTGATGATGATACAAAGCGAAAGGTGATGTTGACGAAAACAAAGAAAAAACGAGACAAGGGAGAAGGGCAGAAAGGCCAAAATAAAGCGAGAGACTGGGCAAACGAATGTCGGGGTAGTAAGGTTAGGAAGTCGCTGACGAAGAAAGAACAAAAGAACAAAAAGAAAGAAGGAACAAGCCGACAACTAGGCACAGAGAGACAAAACAGGGAAGAGCGACCGTGGTGATGGGGGAGGAGGGAAGGAATTGTTACCGGGAAGAGCGAGTGTATGAGGTCAGGGGTGGGAAGGAACCAGTGGCGGGCGGGCGAGTGAGTGAATGTTTTCTTTCCTTCTTATCCTTCTTTCCCTTCTATCTAAATTTGATTCTCTTCTTCATACCCCTGTTCGTGAAAATCGGGCCTGAGATGCTGGAGGGCGCATGTCAAATTGGCGGGCCCGCCAGCAATTGGTGAGCTCCTGCCGTGGAAAGAAAATAAAATAAAAAGGGGGTGGTTGTGCGAGTGTACTGTACGCGGCGCCAAATGGGCAGGAGCAGCACTGTCACTAACCCGATTTGTGGCTACAGGACGGAGCTTGCCAGTCCTTGCCAGGAGCAGCCCATGAGGAAAGAGCACAAAAAGCACTGCTGTAGTACGAAGTACAAGACATAAGCCTGTGAGCGAAGCGGCAGCCCGAATGGCGCAAACGGATGCGGATGACGCCTGTCGTTATCTTTTTGATACCTGAAATTAAGGACACAGCCTAGCCCAGTTTCAGGTACCGTGGGCCTGTTTGCATATGATAATCAAGGACTACGATGCAGCAAATGTTCTAGCATAGCTACGGAGAGCAGTCTGTTTATTTACTAGGTTGACAAGGCTTACGGAAATGAAGGACGCGCGACTCCGTTTGCGTTCTTCTTTGGCGATGCGGTGTTTGGGATGCTTGTTGGTGTGATGTTGTTTGTTTTCATTATTGCCTGCTTTCGATCAAGGGTTGTTGCTGAAATAGCAGGGACAAGAAATGAACTGACAGGAAGAAGAAAGAAAATAAAGGGAAAAGATTATGCCCGCAGAGTGGGACGAGACTGTGGGACAAGAACAGGAACAGGCTAAGAGTCACGCCCAAAGTACGACGCACATAGAGGAACAAAATAGAGAAACAAAATAGAGAAACAAATGTGAAAAGAAAACAGTACTTTGTCATCGGTGCCAGACTGCCTCTTTCGGCGAAAGGAACAGCAGTGAAAGCACAGAGGCGATGTAAACAGCAGCAAACCCGAAAATAGAGACGAGACTAAGCGTGGAAGGTGGAGAAGTGGTCTTTCGATCAGCAACAAGAATCAGGGGGTGTGGAGGGTAGGTCGTGTGTGCAGCCAATGAGAAGCTGCAAAGAGCTGGACATGGCCAGGCCTCATCCTTTGCCTCCCTGGCTTGGCGATGGGAGGAGAGGACAGAATCGAAAGCGGGAGAACAAAAGCAGGAAAAGGGAAAGAAAAACGAAGTAAAGTAATGTATTAAAAATAATAAAAAACTAAGAAAAGAAAAACGACAAAAGCAAGGTACGAATTACAAAATAGATGAGGTCCACAAAGTACGACATACAAGATCTGGAAAGTCTTGGATGCCTTCTCTGAACAGCGTCGCAGCGCTACGACCATCCAAATGAAATGACGCGGAGTCCAGAGCAGTATCTGGGCAGAACAAGTTTTCTGCCCCAGGTTGACCGCTGGCGATGAGCTGTCAACCAGGAACTGGCTCCAAAGGTGTCCAATTGTCCAGAGAGGATCCTGAAATGCCAGGCCTGGCCCGGCTTGGGAGGCCTTTTGTCCTTGGCAGCTGAACCATGACCTGAACTTACCTCACCTCAGTTATAAATAGCGGGCACTGAAAGCCTGGGAGCCTGTAAGAACCACACAGTCTCTGTCATCGCCCATACCCACACCCACTCAACCTTGGAAAGTATTCATTAAAAAAGCTCTTACAAAATAGCACGCGATCTTGAGAAACAGGGCAATCCTTCGTACCGGACGTCGAGACTGTCGTGTGCGCAGAGGGCCAAAGTGGGCTTAAGCTTTTTGGACTGTTGCTTGTTCGTGCCTGTCTTTTGTCTTCTCCCTTTGTCTTCTCCCTTGTCTTCTCCCACTCAATGTCCTTCCTCCTGCCGCCTGCGTCGTACGGAGGGGTTTGCGCGCTGTGGCTTCTGCGCGATTCGCTAAAGGCGCTGCGGATGACACCGGTGGCGTCTGCGGGCAAGGGCCAGGGGCATTTCAGAGTCCGGCAGGGCAGTCCCGGTTCTGAACACTTCATTTTGCCACGATATGTATTCAGTAATTACGTATCTTACGACGATAGAAAAGCCGACAACCATCAAGCCTCGGTCTAGCTGTCTTCTCGACTCATTTTGCAGGCCCGTCGATTTCCGTCCGTCGTCCGTCGTACAGCTGGCCTCACCAACTGGCTGCATGAGCTGAACAACTTCGGCGTAAGACTACATCTCGGCATTCGTCTCTTTCGTTCTCTCTGACTACTTCACCTTCGCATTCCTCTGTTCTGCAGCCCTTTTAACACCGCTGGTCTTTAAATAGCGAGTAAAACCCCTACATCGTACTGTGCAGCTCCGGATGCTGCAACGGATGTCGCCGTAATGAACGAGCCCACATTTTGCTGCGCCCAGTTGTCATCTTGTTTTATTGTTCTTTTTTTTTTCATATTTTTACCCTTCAAGGTCGTTTTGCGCTGGGACCACATTGCTTTTCCTTGTTTGCTTTCCATCGCTTCTGCCCTCTTGACCTTCTTGTCCTTCTGTCCCGTCCACGCCTGGCGGCCTTCATTCCGGTTAAGGACATTTCCGCACAGCATAAAACGTGGGTAATTTTCATAGATTGCGCGTGTCCCACAGTCCAGTCCAGTAGTCCAGCTCCAGTACCCAGAGCCCACATTTTATTGGTTCCTCTCTTCCATTTTTCATTGATTTCCGGCACTCTATATAAAAGTGGATCCACCGTCTGTTCCTCATGCAGATCGCCTGCTCGATCGCGATGGGCATCGCGTCCCCCTTTTTGTCTGTTGTTGACAGACGCGCGACGGCCATTGATGTCACGTGTCCTGCTTCCACGACGCTCCTTCCCCTTCGTCCCACACAAGCTCAAACACCTCGTCCGGCTCGTCCTTGCCAAAGGCGCCCTTGTAGACGTAAACCTGGCGGAAACTGGCGACGCCGCTGCCGCTGTCGCTGTCGCTGTTGGCGCCATGTTCGCCAGCAACAACCTCCCGCAACCGGTAGCTCTTCTTGTCCGCGTCGTCCAGGGCCGGCCGCAGCGGGCCCAGACCAGCAACAAATTCGTCGCCGGCATGCGACCACGTCTCTTCCATGCGCCGAAAGTCGGGGTGCACGCCGGCCCGGTACGTTGTCACTGAGTAGCCGTTGACAAAGAGCGTATCGCCGGCGTCGTCCTCGCCTCCGCGGTCGGGGCCGGCCCCCGTCCACGTCCACCGTTTCAGAAAGCAGTCGCCGCACACGCGCATGACCGCCGCCATGGCCGGCAGCGGCGCCTTGTACCAGCTGCGCCAGTGGTGCACCGACAGAGGCGCCAGGCCGGCCTCGTAAAAGCCAGCAGCGTCGCCGTACAAGTCGTGCTGGTTCAGGCCGGGCACGAGCGTGAGCGGCGTCGCCGGTGCGTGGCGGGCCATGCAGTCCCGCAAGAGACCGTCGCCCGTCGTCGTGCTGTCCCGTCCTCCCGCTGTCGCTGCCGTGGGCTTGCTGCCCTCCTCTTCGAGGGCAGCCAAGGCCGCTCGCCGGCCCTGTCGCAGACACTCGCCAATGTAGGGCACAACCGTCTCGGCCAGCGGCACACTGATAAACGCACCGGCGCCGCCGTACGCCATACGGCCCCAAAGGGCCAGGGCGTCGGCGTCTTCGGACAGCGCACCGAGCCACGTCGACCGGGTGTGGTCGTACCTGCGGAGCGCTTGGTCGAGCCTGTACAGCGACGGAAAGAAGGTGTCGTCGTCGACAATGCTGAGCCACCGTGTGTCTGGTGTGGCCGCCTCCAGCAAGGACAGGAGCACCGCAAAGTGGTTCTGCACGACGGAGCGCGCGAGGCGGTGCTGCGGCGGCAGGGCGCGCAGGCGGATCCCGCGAGCGCGGTAGGCCGTCTCCAGCGCGGCCAGCTCGGCCAACTGCGTTGCGGTCTTGCCGATCCCGGGCTTGGCTTGCGTGCCCACCTCGTCCGGCCAGTCCTCTTCCTCCTTCTCCCGCTCCACGCCGCCCCCGTCCGCGTCTTGCACAATCGCCACCAGCTGCGCCCCCGTCCCGCCGAGCCAGTGTGTGAACCCGTCCAGGGCCGTCATCATGCGCTCCGAAGACGATGCGACGCCAAACAGCAAGTGCGAGTAGTTGGCTGTGGATGCCGTCGGATACGGCAGAGGCACCTCGAGCTCAAGCGTCTCGCAGGCCGGCAGCGCCCGGCTACACGTGGTGCCAAGCGCCGTTCGGTTCACCATCACCATGTCCGCCTGCGCCGGGATGAGTCGTCCTGGCATGGGCGTCGGCGGACGGCGGGTTGTCGGGTTGGGCGACGTTTTCTGGGCCCGAAACACAGGCCGCACACAGCGCCGGCTGTACCGAAAGGCCGCGGTCAGATCGGGGATGCCATTGTCCAGGTCCAAGTGGGCCACACCGGACTGGCAGTCAGGGGCGGCGCCTTGTCCCTGTCTCTGTGTATCAATCGCGTCCTGTGGGGGCGGGCGCACCCGCTGAAAGGATGGCCTCTGCGACCACGACTGGGACCACGGCGACTGGGACCAGGGCCGTCGGTAGCGCACAAACGCAACCAGGAACACCACAACCAGCACGCCCGCCACCGGCAGTAGACGCCCGCGCTGGACGAGGCGGGGAGGGGCGAGCATGTGAGTGAGTGTTATGTTGGCAGTCTGGGGGCCCGTGGGGCATCGTATTGGGGAGGGGAATACGAGGTGGGTGCGGCTGCCTGTGGGCGGTCGTGAGTGAGCGGCTATCAGCGGTGGCTGTGGTCAACGGACAAGTCATGTAGGCCAAGGCTCGTATTCACGAGCGTGGGTAAGGCAACGTGACGAAGAGGTGGCATGTTCTCATTTTGGTGCTTGGAAAGCAATAACAGTGAGGCTTTCAGCGATATTTTTCCTTTTTTTTTCTTTGCACTTTTACGGCCATACTGGCATTTTCGTTCATCCGCCAGTCCACTAGACCTAGAGTCTTTCGCAAAGCAACCGCGGATATTGTGCCGTGGATACGAGTCAGGTGGCAGCCATGGACAAACGGTTTGGGTCAGGGTTACAAAATGAGCATTACTCGCAGAAGGGGGAGGAGGAGACTGCGGGATCTACCTCCGCAATGCGGAATCTGGGGTAAATGGGGCACAGGGCGACGTGACAGGCCAGGCCGCCAAGGGCATGGAAGTATACCGGCTGGGTCCGTGATTGATCGCGTGAAGATCGTGTGAGGATCGTGTGAGGGTCGAGTGAGGCGGACTGTCACGCTGGTTTGCCTGCGCCTAAAAGAGTATGGCAATACTAAAGCAAATACGAGTCCTGATGCGATTCCAAGAAATCAAGAAGCCAAGAAGCCAAGAAGCCAAGAGATCGATTCATGTTTGTCCATTCTGCCTCTTTTGCTCCGATCCGCATGCTGGCCTTTACGCAGCCGTCGGATATTAATTAAGGGGACAAATAACCCGTGCATGACATAACTAAATGTATAAATTAATTGCAGCAATAAAATACGAGTTTTGAGCCGTTGACAGGGACTTTGTTTCGGCGAGTGGCCATAATATGCTCAGTTGTGGTGCAGCTTTGTAGTGTTCTTGTCTTGGTGAAAAAAAGAAAGAAAGAAAATAGAAATAGAAATTGTCGCGGTTTTTTTTTATGGGGGTGGATAAGAACATAACTTGATTACTTTCATTTTTTCAGCTGTATTTTGTGTTTTGTATGTTTCAGTTTCTTCTCTTTTATTTTCTTTTATTGTATTTTATATTGTACTTTCATTTTTATTTTTATTTTCATTATCAAAACATAAAGTAAACACATTCTATCCGTGCTTTGTATGTCACTGTATTAACTATCTTGCCACCGTTTGCGTCTGTCTGCCTCACCCATTCTTTGATTCTCTTCATACCCATCACTCCTCCATGCTTACGTGGTTACCTCCTTCTGTTTCTTCGTTATGGTTTGTCCATTTCTCCGCCTATTCGCCTCCTTACTTTCTGCCACTCGCCATTCTCAATAGTAACTGCATGATAATTTATTGCTTACTGATACTACTCAACTTGCTTACGTTTGGTACATTGTCCTCCGCCTGCCCGACGCCGACGGAGCGCGAAAGAAGGCGGCTTCGCCGTCTTTCTAAGCAACATGCACGCTGCCCGGCAGCTTCTCCAGCCAGCCATCAACGGCATCGACGGCGGTCTGCTTCTTTGTGCACTGCATGGCCTGCTCGCTCGTCTGGCTCGCCAGGACACTGCAGACGTCGTTGCCGCAGCGGTGGTCGAGGGCGCGCTGCAGGGCGTCGCCCTTCCAGCCAAAGACGTAGTCGCCGTGCTGGGAGTAGCCCTTGCGGTCGCCCGTGCTGTAGACAAAGGGCTGGCTGCCGTCGGCGGGCCAGAGCGCGGCGTCGTTGAACTCGCGGGTGTCCCACATGACTTCGTACATGAGCTGCGGTAGGCGCACGGGGTGGCTGGCCGGGCAGTCGCCGGTGGACTCGAAGGTGCCGGTGGCCGGGTAGGCGACGTGGCTCTTGTGGTCGGGCGCGTCGGTGTGGACGCCGTCCCAGCAGGTCGGGAAAGTGATGGTGGTGCGGATGCCGCCCGGGCAGAAGCCCGACGGCAGGGCCTGGGTGTCGTCGCCGGTGCAGGGGGCGCCGCCAAAGGGGACCTGCTCGATGGTCGAGAAGCAGCGGTGGCAGATCTGGCGCTGCTGGCCGCGCGGCGAGCGCAGGGCGGCGTCGCCGACCAGCATGCGGAAGCCCGGCTTGAAGGCGGTGACGTTGGTGTGGCCGTCGTAGGGCGGGATGTAGTAGACGGTGAGGCCGCCGTCGGCGCGCAGGCCCTGGTTGGCCATCTGCGGAACGCGCTTGAAGGTGCCGTTGCGGGCGCGGAAGTAGAGGTTGGCGGTCCAGTAGTTGGAAAAGTCCTCGGAAAAGGTGCAGCTGGTGCACGTCGAGTCGCGCACGGGGTCGTGGGTGGCCGGGTCCATGGACGCGTTGAAGGAGTTGCCGCCGCCAATCTGGTGCATGTGCGGCGATGCCAGGTCGCCCGGGTTGACGAGCGGGTCGAGACGCTCGACGACGAGCTGGGAGCACGAGAAGCGCATCATCTGCTGGGCAGAGGCGGCCGGGAGGGCGACCAGCCCGACGAGGGCCGAAACGACGCGCATGGTGCGTGGTGGGTATGGATGGTAGACGTTGCGAAGACGGTGTCAATGAGCCGAAAAGACGGTCGTGCTCGTGAGGATTCTGCAGACACCGGAGTTGGTGAGCAAATAAAGGGCAAGAGAGGGATCTGAAAACCAGGAACGGACGATAAAACCACCCTCGACATGTTACCGGGACCGGCATCTTCACCACCAAAGGCCTCAACTTCTGTTCTGACTCGCAGTTCTGACTTGCAGTTTTGATTTCAGATGGACACGCTCTCGGAACACAACTGCCGGCCATATCGTGGGGACATCTGGGCGTGCAATTAATCTAGTCGGCCGGCAGCAGCGAAGCCGCAGAATTAACCGGTAATATTCCTATCCCACCTGCGTCTGTTTTTATCTGCTTTCTCGCCTTTTTCTGCCGTGTCCGCAATCAGCCGGCGGTCGTCGTCATACATTTTGTTTGCCTCCTCTCCTCCTGTCCTCGTCAACTCCTCCTGAGATGAGATTTCCTACATGACCGCCACGGACGGCCCGGACGTCACAGACGATGGCCAGGGATAGGACGGAGGCAGCGGCGGCGTCGGCGTGTAGCCGGGCGGCAACGGCTGGATCCATGGCGTGATGGTGGCCACGCAGTTGGAGATGTACGTCGTGCTGTCGGGGCCGGTGTTCGTGGCCGGGATCCAGACCGTCTTGCAGCGCTGGCTGTCGTCGTTACAAGCGGGCGCGGGCGGGCAGGGAATGGACCGCGTGATGGTGGGAAAGACGGAGCAGACGTTGGTGTTGGCGACGATGGTGGTGGTCGGGGGCTCTGCTTCGGTGACGGTGACGGTGCAGTCGCCGGAGAGCGCTGGAGCGGGAATTGGTGTCGGTGTTGGTGTCGGCTTTGTTGCCGGCGTCGTGCATCGCGGCTTTCCGCAGACACCCTGTGTCCAGACGGTCGACGTGAAGCAGGGCGGGCAGGCCGGCACTGGTTCGTACGGCGGCCGCGTGGACGCGTGGACGAGGGCAAATCTGGACGCGTTAGTGAGGTTGGCTGTTGGTGTTGGCCGTTGGATGGTCGACAAGCTTGTGGCCTTGAAAGGCCTGCTGATGAACTCACCCCGACGCCAGGTAGATCAGTGCCAGCGGTAGAAAGGCCATGTTGCAAGCGACGAAGACGAGACCGTCAAACCTGTCACAGGGAACGATGGTACAATGCTGATGACAGTCTTTCGTGATGCCGGCTGTCTCGTGCGAAAAGGTCATCGAAGATTATTGTTTTTTTTATTTCTGTCTCGCGATTTTCACGTTTTCTTTTTCTCCTTTCACATCTCGCCCATCTCTTCCTTCTCTCCTTTCCTTCTCGTACCCGTATCTACTTCCATCATTTGACGCCGCATCGCCAAGGCTTGTTAATATCGATCCCTTTTGGAGTTCGTCTGACCGCAGTTCTGTCCACCGTTCGTCTGGGTAAATTGAGCCGCCATAGACTCGTCTCTTGGCCATTTGGTGAAGAATCAGCCTGAGCGTCATCTCCTTTCTCCCTCCTCTTTCTTCGTCCATTATCGTCCAACAATCAACACCGCCATCGTGTCATCTGACTCCTCTCCGTTCGTATTCGCCTTTCTTGAGGCCCATCTCTTTTTCTTAAATCCGCCGTTCGATGATAGTTTGCTCCCCTGTATCGACGAAGAAGAGCAACCATCCCTCCGTCGAATTGTCACTGGGAAATAGAAACTCCAGAAATTCCAGAAATTCCTGCTATCAAAACAGCTCCTTCTTGTTGTCTGTTGCCGTATTCCGGATTTTCATTCTCCCTCGCCTACAAGACATCGCATGCCCATTGTGCAGGATGACAAACTGGAAGCAATTGCAATAAGATCCTCAAACACACAACCGCAGGACGACGCGAAGGGACGGCGGTGGAAATGCGTCGAGACTGGATGCAAGTCTGTCGTCGACATCGTTCAGAGGTGAGGCAGCTGACAAAGAACCCGCTGCCCACTGCGGCTTCGGCTTTCGGCGTGTCAAACAGTGGCCAATTCCGGCCTGTTCGGCCGTCTGACAGGGTCCACCTCAGCGCGTTGCAGGAACAGGCAGCCGCTCAGCACCTTAATGGCCTCCACGCTGCGCTTGTCCCAGACGGGTTAGCAGCATGCAGGTGCTCCCAACGACATTGCTTAACTAACGCTCCATTCATTCCGCCGTGATCTCGGGATCCTCATCGCACCTTTGTCGCCTTCACGTCGGAGCAGAACTTTTGGAAACTTTTATGTGCCTTTCTATTGGACCGTGTTAATTCCCTCTTTCATTATCCCATTCCTACTGCAAAGGATTCGGGATGTACACGACATACACTTGCCGGCGCATCACTTGATGCCTGCTGCATTTTCCATTTTCGACATGAATTTTGTGTTCTCGCCACGCCGGAGATAGAACAACCCTCGGAGCGCGGTCCATCTGTCCATCGTCCTGTCCTTGCCGTTTTGCATTCTTACCTTTCTTGCACGAGGGGCGGGGCCCTGGATGCCCACAGTTCGACTGCTTAGACGGCTTAGATGCTTCGAGGACTCGGGCACCGGCACCCGTTGTTTTCCTCGCATTGCTCGATTCTTACGTCTGTCTTCACACTCCTCAACCGTACGTGGAACCTTGGAGAGCTTCCGCGTCTCGCCGGAGCTATGAGAGGTAGACTCGGTCTCAGAGATGATCAATGGCAAACGAAATACCGCCACCTTTGAGACACGCCCGCGAGGCAGGAATATAAATAGAGCCGTCTGCCCACGATGGTGGAAAGAAGAATGAAGACTCTGCCTCATCACCCTCCTTCTCTCTCACTCTTCCTCGCTGCCACTTACCAACGCCTTACCTTTGCGCTTCACGCCTTTCTCTACAATGGCTGACAAGTACCCCAACCGGCCCTTGATTGTCCTGGGCACCGCCGGCGTACGTTGCTTGACTCTTTCCGATCCCCCAAACCTCACATCACTCTGTTCCCTCTCTCTGTGCTCCTTCGCTACTAACACCTCTCTTAGATCGGCGACGCGACTGCCGATACAAACGTGCGCCTCGACACACCCGAGGAGGTCGGGCCCTTCTTCGACGAGTTCTACAACCGCGGCTACCGCGTCGTCGACACCGCTCGCAACTACCCGCCCGGCGCCCCTGGGACGGCAGAGCCGCGCATTGCGCGCCACAACACGGACGGCCGCTTCGTTGTCGACACCAAGGTCTTTTCGTTCACGCCGGGCGACCACAACGCCGAGGGCCTGGCCAAGAGCATCGACGGATCCATCGAGGCGCTCGGCGGCCACCCCATCAACATCGAGTACCTGCACGTGCCCGAGCGCACCACGCCCTTTGCCGACACCCTCGCCGCCCTGGACACGTTCCGGAAGCAGGGCAAGTTCAGCAAGGTGGGTCTCTCCAACTACCGCCCGGAGGAGGTGCAGCAGCTGCTGGACATCAGCAAGGACAAGGGCTATGCGCCGCCCGCCGTCTACCAGGGCTGCTACAACCCCATCTCGCGCAGCATCGAGACCACGCTGTTCCCGGTGCTGCGCGCCAACAACGTCGCCTTTTATGCCTACAGCCCGGCCGCCGGCGGCATTTTCGGCGACAAGAAGCGCCCCGGCGGCCGCCTGGAGTCGTCCGGCATCGTCGGTTCCATCTACCGGGAGATGTACGACCGCCCCACCATCACCGCCGCCGTCGACCGCGTGCGCGCCGTGGCCAAGGAGCACGGCATCCCCGGCCACGATGCCAGTCTGCGGTGGACCGTGTACCACAGCCAGTTGTCGGGCGCGCACGGCGACGCTGTCATTGTGGGCGCGGCCACGGTCGAGCAGCTGAAGAAGTCTCTGGATGCCATCGACGCCGGGCCGCTGCCGCAGGCGGTCGTGGATGCTGTGAATGCCATCAACGACTCGATTGAAGAGGTGGACAAGCAGCCGTACCACAAGTTTTAGCGGCTCGACGAGACGGCAAAGGAAGAGTGACGCCTGTAGAGGACGCCTGCCGAGAACGAGATGAATGATGTACTGTAGATAGGAACAACGTTGATGTTGAATTGATGACTGTTTTTGATCGCTGACATCTCCGATTCCGTGTCGTTCAACTTGGATACCTTCATAGTCGAGTCTCACTGTATAGCTGACCAATCAGCGTCCGAGGACCTTTTTGCCCCACTCAAGCTCCTACCAGCTTCTCAGATGGGGCTAGAAACGGCAGGTGCCAATTGGCTGCACTTGCCGACCTGCATCTCTTGGAGCTATGCGGAATCCGTACTTGCCGTCACAAGTACGGGTACGTCAGAAATACAGCGTATATCATCGTTGCTCTTTCCCTTTTCACGTCGCGCCCCCCGTCTCTCCTTAGTCTCTCATTTGTCGCTGCAAATTCGCTCTCCCCCTTTCTCTCTCTCCCACATCTGCCTCTTCCTACACAATGCGTCTTCTATCCAGCCTCCTCGTGGCCGGCATCGGTGCATCGGCGCTTGTGCAACGAACCGAGCAGCAACCTCTTGGCACCGCGCATGCCGAGACCGTCGGTGCAGCACCCGCGTACCGCGACGACCTACTCACGCTGCACAAGGGGCTGATTGAGACGTCCTCGACGACCGGCGCCGAGGGCAACGTCGGCGATTGGCTGGTCGCTTATTTGGAGGAACGGCATTACAGGACACACAAGCAGCAGCTGCCCAAGCGCGACAACACGGGCAAGAATGGCCGGTTCAACGTGATTGCATGGATTGACAGCGGCGACGACAATGGCGATCGCGACAGTCTCGCTGCTCTCGCTGTCCATCCCCTCCCACCCGTCCTTGTCACGTCGCACATTGACGTCGTCCCGCCGCACATCCCGTACGCCATCGACGACGAAGACAGCCCATCCGGCGCGACCGTCATTCACGGCCGCGGAAGCGTCGATGCAAAGGGCAGTGTCGCGGCGCAGATTACCGCGCTCGAGCAGCTGCGTGCTGCCGGTGTCGTGGGCCCCGGCGACGTCCTGCTGCTCTTTGTCGTTGGCGAGGAGGACAGCGGCGACGGCATGAAGGCCTTTTCTGTCTTGTTCCGGAGCTACTTTTCCACCTGGTTCGCGGCCGCCATCTTTGGCGAGCCCACCGAGAACAAGCTCGCCTGCGGCCACAAGGGCATCCTGGGCTGCACCGTCACGGCCACGGGCAAGGCCGGCCATTCGGGCTACCCGTGGCTGGGCAAGTCCGCCAACGATGCGCTGGTCCGCGGCCTGGCGGCGCTGCTGGACGCCGACCTGGGCAGCAGCCCCGTCTACGGCAACACGACCGTCAACGTGGGCCTGCTGTCGGGCGGCGTCGCCGCCAACGTCATCCCCGCGGCCGCCTCGGCGAAAATGGCCGTGCGCGTGGCGCTGGGCCCGCAGGCCACCGGCCACGACGAGGTGCGGGCGCGCATGGAGGCGGCGCTGCAGGGCGCCGACGAGGACCTGGCCCTGCGCTGCACCCAGGGCTACGGCGTCGTCGAGTGCGACTGCGCCGTCGAGGGCTTCGCCAACATCACCGTCAACTACGGCACCGACGTGCCCAACTTGGACGGCGACCACACGCGCTACCTCTATGGTCCCGGCGATATTCTGGTCGCCCACGGCGACAAGGAGGCACTCACGGTCGGTGCGCTGGAGACGGCCGTCGGTGGCTATGAAAAGCTAATCCGGCACGCTCTCGGCCGGGAGTAGAGAGGCATGTGGCGTGTGCAGAGCAGACGCAGATGATAGGTTACGAGACACAACGAGAATGAACAATACCACGATCGGATCGCCCAAATACCAAACACTAGGCGCAACGATGAAGAAAAGAAGCAGCGATAGAAAGGAGCACAGGGGCCGTGCCATGAGACTCGCCTTAGTAATCAACTGAAAGGCTGGAGTGTGGTTGGGAGCGAACATTACGATGTCTGTTGCTGCTTTCTGACAGAACTTGGGTGTCGTGTAAGCCTCGCCTCCTGATTGGTCCATTCTTTAGATCGTGAACTCAAATCACCAACCAAAACAAAATTCAAAATAAGGCCGAATGTCATGAAAGAAACGGGCGGGGCACACTTGGAAACTTAAAAAAACGAATCGAATTGGTATCTTATTTCAAATTTCAAATTTCTATTGACATAAACCACCCCCTCAGCGTGCTGTCTGTCCTTTTCAAAAGATCGCTAGGCTGATCGATATGCGTACTCTGCACCCTAAATCACATTGTTGTCGACCATTTCGTCGACATGTAGACGAATTGCGATTGCCTGCGTGGCGGTGATGTCCAGCTCGTCCAAAACGACCGGCTCGTTCCTTGGCGATGGTGGTGGTGTGGGAAGAGGCGGTGGTGGAGGCGTTGGTGGCGGCGTTGGAACACGCGGCGGAACACGCGGCGGAACACGGCGTACATGAGGCTGCGCCTGTCTGCGGTGTGGTGCCCGTGGTAGGTTGGGTTTGATGACATTGACGTAGAGGAATACCACAAAATATTCGAACAGAACCTCGGTCGTCTCAATGAGCACCGAACGGAAAATGGCCATCACCTCGGGCGAGTAGAGGATGCTGTTGAATCGTTCGATAATGGAGCGCTGGTGCATGGACACATCGGGACATGTGTTGCGCGGACTCCATTCGAGGAGAAAAACCTGAATTTTGCGTCTATTTTCGTCGTGGGAGCGGATGATGGCCCGGACAAAGCAGTCGGCTGCGACGGTGATGCTAACGTGGACGGCACTGTCGATGGCCCAGTCAATGAGCCACGGGACGAAATCGCCGTCCATTTGGTTGAACTGTGAGAGTAGAAAGATCGATAGTTCAAGGTGAGAAGATGATGATCTAGGTATGAGAAGAAGGGAAGAAGAAGAACGGGACATGTCAATGTGACACAACAACGGGATATATCCACGCTGAAGTTTATATGCAAATATTTAAGATTCGAATTCAATACATTGAGCTTTTCGTGCTGTCGAAACTATGAACTCTGTCGTCTGCTTAGTTTAACAGTCCACAAGACTTGCCACGTGTATTTTGTCTAAAGTTGTGGTGAACGGCCATCCCGACACGCATTTGCAGCATGATTTCATATGTACCCGTTGTTTTGATTACGAAGGCAAAGAAAGGCTTAGAAACAATGGAATTTATGGCAGAGAAGGAGAGAAATTGAATAAATAAAATAGATCGAGCCAAGTCCCGTGATTCATATTTGTTATGTAGGTCATATTCCAATCGACAAAAATTTAATTGTATATAATAGAAAACAAAGCACCTAGGGCTAGAAGAAGACACGTTAACAGCTTGTCATGGTATAGAAAAGAACAAAAGACGAAAGAAGAAATGGCGTGACCAAGAGAATACAAGAAACAAAAGAAACAAAAGAGACAAAATGGGCATCGAAAAGGCCAATGCGGCTCAATATCCAAAAGAGACCAGAAACCAAAAGGCAAGGTAAAATGTACATTAGCGTTGATTTCGTTACGCGGCTGAGACGGCCTGCTCGCTTCCATGTGTCTTGATGGGGCTGCCGTTCCTTGCCGCGGCGTCGCTGCCGGGACCGACGTCGTCGCCCGGCTCGCCCACGTCGTCCTCCTCTTCGGCGTCCTCGTAAATCTCCTCAATGTACTCGCCGGGGCGTCGGATGATGGGGCTGAACTGGTCGACTTCTTCGACGTCGTCGAGCCCGCCCGCAGCGTCGCCACCGTCCATGAGGAACCGGCTGATGGCGGCGTGCCCGTTGGCTGCCGCATCGTCGTCGTCGTCAATGTCTTCTCCCTCCTCTTCCATGTCCTCCATCTCTTCTTCTTCCTCCTCGTCCTCTTCTTCAATCGTGATTTCGCCGGATCGCCGGCCGAGTCCGCTGGCGGATGCGCTGCGGGAGTGGGAGTGCTTGGCACCCGAACCTCCGCTGGCGCTGCGACCGCTGGCGCCGGCTCCGGCGGCGCCGCCGCTGTTGCCAAAGGACAACATCGGCCCCTTGAAGATGTTACGCTTGCGCTTGGCAAACATGACAGGCGTGCTGCTGCCCACAAAGGCGGGACCGAGACTGCCACTTCCGCCGCCGCCGCCACCGTGCAGGCCGCCGGCCTGGTAGTGGCTACCAAAAGGGTTGGGCGATCCGGGGGCCCGGCTGAGTGGCATACCTTCGTTGAAAGCATGAGCAGCAGACGCCGACGACGACGCCGTAAAAACAGATCCGCGGACGAGCCGCAGGTTGCTGGGGAAGGAGGTTGTCGTGGGCGTGGCGGGAAGCACCTTGACGGAGTGGTGGGGTGAGCGGCCGACGGCGCTGACACTGCTGCCGGCGCCCGCGCCCGTGGCAGTGGAGACGGAGCCGTTGGAGCTGGTGGACGATGCCTTGGAGTGGGAGTGATGATGTTGGTGTTGGTGGATGGAGCGGATGGACGAGACGGAGGAGGAAGTCGATTTGCGGCCACGGAGGCCGTGATGGCCCGCAGAGGAGCGGCGAACGGCCGATCGAGGTGTTAGGGGCGAGGGAGAGAGCGACTGGCGCTTATAAGAATTGGTTGATTGTAGTCGAGGGGCGGAGGCAGGCTGCTGCTGCTGTTGTGCTTGCCCTTGTTGAGGTTGCTGTTGCGGATGCACCTGGTAGTAGAATTGCTGGTAGTTCGTGTTGGATGGCGTGGTGGCGGACAGGCTGGGCGACAGTGGGCTGTTTGCAGTGCTGCTGCCGCTGGTGACTGCTCCACCACCACCACCACCACCACCACTCATGCTTGCGGGCGTGCCCAGGTCGTCGAGCCGGAAAGCACCGCCGCCGGAAGCACCGCCCGTCACAGCACTGGCACTGCTGGGGCCGGCGGCCGTAGGTTGGCCGGCTGCTTTGGCGAATCCATTGGCGACAACGCCCTTGGGCAGGCTGGCCGTGTTAGAGCCGCCGAGACCAATGCCGAGGCCGCCAGTGCCACTTCCACCAGCACCGCCCGATCCGGAGGCCGGGTATTTGCTTGTTTGAGGGCGTGGGCTGCTCGCTTTGGAGTCCTTTCCGTGGCTTCCACCGCCGTCTTTGCTGCTCCCGGTACCGCCGCCACCGCCGCTCCTGCTCAGTGGTTTCGGAAGCAGGTTCGGAGTCGAGTGGCTGCCGCCACGCTTGCCAGCACCCTTGGTGCGGCGCGTGTTCTCGGCGATCCAGTGCGTCATGTTCTTCCAGTGGGTGATGATGACCTGGGACGTCTTCTTGCGCACCTTTTGGTTGCTGTGTAAGCCCGATGCGCCGTTGCTGCCACCACCAGCACCGCCCGCGCCGGACGCGCCGTTGGCAATGTGCACACCATTGACGCCATTGACGCCCGCGGCCCCTGCGGCGGCCAGTGCGTCGCTTGTTGTGACAAGGTGCAGCGTCGACCCCCTGGACCGGGCACTCCGCAGGACGCCTTCCTTGGGCGGTGGGATGGGCCGGCGCTGGCGGGACGAGCTGGCGGAGCGCAGCGAGTCCTTGTCGACGGGTGGTGGCCGGTGCTCGCCGCTGGGGCGGCTGTTGCGGCTGTTGCGGCTGTTCCGGTTGCTGCTAAAGTTGCCGTTGGTCGCCGAGGCGGCAGCGACACCGGCGCTGTTGGCTTTCAGAGCTTCGTTGACGCGGCCGAGCTCCGACAGGCCCGGAAAGTCGTCGATGCGCAAGCTGTCATGGTGCCAACTACGGCGCTGTGAACGGCCCCTCGACGACTTGGGGGTGGGTGGGTCGCTGAGTTTGACGTAGCTCGACCCGGCCTCTTCGACAGTGGCGAGCCGCTCGAGGCGGCTGGACGTCGTGGACAGGCGCCGCGAGTTGCGGTGCTCGAGCTCCTTTTCTTTGCGCTTCCGCTCGCGGCGGACCAGCTTGCGCTGCTCCTTTTCGATGAGCAGGGTCCACCAGCCGGCGAGGGCGTCGCAGCGCTGGGCGAGCACGCTCTCAATGACAGTGTCAATGTCGACGCCGGCGCTGCGCATGCGCTGCAGCGACTCCTTCTCGACGGGTGTGGTAAAGGGCGACGGCTGTGGCACGTCGAGGATGGTCTGCTGCTGGGCGGCGTGGTCGGCGAGGAAGGGGTGGGCGAGGATGTCGGGCAGGGTCGGGCGGAGGAGTGGTCGCTTCGAGAGCATCGCCTTGAGGAGAGAGAGGGCTTCTGGTGGGACGTGGTCGGGGTACTGGGGCTCGTCGGCGAGGATGGTGCGGCGCGTGACGTCGTCGTCGTCGTCGTCAAAGGGCAGCTCGCCACAGAGCAGCGCATAGAGGATGACACCGAGGCTCCAGACGTCGACCTTTTCGCCGGCGTACTTTTCACCCTTCAGCATCTCGGGCGCCGAGTAGCAAATGGTGCCGCAAAAGGTCTGCAGGTAGTTGGCCTTTCCCTCGTACTCGCGCGTGAAGCCAAAGTCGACGAGCTTGACGTTCTCGTGCTTGTCCAGCAAGATATTTTCCAGCTTGAGATCGCGGTGCACGCACGACTGCAGGTGCACGTAGGACACGGCGCCCACGAGCTGCGCGAAGATGCGCTGCACCTTGTCGACCGGCAGCTTGCCGTGTTTCAGGAGGTAGTTGTAGAGCTCGTCGCCCTGGCAGTACTCCAGCACGAGCCAGACCATGGACTCGGTGACAATGACCTCGTACAGGCGCGCAATGTGTGGGTGGACAAACTGGCGATGGTGGTGGATCTCGCGGGCCAGATTCGAGTCGTCCTTCTTGGCGGACTTGAGCACGACCTTGGAGCCGTTGGTCAGCTTGTGCGTGGCTAGGTACACCTTTCCGAACGATCCCTTGCCAATGAGGCGCCCAAGGGTGTAGTTGCCGACGGACTTGAGGTCCTTGTTTGAGAATTCGTCGAGCAGCTCCTGATAGGAATGGGCCAATTTGGCCTTGCGGCCCATGACCTCGGCCTTGGCCTTTCCGGACTGCATGCTGCACGCCTCCGGCGGCCGCGCCGCCTTCTTTTGTATCCGTGGAGTTGAGAGGAGAGGAGGGGAGATGTAGACGTAGTGGTGGGCGTCGCGCGTCGAGAGAAGGGTACAGCGATTCGTCTCGGGTTACGAGCTGGTCAGAAAACGCGTTCGGTGCCAGGTACGTCCGGAGTCGCCAGAGACGGGGTTGTCGACAGAAACCCGCCACGCCGTAATCGGTTACGGGACACGCCAATAACCACGAGAGGTGTTCCGCAGTCGAGAGAAGGCGTCGTGCGAGGAAAAGGGGCTCGTGGGGGACTTGATGTCGTTGAAGAATTGTGCGGTGGTGAGACTGATCGGAGGCCGAGGGACAGGCACGAGGCTGGGCGTGTCAAACTCGGGATGCGAGACTCTGAGTGATGTTTGCAGTCGACGAGATATGCGCCGGCTGTGGTGCTGGGTCCGTCCTCTGGATCGTGTCGTCAGATTGCAGCGCTGTCGTTGCGCTGGCGGTCGTCTTGTTTCGATGTCGTCGTCAATTCGGGGGAAGAAGTCGCCTTACCAGACTCGTGAAAACGCGAATCCGAGGCAGGTGCAGCGACACGGCGCTGTTTTCGCTGTAGTGCCCCTGTCAAGGGACGAATAGCGTTGCGTCGGGGACGAAGAGCCACTAAAATTAGACGGTGCTAAAAGGGGAAAACAAGCTCTATGGATCCCTGGAATGCTCCTTCCACGACACACTCAGACACTCTGCCACAGATGACAAGATGGCAGGAGCGATCTCCAGCTAGGCCAGCAATGGGAAGGAGCCGATGCAAAAGAAGCAGCTCAGAATCTACGGCGTAATTACTCTTTCATTACATCCATTGCTATAACACGAAAAGGAAAGATCGGAAAGAACATCTGGTTCCCGAGCGGCGCTGTGACGGGTTCCCCAGGACTGGGCACCTGTTTCTCTACTTTGGTTCCCCCACACCCACTAAAACGCCGAGCCATCCAGATCGGACCACTCGAACAAGCGGAACAGGTACAAAAGAAAGCACAGAAACCCCTTTCTCTGTGCAGCACATAGCCTGTCCCGTGAAGAAACAAACATCTGACAGGGGCCCATCGGAGACCATTTGTGGGGCCGTGTGCGCTGTGATGCGCGTGCAAAATGAAGATGTTTCCAAAAGGAGGCCGTGTCTCCATTTCAAGTGGAACTGAAGATGAAAACCAAACAAATAGGGGACCGATGAAGAAAAAAGACGGGATGAAACGAAAACACCGTAAAGAAGAAAACAACAGACGATGGGCCGAGGAGGTAGTTCGGCGAAAACGGGACGGTCTTTACACGACAACATTGAAAGTTACAACACCTGTACTCGACGAGTAGCTTTGGATATTAATATTTCACTGATGCTCCCAACGTTGAAAGGTGGTAGATTTCTTTAAAAAATTACTTGCATCCAATACAAGTCGCAACGGGGCGGGTATGATTTGACCGTAGTCATCGGGCGTCCTCTATCGACATATTATCGGGCGATATGGCTGTCTTTGATCGTCGTGAACGAGACTGCCACGTTCATACCAGGAACTCAAACAAGACGGACGTAGCTCTCCGACTACGCGATCTTAGGAGATGGCCTGAACTGGATGTCCAAGAGGGCGAGAGCTAATTGGTCAAAATCAGAGCGCCACAAAACGCCACACTCCAACGGAGCTTGGTCAAGGGTCACGCTCCACTTTTAGCAAGAGCTATCCAAAACCGTAACGTGGGCGCCAGGATTGAAGACATCAAGAGATATCATCACGGGCTCAACCGGGACTGCTCTGCAGCTTTGACTCTCCGAAAATCCAGTTGTAGCAGTCGTGCTTGCCCGCCGCCGCAAGTTATAGTATCGTTACAGGCCCGGCCGTAACGGAACCCACGATCCTGGATTTGCTTTCCGTCACCGTGTCCGTATGATTGTATTGCCTGGATGACATAGCCTTCGTGTATGTAGATGATGTGACTTGCTGACCATTTTACAATGATAAGCAAATCACTTTCATCAAGATTTTAAATAAATACCTCCATCGAGACTGTACCTCCTGATTTTACTCCCGTGACCTTGAGCGTACCGTACCGCTTCTACCCGAGGAACTAGAAATATTTATACCTGGGTTTGTGTTTACTCTCTGTCCTGTTGATTACTTTATGGGGCCGAGACCTCGATATATTGCTTTCAATTAGTTAAATGATGCATGATCACAAGTTTTCAGCGTTGACAGGGTAAGCATGCTAGCTTTGGAGCCATGTAAGAAGAAAACAGAAGAAAAGACGGACACGTTTTGTTTTCAAATATAAAAACAAACATCGTCCGGCCCGCTACCAATACAACGGTGCCGGGAGATCCTAGTGTGATCTTCTCGACTTGCCGGACACCTCGTGCACCGGAAAATTAGGTGCAGATTACCAGACATCTGGGCTAAATGTCGACTGTTAAACAAGTTTCTTTACTCAAACAGACATACTCTGCTTCGTCGGCGGAAGGAAGAAAGTATTCATAAAGTACCAATGAATGTGCTTTAAAGCCCCTTATATTGCAGCTTGATTACAGCTCTGGGTTGCTGCGGAACATCTTGAAGAGACAGTGTCGTCAAAATCACTGTATCGCCGTCGATCAAAAATCCTGGCAGAAAAGCATATCCTGGAGGAGTCACGAGTAGGGTTACCGAAAACCGGCCGCTGCATTCTGGTTTCCGCTGCAGTCGGCGCCAGGAACTATTTCTGGGAGCCAACATTCTGCGCTCGCCGAGAACATGAAGCTCTGGCCTGCATTGATAGTGACAATAACAGCACGGCCGTACCGTGACAATGTTGTGCGAATGGCGATCAGATTCTCGTCCAAGTGTTGATACTTCTAAATGTCGAGCTACTCACTGGTGGTCTACAGCCTGGCACTGGGGCAGACGGCAAGTGTACCGTTCGTTGATTTCATACATAAATCATTTTTCATGTTAGCAATTCAAATGTTGACGAGCTCTCGGTGGGCTGGGTCCGCCCACAGGATACCTCATCGCATTGATCGTCCTGGCGTACTTGACTTTGGCACGCTGATACGTACCAGCAACACCACTTTCTGTTGACGAAGAACTTGTCACCGACCGTTTGAGCTTTCCCATGAACCAACGGTGCTACCGGCACCTTGATCATAAGCCTCGATCATAAGCCTCGATCATAACGAATGAGTTGGCGGGTAGTAAGCTGTTTGAGCCGCCCACCACTGACTTGCGATAAAAAATCCTCCATCCGAATGACCTCTCATAAGAGGTTTACCCCGTCACTTGTCTGACAATGACTGCTATAAATGGTTATGACAGTGATACCGCCGAGGTGGGGGTGAAACGGGCATGTCGGCTTTCTGGTCAGGATGTGCCTGCTGAGCGTAAAACCACACACGTCACACTGCGCTCTCTTTGTCCACGTACGCCCCTTTTATGTTATGTCCAGACACGTTGACTCTCGTGGTTGGCGAGAAGGGCTGGTCCCGTGGTTGATATTCGTGCTTGGTGCTGTCAGATGTCGCCCAGATGGAGGCGCAAGAAGGATTGAAAATAAAGCTCGTGATGTTCCGCTCGTCACAATGCGGCAGCAGGACGACAAATGTTGAGCACCTTGTCATATTAGCTGTGCTCCCTTCGTGACCTAAATGATGAGAGGAAGGACGGAGGAAGAGAAGGAAGCGGTGAGACCCAAGTCCTTTGCAGAACTGCACAAACCATTGCGTGGAGGTCACTCCCCCCCCCGTTGAAGAAGTAGGCGACAAGAAACTGTTGAATGGGGGCACTGGGGGCACTGGGCGTGGGCAACGGAGCCTCACGAAAAATGAAACAAAAGAAGGCAACAATGGACTTAAGAGCAAATGGTCCAATCCAATAAGGAAGCAAGTCGTTGCCGCTCAGGGGTAACCAATGTAGCTGAATGTCATACATGGCCAAGCCAGAGATTGGGTGCAGAAACGAATTGCTGCATTTCAGCATCCGTTGTGATTGCAATTTGGCCCCCCACGGGTACCCATGCGGCAGCCCTTCTTGTGCGCTTCACGTGAGAGAAAGGTCCTGCAGGTTAAAGTTTCTTGTATTTTTCCGAGAAAGCAAAAATAGATCACAGGTTTGTGAAGACGTGGGAGGATATGGGAAGAGACTGTGCCAAAATGTGACCAAAATGTGACTACTAATAAAAGCAACTGAGTGCAACGCGCGAAGAAATATCGAGGAAGGAGCGATCAAGTTCACCTCCGGTCGCTAAGCCCTACCAATTCTAGAGGACGGAAGAACCTGGGCATCCTTCGCAGGGCGACTTCCGTGCCGACTGCATGGCACGCGACCCAGGACACTGGCGATTTCATGCCAGGATGTGACTTTCGAGTGTAAAACTGTGACTGCATGACTGTTGAGACAAGCCAATGACATACATTTACATTGTTTATTTTAATTGTCTTCATTTAGGCATATTTGTGTTGGGTGCGTTGAAGGAAGGAGCGATACGCAGTAGGCCATCGAGCCAAAGGTCTTGCCTTTGGTGGGGGTCAATGGAGTGGTGAAGTTCCATGTCCAGGAAAGAGCAAAGATACATGGCAGAAGTGCGACTGTGCGACTGCCGGCAAGCGTCAAGCGGCAAGCGGCAAGAGCAAGCCCTGCGTTGCACAGGGCAGGCATGGGCCCAAAAGTCGATCGCTTGGAAACAGGAAGCTACGACCGGGCAAAAAGTCAGCGAAGCAGGCTGCACCTTCTCGTGAATGTTGTTCCCGCGGGTCACGCATTTACCTTTTCCGTCAATCGCATTGTTTCCCCCCTATCTCCCCGACCGTCAGATTGTCCTTGACCGGTTCATTTGGATCGTCGAAAGTGACCCGACGATGCGCGCTGTCTTTCTTTTTTTTGTTCTTTCCGCCGTCTCTCCCATTCTATTTTAGTCACACGGCAGCAGCATTTCCCGCCGCAACACGCGTCTTTGCGGCTCTCGTAGGAGAATGCTTTCTTCCCGAACAAGGGCGAGAGGAGAAAGCGCATTCTGGAAAGAGCTTGCTCCTATGTCGGAGGGGTATGAAGTCGGAAAAGGCAAGAGCGACGATGACGGGGAAACGACGGAAGGAAAGAGAGGGGGAAAGAGGGGAGGCTAGAAGGGGCAATTGGATCATCACGAACATACATTTCCATTTGCATCATTTCCCCTCTTTGGATCGCTTCTGGCGAAAATTGACGGCATAGCGCTCTCACTGGCTCTATGTTCGTTTTCCATTTCCTGCCATTTGCGTCGACTTACATGATGAACCACTGCGTAATCTAAATTAGCGGCGTGGGGGTACACTTTCATGCTTGGTGGTGCTGGCTCTTTGGCCTCTGAGTACGCCGAAGGTCCTTACTTTGCGCTTCCTTTTCTCGTGTCGGACATGAAGGATTCGGGCATGCTTCTCGCCCTGCTAGGCAGCGTGGCTTGGCTCTCTGTGTAAGGAAACCGGTCACCAACCCGACCCGGGGAATCAACTCCGGCAGTAGGACGGCGAGAGAGTATTTTTTTTTTGTGCACCTACAATGTCATACCAGGGCCACCACAATACGGAGTCCAGAGTACAAGACTCAAAACTTTTGTGTCGCGGCCAGCACAAGTCGAATTGCCACTGTCGTTACAATGCCTCCACATATGTTGCAATACAGCTGCGTCAGCTTGGGCGTCTTTCATATTTGTAGCAGCGTCTCAAAGTTGAAGCATACAAGACATCGTATCTCCCATTGGGGACCCTTCATAGAATGGAGGTGAGGTGCAACTGACGATCGACGCTTCTGCACGATATTGATGCCTGGGAAGACAATGCAGACAAAAGCACAGAGACGCACACCCACACCCACACATCAAAGGCACCGTTTCTTACCTTCTGGAACAGGCACAATGGTGCTCTGCTGCTTCCTCACGCGGACGCCTGCCCCGCTTTTGCCTGCGTCCCCTTGCTTCCTTCCTTGTTTGCCCTGCTGTGGTTTTGCCTTCTCCGCACGCAGGATTGGCCGACTGTAAGGTGCAACCCCCCACGTTAGCCGCTCAGCTGGGAACACCGCCCACATACACCACATACACGACCTCCTAGAGCTGCTCCCCCATTCACACCACGGTGTGCAAAGCTGCCAACGGTCATCGTTCGTGTTTCTTGTTGTTTCCATTGCGTTCCTGTCGGCCATTCGCTCTTGCCCACTTGCTCGTCTCGCCTCGCCTGGTGCTGGCACACTCCGCGCGAGCTTCCAGCATGCTCCCATTGAAGCTCCCCTGTCCAAAGTTGCATGCGTTATTGTGATCTCCTGCTCCGAGCCAATCAATAACAAGCTATCGTGAAGTGGGCTTAGAAGAAGCAATACCTTTTTTGAGAATCTAGAAAAGCGCAAAAAGGACGAATGCCATGGCGAGTGCGTTACCTCGACGGGAAGTTTCGGCACTGCTATTTTGCATTCTTCGCGCCTCCCTTGTCATCGGCTCATTTTGTTACACCAGGAAGGGACGATGGGAGAGCCAAGCTAATTGGCGGTGCCCTTCTTCCTCTTAGACGAAACATGTATTGGCCTCCTTCGCTAGTGATTGTAGTAGTCGTGCAGCTAATCGACTCGTACTCCTCCTCTTCACACCCCCTCTGACACGCAGGTCGTTAATGCTTGTCATACGGACGCACTCTCCGCTGCCCAGAACCTTAGCACCGACAGTCGTACTTGCCGGTGATAGCCTTCCGACTGGTGGCACTTAGCTTCTCCGGTGCATCGACCTTCTCTCCTCCGCAGATCGGTTCACGGCCACAATTTCCACTTGTGGTGCACACTCACTCGTTCCTTGCTGCCATCTTTCCCGTGCTTTCTTCTTGTGACACAACTCCCTTTTTACACGATGCGCGAGAGAGTCGCCGAGGATCTAGCCTATGCTTGCTGTGTAATGACTCGTTACGCTCTCTATCGTTGGACGACATTTGGCATCCCCAATACCTTCCCCTCCTTTTCTCCTTTTCTCCTTTTGTACTGTCACAGGCGTCACGGACGAAGCCCGGTAATATCTCGTCTGTCTCCTAGGCCGGTCCATCTGTCTTGATACAAATATCCTTTGTTGCTCCCACCCTGTTGTCGAGTCCTTCATCATACTTTGCCATCTTCATCTCACCTCCTTTTTACTGCAACCAATCTGTGTTCCCTCTCTGCTCTCGTCTCGTTTATTTTCCCACAATGTCTTCGTTGTCTATCAATGTTGATCCGGTCGGCCGCTCCGCCGGGAACAGCTCCGAGACACCCCCAAAGACGCCTCGGACCCCAGCCACTGTCACCGGGGCTACTGCATCCGGTACCCAGGCACAAACCTCTGCTGCCGCAGATCGCTCTCGACACCTGCCAGATGGGGTGTATGTGCCTATGCTCACCTTCTTCGAGCCGGAGACGGAAGATCTGGATCTGGCATCGATGCAGAAACAGGCTGCGAGACTGCAGCAGGCAGGTGTTGCTGGCATCCTGCTGCACGGTTCCAACGGCGAGGCTGCTCATCTGACGCACGAAGAGCGGATCCGCAACATCCAGGCTGTTGTCGATGCCGTCCGGGCCGACCGCTTCGAGGATTCTGCCACGCCATTCCCTATTCTGGCCGGCTGTGGTGCCCAGTCCGTCCGGGAGACGGTCGATCTTTGTGTCGAGGCAGCCAGTGCCGGAGCCACCCACGCTCTGGTCCTGCCGCCCGGGTACTATGCCTCCATCCTCGGCCGGGATCAGCTGCGCGAGTTCTTCTTGTCCGTCGCCAGCCAAAGCCCGATCCCGGTTCTTGTGTACAACTTCCCAGCTGCTGCGAGCGGCATCGATCTCGACAGCGACACCATCTGTGCCTTGGCCGGCGCTCACCCCAACATTGTGGGTGTGAAGCTGACCTGCGGCAACACGGGCAAGCTGGCGCGTGTCGTGGCGGGCGTGTCTGCTCTGGGCCGGGGTCCGGGCTCGGGGAATCCGTTCTTCGTGGCCGGCGGCTCCGCCGACTTCATCTTGCAGGGGGCCGTCGTCGGGGCCAATGGATCGATCTCGGGGCTGGCCAACTTGTCGCCGCGTGCGTGCACATCGATTCTGGATCTCTTCCATGCAGGCCGGATCGAGGAGGCTCGCGCACTGCAGGCCATTGTGGCCCAGGGCGATTGGTTGGCCATTCGATATGGGTTTGTCGGTGTCAAGCACGGCCTGCAGTCGTTTGGGTCGATCGGTGGCGCCCCGGCAAGCAGTCTTCCGAGCCCGGTGCCGCGGAAACCCTGCCAGCTGTTGTCAGCAGCAGCACAGGCCGAATTTGACGCCGGCACAGAAGCGCTGCTGAAGGCAGAACAGGCTCTGGTGATGAAGGCCCAGTCATGAATGTCAAGTTGTCACGTCTGGCGAGAATTCAATCTAAATACACGACTGTCCTTTAGAAGTATTTCTGCGTACCGCTGATGTCTGTCTTTCTTTTCTTTACCTCGTCTCTCTGTCGGTCACCAAGGTCTTCCATTGACAGGCCATAATTCGTTTTCCCATGCAAGTTGTGTTCGCCTTTGGCATATCATTTGAATCCTGTTTGATCGTGTCTGTTCTTGTATGATTTCGTTTGATTAGGTTTGGCCTTCTGTCGCCTCCTAAATTTCTTTCCTTCTTGTCAATAATGGTACACCAAAATTGGTAGATTTAGATAGAGCACCCGCGAGGGTGACAATGGACAGAAAATGGGATGGTAGTGACATATTTTCGACGATCGTGGGCAGTGTTACCGCTTTACTTTCCTGTAATATGACGCTGAACGCTTGAACTTTAGGTGCCCTCCAAAGATTCTCCTTATTGGCAAGTGCTCTCTTTCCTATTGTGTGCAATGATGAAAGGAGCCTTCCTTTTCTTTTTTCTTTTTCTTTTTTCTTTTTCTTTTTTCCTTTTCTTTCGCACATTACTCCATTCAGCGAGTTTCAATGGGATGGTTCTTTCCAAATCGGGGGTCATCACGTCGCCCCCCCTTTCTGGGTAGCAAGCACCAAACCGCGTACATTGACGTGCTCTCTAGCGTGTTGCCTCGTTTCTTCCATTTTCCGCCCTTTCCCATCCACAATATTTTGATTTTCCTTTATTCCCTAAAGCTCGACATATTTATGGTGACATAAATGGCAGTATAAGTACGGCCGTCCCTCCGTTGTCAAAGTACGTCTGCGTTGATCCTAACCATCAGGTGCTCCACGAATCCTTCTATTTTGTTTCCGTACCGACCCTTTCTCTCTATTATTTCTAACCATTATTGTTTCGCTGACTACCAAAAGGACGCATTGACGGGCCATTTCTGTCGTTTTCCCGTTGGAAGACAATAACGAAAGGCAAGGAAAGGGCGACTGGAGAGACGAGGAAAGAAGGAAGGTAGACACCCGGAAACGAGGGCGGAGCAGCGCGAGAGGCAAAACAAGGTAAAACCCAATTGCAATTTTGTGCCTCCAAACTAAACTACATCCTCGAGCGGGAGCCTTTTTTTGGTCATTGAGCGTCTGCATTCATCGTCATTTGTTGACTGATTCTCCTCGTCACCATCCTCTCCTCCGTTCACCCCTGTCACTGCTCTGCTTTTGTTGCTGACCAGCCCTTCGATGCATCTGCTCGACGACATAGGAGAATTTTGCCCTCCCTCCACCCTCCATTTCCTGAAATTCTTTCAAAATCCACAAGTTTCCACGAAGTGCTCTCGCGCCGATACATTCTCAAGTCCGCTTCGGTTGAGCAAACGGTGACAGTCTCCTCCCATTCGAGGTGTTGTGCTACTGCGGCACCAACAACCACCTTTCCTGACCGGAAAAGACAGCTTGTGGCGGCAACGCGCCCACAGCACGAAAGAGTAGGTTTCTTTATCGTGCACATCATAATTTTCCTCAAGTAGCTTTCCTTCCTTTCCATCGAACACCATCACATCCATAGACACGATATCAAGAATGCTATCAATGTCAAAAACGCCAATCTTTCACTTTCATATCCCTCAGCACCTAATCACCTTCTGACTTCTGCATACTTGCCCATGGAGAGACATGCTTGTAAACCCTCCTGGCCGTATTATTCTGAAAGCTAACTGAGCACCACATCAGCTGCAACCACGAGACAAAAGAAGAACTACTGCAGCCAACACTTCATCCCTAGCACTTGCGACCGTTCTTCTTCGGCATAGTCTTATTTTATTTTCTTCTCTCTTTTTCTTTCTTCTCAGTCACTTCTCCTTACGACCAAGCAGTCTCTGGCTCGATCTGATCCTCCGGCCTTCTGTCTGATCCTGTTACCTACTCCCACAAGGTATACATTCTTTTCGAAAGCCAAGACACGCGCCTGTATAACTCACTTCACTTTCACCGTACGCTGACCTTTGCTTTTTTTAGCACGGAAAACGCCGGAGCCTTGAGACTCCAACAGCTCGAAAAGATGGCTTCCTCACCTCACGCACCTGCCGAGGATGTCTGGCAGACAAAGCGAGTTCTGCAGTTGGAGACTGAGTTACGTCTGGCACAGGACCAGTTGCGTGCCGTCTCTCTTAGCAACGCAAACAATGTCCTCGTCCTCACGCAGATCTACAACATTGCGTCAATGCCTCAGAAGAGCTCCCAAGCACTTGCGGCCATCAAGAACTTGCTCATCCAAAGTACCAAGCACATGATGAGTGCCACCGCTGTGTCACCTGCTTCAATCCTGCCTGGCAGCGGAGGCAACACAGAAACCCCTCCATCTACTGGTGCTAGCAGTCAATTGTCTCCTGCGACCAGCTCAGACGACTTCAGCGCCTCTGATGGCCCTGGGGATCCCAAAGGCCGCCCAGATCTACTCGGTGTCACCTCCCGCAAGGGCATGAAGACCAATAACACGACTGAAAAAGCAGGGGAGGTCAAGGAGGCAGCCACTTCTGGAAAGGCGACAATGCCCAAGAAGCAAGACACGGCGACGGGTGACCGGCAGGACAAACCGAGCACCCAGCCACTGGTCAAACAGCAGGCCAAGCCAGACATCAAACAGCATCCTAAGCAGCAAACCAAGCAGCAGGCTAAGCATCTTGTTCTGACCAATCCTCAAAGCACTAAGCAATCCAGCAAGCCCGGTGGCCATTTTGGCAGCAGTGGAGGCGACGGCGGTGATGATGCAGACGACATTTGGCAAGAGTTTTCTCTTGAGGAGGAACTTGAAGGTATTGCCGATGCCCCGGCTATGAGCCGCGCTGCCATGCGTGCTGTCCTGCGTGAGAAGGAAGAGGCCACCCGGAAGAGAATGCGTGAGTCTGCTGATGAGAAGCGCCGCATCGCCGAGAGAGAAGGTCAACTGCTCAAGAAGACGTTTCTTCGGCCGTCAGTGCCCCTGGCACCCATATCCGAGCTCCCACAGACACAGACGCAAGTGACACCAAGCAGCAGAGCCAACCAAGGTGCCGACAACAAGACGGCACACAGCTACCTGCCCACTTCGGCAGCGGGATTAGCTGCAATTGGGCAAGATAAGTCTACTATAGACGGAGCGCGCAAGGCTCCCGGTGCTGCCCCTTTCCTGCCAGACGTCGCAACAGACATTGACGACGAACTTGACGGTGAGCGACCTGCATTCTCATACCAACAAATGTTTTCTCGCAAACAGAAGTGGTTCGCTAATCATGCAATGGTAGAGGTGAATCTGCCTCCCGGAATGATAAGCGTTAAGCATGCCTCTCCGAAGAACGCGGATCGCTTTGGGATTGTTTTCAATCCCTTCAAGCTCGACGCTGAGACTGTGGCCGGGATCACTGGCTCTAGCCAAGGCAATGACAATCGCCGCTCCGTTCTCATTCGGAACATCCCGCACGACTTTTCGATGCACAAGCTCCTAGCACATATCCATGGAGGTGTTGTCCTCATGGCGCGACTTGTCCCCGATATTATGGGTCCCAGACACGGCCAGGTCGCCATGATCACGTTCAAGACCGCACAGCAGGCTGCCGATTGTATGGCAATCACGCCTGATTTGCTGGCTCGCTCAGAGGAACTTGAAGGGGGGCCTCTCAACCCGGGGACGAGAATGTCCATCAAGTTGCTGCCGACGCACACGTACCCGTCCCGTGAGACAATTGTCCCAGCAGATTCGCCAAATCGAGGCCTCGTTGCCGTTGAGGAGAAAACACGCTGTATTGTTGTGAACGACTTTCCCAAGCAGTTCATCAACGATCTATGCACCGAGCTCTTGCTCGATGTCCGGCGCTTCCCATCAAAGATGAACGCTCTAGAAGAGATGTGGTTCGCTGACGACAATCTACACATGCACTTCACCAGCGTCCAAGAAGCCGAGAAAGCACATCGCATCGTGTCCATCTTCCACTTCGAGAAGTATGCCTCACAAGTTCATTTTGTGCCGGACCCTTGCGCAGCGCCGGCCGGTAGTGGCAGCATGTGTGGCCTCTTCGACAGCAACGGGATAAAGCTCGCGAGCCACGGGTACATGGGGCTCAAGTCTCTCTTGGAGAGCGTCGGGCTAGCCTCATACTCCCGCAGCCACATCAAGCCCCCCATTGCTGCTGCAAACAGAAACGCGGCGCCTCTTGCGGTTGGCAAAATGTCTTTTGCCACGCTCCTCTCGACGGCTCGAGTGGTGGCTGCCTCCCAGAACAGCGGCACCAAGTCACATTCGTCTCGGGCAAGAAAGCAGACGCAGTCGCAGGCTGAGACACATGGACAGGCAGAAGTGCAGACCAATTATGACAACACGCTCATTGATCTGTGTTTTGACACGACTCCGGACACCACCAGCCAGAACAGTGTTCCTGCGTCGCAGTGGGATGGTTTCTCCCGCCACAGCTTGAGTGCGCCATGGACAGCGGATCTAATGGTGGGTTTGGACCAAATGTGAGGAGCAACTTGGCTCGATAGTTAGTGACGACACGGCAAGGGATTATATCGGGAAAGGGAGCGAGATTGAAATGCGTTTCTTTGGAAACGGAGAGGCTGAAACATGTGAGACTATGTGGAGGGTAGTAGTGGTGCGCAGGACAGAGAACAAGGAACAGGGTTAACTGGGTAATAAAGAAGACACTGGCGGTGCAGTTGACTGCGTGGTTCATTCGCGCTGCGTTTTTTATTTGTTTATATCCCGTCATTGTCCTGGTTTGTGGACAGTTAGTTTGGTTTTCACTTTAATTTGACTGACACAAAGTTGATTGAATATGCATCCATGGTCAAGGGAAACTGATAGCAGCTTGGCATTCGAATTCTTTCGTATTTACAACCATGAAAGCACTGAGTATGTACATGTGGCCCATGCAGTAGACTGCGTCATGTCATGCCATAGAATGACGCGCAGCACGTTGCTTGCTGGCGCCCTTGCTGCCGCGGCGGGCCTGTTTATGGGCGGCGTGCTTGAGGTACTGGCGCACCATGCGCGGCGGCAGGTTCTCGGCGGGTTCCCAGGAGGGGTTCTGGTCCGGTGGCCAGTCGCCCTTCCAGCGGACGAGGAAGAGACGCACAACGCGGCTGCCGGGCGGCGGCTGATGCAGCGGGTCGTCCCAGTCCACGGGCTCGTCCACGACGGCACGGCCGTCCTCGTCGACGGCAGTGAGACAGTCGCCTTCGAGGCGGTCGACTTCGTAGAGGTCGTCTGCCTCGTCGTCTTCTCCGCCGTCTTCGTCTCTGGGCGCAGGGGCAGGGCCGGGTAGAGGCAGTACAGCGATGGCGTCCTTGGCGGGGTGGGGTGCTGCAGGGATCGTCGGCGGTGGTATGGGCGTCTCCTCGCTGCGTTTTCGCTTCAGGGAGGGCTGTGCTTGGGCTGTTGGTGGCAGTGGGATGGGCGTGGCCATGGATGGTCCTTTGGATTGCAGTCGGTTCATGGGTGGGGTGTAGAGTGGCGCGTCCGGCGGCGGAATGTACGTAGACGGCCGAGGGAGTGGTCGTTGGGGTAAAGGTTCGTGCTGGACGGGCGGCGTCTCCCGCAGGGACGGGAGCATGACCATAGCATGTGGCTGATTGGTGGCCGGGCCGTGGAGTTCATCGTCGTCATTCTCGTCGTCGTTCTCGTCCCCGTTACCTTCGTCGCTGTTGGCACTTGTATTCGTCGTAGTGGTAGTGGCCGTTTCCACGCCCAGACTCGCGCCCCGGCTTTCGCTTTCGTCGGCCTTCTGTTGCTCGACAAACTTTTGGAATGGGCGCTTGAGTGACGGCCCGGCGTGTTGCTTCTCGGCAGACCCAGGCGAGGAGAACAGCTTCGGCGATGGCCCGCCAATAGAGACACCCACGCCCATGGGTGTCGACGCGGGCATCGAGTCGAGCTGGATCTGCAAACTGGCCATCTTGGCTGGCGTCGACGGCAGGCCCTGGGCTGCGGCTTTCCGCGCCGCTGCGGCTGCCACCCTTGCTGCTGTAGCGGCAGCGGTCTGTGGTGGCCGGCCCGGTCTCCGTTTGTGTGGAAGGACGGCGGTGGCGCCGTCTTCCTCGTGCATTGTCTTGGTGAGTGTCCCCTGTGTCGCCTGTGTCCCCTGTGTCCCCTTCTTCTTGGCCGCCTTTTCGGCCCGCCGTGCTTCGCGCGCCGCCCGCTGCCGCTCCGTCAGCGCATACTCCCAGTCCTCGACGACCCGCGGCGACACATAGTCGAGGATCTGCGTGCACGGCACCAGCTGCCGCGCATACGGCTCGTCCGGCCAGCCCACGACGTAGTTGAGCACCCGCTTCACGTGCTGCCGCCGTGGGTCTTGGCGGTACCGCTCGTCCTCCCGGGCCTCTTCCTCGTCCGTGTTGTACCCGTCGTCATCGTCGACGTCGTCGTCGTCGTCATCCCCTCCCGGACGGATCCCCAAATCGGCAGCCGTACCAACCGCCGGTGGTCCACCCCAGTCGAGCGGCGTGACGACCTTGTCGACTATAAAAGCGCCATAGTCGTCGTTGCGTGGCGGGACGAGGGAGATGGGCGTGGGCAGCGGCCGTGGTGACTGTGCTTGGACGCGGTAGCGCGGCTTGTCATAGAGGAGGACACGCAGTTCAGGACGGCGGTGTCTCTGTGAAGACGAGGCGGGCGTCGAGCAGAAGGAAGTCGGCGTGGTCGATGAGGGCGGCAGCGGCTCGACGCGCCGTGGCCGTGGCATCGTGTTGAGCAGGGATGGGCTGTCAAGGACAGTCAAAGACGGTCAAGGACGCGCTGCCATGGATTCAGACATGGCCGTTGTGCTGTGCACGCGGTTGGGCGTCGACTCGCGCTGGCAAGACTGGCGAGTGCGAGGGCCAGCAAAATGAACAGTTGGGTCAACAGACGGCGTTCACTGAAGCTAAGGTGAGACGCGGCAGTCACGACAAAATAAAGTGGAGACCTGCCGTAAGGTGCTGGGCTCTTTTACCAGGCGGAGCTACCGCAGCCCTTCATCGCTGCGAACACTACAGAGGTATTGCGGTTCAATAGCTGAGGCCTTTCCTCATGGGCTACTCTATTGTTATGTTTATTTATTTCGTTGCCATGTTGATAAAGGTACAGCCAAAGAGCACAGCTCACACTCCATCTACACAAGATCACGTGCCACTCGATGTTGGCCCGTATTACGTCGCTGGCAGGCAAGACCCCGCTTCGCGCTAGCAAGCTTGCACCTTCTTTCGGGCTTCTCCTGCACAAGAGCCGCTTTAACAAATTTCCGCCTTCTCGTTGCGGTCTCTGTAAACTGCATTTCGTACTCGCTATTACTATTACTCCATATTCTGTATCTGACCCACTCGAGCCACCCAGAGGCAAGCGACATCATCGACGACAACGCCAACAACAGCGACAATCCCTGTGCACGACAACCGCATCTCCACCATGCTCACCACGACAGCCCCGACGCTGCTTCGCCCGGGCCTGGCTGCGGCCTCGCGGACGGGCAGCAGCCTGCACAGACCTGCCGTGGCCGCTACAGCTTCGGCCAGCACGTCGGCCAACACGTCGGCCAAGACCTCGGCGGCGTTCCTTGTGCGGCGGCCGCCGACCATTGCGCTGCAGAGCCGCACGATCGTGTCCTCGGCTCGCGTTGCCCTGCCGCTGAAGCGCAAGCTCGCCTCTCCTCCGTCTGCCGCTGTCCGGCGACCGGCACTCAACACTCCTTCGTCGTCGTCCTCCTTCTCCTCCTCGTCCTCCGCCTCCTTCTCGTCGTCTGCAGCAATGCACCGCCCGCCACCAGCGACGGGTGCCACGCGCAACCGGGATGCGGCCGCCGATGCTCAGGCTGCTGCTCGCATCGCTGCGGCCGCCGCCGATGCCCATGCGTCTCCAAAGGACCTGCCGCCGCTCGACTGGAACACCTTCTTTGCGCTGCGCAAGACCCGCCGGCGCATCCAGCTGGCCTTTAGCGTGGCCGGCGGCCTGGCGGGCGGCCTGGCGGGCGGCCTGTTCCTGGGCTCCGGCGTGGCCGAGCCCATCCTGAGCACGATCCCGCTGGACCCGTTCCTGACGCTGGGCCTGATGACGTTTGGGTTTGCGACGCTGGGCTGGCTGGCCGGGCCGAGCGTGGGCAACGTCGTGTTTTACGCGTGGAAGCGGCCGTACAAGGCGCAGATGACGCTCAAGGAGACGCAGTTCTTTGCACGCATCAAGCGCAACCGCGTGGACCCGACGGCGTCGTCGGCCGGCAATCCGGTGCCCGATTTCTACGGCGAGAAGATTTCGAGCGTGGCCGGCTACCGGCAGTGGCTCAAGGACCAGCGGGCCTTTAACAAGAAGCGGACAACGTTTGTATGAGGGGGGAGGGAGATGTGGTGGACGAAATTAAAAGAGGAGGAGGGGACAAGCTGCTTTGCTGTCCATGTTACTACTATTTGCGCGCAAAAATATAAACAAATCCAACTCTTGCATGAACGTCTTACTTTATTGTACGACAGAATGTGTGCTCTGGAATATGAAACCTCAACGTACCCGTAACCACAAAAAAAAAAAATACGTCACACAAACGGCATCGTCGAGTCGACTTGGCGTTTCCACGCAAGTATGCCGCCGGCCACGTCGCCAACAAACCGTGCGCCGCCTCGATCCAGGCCCAGCGTCTTGAGCTGCCGCGTCACCACCTGCGAGTCATTGCCCACGCGGCATACCAGGTAGATGGGCGCTGTATCCTCGGCCATGCCGTCGGGGAGCCACGACGGCAGGCCCTCGCCTGTCGTCCCTGTCTGCGTCTGCGAGAACGGGACGTTGATTGCCCCGGGGATGGTGCCCATGTTGTAAAACTCCTTTTCGCGCACGTCCAGCAGCCAGTGCCGCTGCTTCGTCGCCGTCTCGTCGCGCCCGTCGCCCGTGGTCGCGCCGTCCGCGTGCACCTGCCGGAAGGCCGACACCGAGACGCGCTCCTCGGGCTGCAGAATGTGCTGCGTCACAGCCGTGCTGCCGCCGCAGAACTGCACGTAGTCGGGCCACGCATCGCCCAGCGACGCCATCGTCTTCAACGGTGCTTCGTCCGAGCAGGCAAAACAGTCTGCGCGCCGGCCCTTGAGCCGCACCGTCCGAAACGACGGCGGCACCAGTCCACCGCCGGCACCGCCCGCCGAGAAGAGCGTGAGCGTCGGAGCCGGCGGCACCGTCTTGGCCGTCGTGACCGTGACGGGTGCCGACCCAGACACGAGCACGCGGATCGCCTCCAGCGCTTGCAGCACGCCCATCACGCCCACCACAGGGCCCAGCACGCCGCCCTCGGCACACGACGTCTGGCTGGCCGCCGGCGGCGGCCGTGGAAACACACACCGGTAGCAGGGCCCCGCGCCCACGGGGTGGTTGAGGACCGCCAGCTGTCCGTCTGTGCGGAGAGCCGCTGCCGACACGAGCGGAATGCCAGCACGCACGCAGGCGTCCGAGATGAGATACCGAATGGCCGGATGGTCGGTGCAGTCCAGCACCAGGTCGATTTTTGTGTCCTCGCTGCGCTCACTTTCCTCGGCTTCCCCGCCGCCTACAAGCCTACCCACGTTGTCCACCGTCAAGTGCTCGCGGTGCACCGTATACCGCACGCTTCCGTTCCGCGCGCGCATCGCCGCCGCCAGACTGTCCACCTTGTACGCCCCGACGGTCGCCGACGTGTGCCCAATCTGCCGGTGCAGGTTCGACGCCTCGACCGTGTCGCCGTCCACCAGCACCAAATGGCCCACACCGGCGCCGGCCAGGTACAGAGCCGCAGGACAGCCCAGGCCGCCCGCGCCGACAATCAGCACAGACGCCTTCTTGAGCCGCAGCTGGCCGTCGACGCCGACGCCGGGCAAGATCAATTGGCGCGCATAGCGCTCGTATTCGTCGGACTGGAGTGGCCAGGGCCAGCTTGGTGGCGCATGCTGGTGCTGTTGGAGACGCTCCTCCTGTTCGACCTGCACGAGTTGTTCGCGGAGCGACTGCAACTCGGCTTCGGCCGATGCAATGCGACGTCGTAAGTCGGCTGACATGTGTTGGGGAAGGGCAGTCCGTGAAAATAATGAAAAAGCGTATCGAAATAAAAATGTAAAATTGTACAAAAAACAATTTATCAAAATCCTATGAAACAGCTGAATGGTACATTTTCATGTGTTGATTCTCTTTACAAGAGAGGGGCTTGTATAAAATGCAGAGCTTCTCGGAGCTTGCCGCTACGAGCGTGGCGAGGTCCTACCAAAAAAAAAAAAAAAAAAAAAAAGTTGATAAAAATACCAAAAATGAACGATGGGAGTGAGATTTGAACTCACGCGACCGAAGCCATATGATTTCTAATCATACCCATTAGACCACTCTGGCATCCCACCTTACTGTTCGGTTGTGGAAGAAAACCGTTCCGGATTAGCTTATATAGGCAGCGTAGCAACTCTCTCTGCCTCTTTTACCTCTATCTTATCGCTATCGCTCGACCCCCAAAAAGTTGTGTGATAACCAAAAAATGCCCTGAGCTGCGACCTGCAACTTTACTTGACAACACACCGGTCTTGGATCGTAACCACCCATCATGGTATGTTCTACGGCAGAGTTTCAATTGTCTCCTTATTTCCACAGAGTACTGACCATCAGGCCCCCGTCGCACCCAAAATGAGCCACCGGGCCAAGGCCCTCGCCCGCATCGCCGACCCGACTCTCCCCCGCAAGGTCCATCGCGACGACAACACCGTCACCGACGCCTTCTTGCACTCCAAGCGCGACAAGCAGCTCATCCGCAAGGCCACCTTCCGCGCGCGCGTCCTCGACAAGGCCGGGCCGACGACGAAACCGCTCAAGCGCCGGCGCCCGTCCAAGAAGCTCGTGGCCACGCTGGAGTCGCTGGCGGACTCGCTCCCGGAGATCCCCAGTAAGACAGACGCAGCTGCCGAGAACGCCGAGTACGCCGACGACGGCGAAGAGTGGGACGGAATCAAGAGGCGCCGGCGGCAGCAGAGCCTCAAGACACGGCCCGGGTCGCTGAAGCGCAAGGCAAAGGTCGTGCAGGCCGAGATTGCGCGCTTCGGGCAGAACCTGGCGCAGCTGACGGCCGTCAAGGAGGATGTGGTACAGTCGACGGACGGTGCTGCGATGGATGTCGAGGACAAGGAAAAGGACAAGGACAAGGGCAAGGACGAGGATGCCGAAGCCGAACGTGGCCCAACCACCGACGCGCCACCGACTGCAAGACAATCGACGGCCAACCGCTTTGCCCTGCTGCGCAATTACATCACCATGACCATGGAGCAGAACCCGGCGTTTGCCAAACAGGGATAGAGGAGGGATGCGTTTGGTGGGCGAGTTTGCGTTACTTTTAGGTTCATTTGGAAGGCATAAGGCGTTGGGGGTTTAAAAGACTTTTGGACAGAATTATCGCTTTTGACGTGTTTTATGATACAATACAAACGCATTGATCTACAAACGCCATAACTCAAATATTTGTGCAAATTTGTGGCTCGACTTTACGGTTTTGGTTGTCGTTAATACTGTTTATACTGTAGTAAATATTTCATTAAATTTTAGAAAACAAAATACAATTCGTCGAATAATTATTTCATTTGTCAAAAATAAAGAGATACGTAGAAATTCTAATATCAGATCGAATATCATTTTAAATGTTAACATCGGGTGTTCACAAAGAAAAACACTATAGGCCTGTTGGCATGTCGTACGGTCACTCAAATCACAGAGATGATAAACCATTTATACTTTTGTTGCCTGTCAGAAGTTGTTGTAAAGCATGACATTAAAGAACAAAAAAACGCCTATCCGCCAACACCTCGCAAAGAATCCAAAATACCACGAGAAAACGTCCGATGAAAGGAGGACCAAAACTGAAAACACCAAAAGAATTGAAATACAAAGAAACGCAGAAAAGAAAACAGAACAACATCGGATATAAACAAAAAGGAACATTGGCTGCCGTGTATCTTTGTCTCGTCTTGATCGTCAGTATCCCATTTGCGCCAATACGCCAGTATGCCAGTCACGCTCTGGATGCAGGGAAAGTCGGAAGGTCGGAAGTAGGAGATGATGCGTGGATGCGTGGATGCGTCAAGAGAGAGAGATGGGGAGAGGGATGCGCAGCCCTGTCTCCAGTCTACTCAATCCGCGGCACCTCCTTGTTCTTCTTGAGCGGCGACGCACTCCGGCGCCGCACGGCCTCGTGCCGCAGGTTCTCAATGATGCGGAGCATCTCTTGCCGGCCGCCCTGGGCATCAATCATCTTGCCGCCGAGGCTCATGGAGACCTTTTCGCGGGCGTGGGCGTTGAGGAGGCGCTTGACGAGCAGAAAGCGCATGAGGACGCAGACAAAGACGCCGCAGTCGTTGCCGTTGGCCTGCTGCGGGGTGTCGTCAATGTCGCGGAAGCGCAGGGGGCGGCCGAGCAGGACGGCCATGCGGGCCGTGACGTTGCGGGCGACGCGCAGGTTGCTGGAGCTCATGGAGTCGTAGTGGAAGGCGACGCCGTCGACAATGGAAATCAGCAGGAGGCTCCAGTGGGAGCCCGCATCGGAGCGCCGCGAGCCCATGTGGTCGCCGAGGGCGGCGTCGGAGATGGGAAAGAAGATGTGGGTGATGTCCTTGAACTTGGGCAGGGCTTCACGCGCAGCTTCAATCTTGGTCGTCATCAGGATCAGACCAAAGGCCGGACGCAGGAGCGAGATGCGAGCCTGCGGGTACCGCGGCAGGACCTCGTTCTCCAAGTACTCCTCCCAGAAGCTGATGTTGTTGTCGGTCAGCCAGTCGTTGCGCAGGACGTGCACGTCGTCGTGGGTCAGGGTGATGCCATGGTACGACAAGTAGGGCTTGGCCATCTGTTGCTCGAGCGTTAGTGGGCGTCCATCGGGCATGGTCTGGTCTGTGTACGCGGCGCCGTTGCTCAATACGAAATCCGAATACTGCATCTGCGCACCGCGCGTGGCACGGGTCCCAAACGACTCCAAGAGCCTTTCCTCCTCGCTGCTCAGCCGTCTCGTCCACTGGCACGAGACGGGACCCCGCGGCAAGCCTGTCACCGGTTTGGACTTGGGCGCACTGCAGTCGTAGCAGTCCAGCGCAGAAATCCAGGTGCGCCGATGACTATGACGAGGCCTGCCTTTGTAGTCGCCGCGGTCGGCATCCCACTCGCGCCGATGCACAAGCAGGTGGTCGCCGTCACTAACGGCGCCATCCAGAGCATGGGGATGCAGGCGCAAGGCCCTGGGCGGGGGGAGCATAGGTGACGTGACGGAAAGGGAGGGTTGCTTGACAGGCGTCATGCACATGGGCTCGTCCTGGCTGGTAACGAGGAGCGGGAACCCCTTGGCGTCCATCACATGGCTGACGGACACCTCGATCGCCTCCAGACATTCCAACCGCTTGACGAGCGCGCGGGTGTAGGTGAGGTTGTATCGCACAGGAGGGTCAAGAGCGATGTTCTGTGTGAGGACGGTCGCCGAGGGAGGAGTGGAGGCCGACGTGCCGATGCTGGCGGCATGAGCAGCCTCGGCAGCCTTGTTGCTCTGATGGACGAGCGCCGACAGGTCATCAAGCGACATTGTGTCCAAAAAGGCGTCATCAAAGACCCCGTCATAGACCTCGGACGTGTGTATCGTGTTCTTGCTTGCGTCCTGAGTGATGCCAGCGTCGCCCTCGGCCTCGTCGTCATCAATGACAATGACGTCGTGGCCGTGGTCGCGATCCGATTTGCGACTGGCATCCTCATCTATGACGGTCTCTTTGACCTTGGCCATGGCATCGACCTCATCTTCTGCGGCGAACACGTTCTCGTCTCCATCTGAATAGCAGAACTCGTCCCGGCTCCGCTTGCGACAAGAGTGCGGGGGAGTGCTGACGGCCGACGCAGGCGACTCGTAGAAGCGCTCGATCGAGTCGAAGAGGATGGCAGAGGCAGACGACGAAGACGACTGGGTGGACGGTCTGCGAGGGGACGGAGCGTCTGAGGCAGGTGCAGTCCAGTCAAAGTAGGTATCAAAGTTGACGCCAGGCGCCGTGGACGCAAGGTCGTCCCTGCCAATTTCGGGCACGCCCCTCTCGTCGTCTGCTTCCTTTGCACCTGCGTCGTCATGGCCGCCGTGGTCGTTCTTGCCGTTCTTGCCGTTCATGCCGTTCTTGCCGTTCTTGCCGTTCTCGTTGTCCGAGTCCGAGCCAGAATCCGACCCGGTCAGATCAATTATCACGTGCACCGAGTCGTCCTCGTGGAGGTCCTCCTCGGCGGCAACGTGGGCGGCCCTCAAGGCGTCATCCTGCCTTTGGCCGTACATGGTAGGCTCCATCGTGTCGAGATTGTCGCCGTTCGACAATGCAGAGCGCGAACAGGTGAAAGTGCAGGGAAGTGATACGTGCGAAATCGCAAAAGAAAATCCCCCCAAAAAGCAGAGGCAAAAGACAACAGACAAAAGAAAACCCAACCAGTCTGATTTTGAAATCGACGGTCTGATCGGTCACTGTCAACTTACAGAGTCTCCTAAATGGCGTGCAAAGCGTTGCCGAAAGGGCATTGTCTTGCGGGAACGCAGGCCACAGACAGAAAAACGGAAGACAGAGGAGAGAGGAGAGAGAGTCAAGACACGGCAAAGAGTCTGTCCGTTGTCTGCTCGTCGTCTGAATGGAGGGGATCTTTGGTCGGCAGGATTGTCGCTGGTGTCGTTGATGTCAAATTGTCGCTTGTTAGACTATTCTGAGATAATCGCTTTGACACGTCCAGGGCCTTTTTGTCGTTTCGGGCAGTTCGCTTTTCGCTGAAGTCGCAAAGTTCTCTCGTCTGTCTTTTTTTTTGTGGTTCGATTCGCTTGATCACTGCCTTATGTTCGCTTTCGGGCCGGGTCGTGTGCGTCGTCGTGGTTTTTTGTTGGTCTCGTTTAATTTCTGGAGAACAAAAAAAGGAACAGACCAAGGAACGAAGATGACGACAGAGGGCGGAGAGACCGAAAAGGAAGAAAAGGCGGCGAAAAGAGACGAAGCGCAGAGAGGAACTAGCGGGAAAGGGCGTAGCCTGAAAAGCAGGATGCGAAAAGGCGCAGAAAGAGGGCGGGTGTTTGGACAGAAGAGGGGCTGGCTGACCAGGCAGAAGAGAGGGCAGGCCACTGATTCGTTTCCTAGTCTGACGCTGTGGGATGTTCTGGGCACCAAAACGACGCCGCAGGTGAGATGGTAGTGGCGGTTTGGGGCGTCTTAGCGCAGCAGGTGACCGTTTCAACAAGTAACTTGTAACACGTCGCTAGTGTGTGGCTTGCCGAAGCGATGGACCGTTTGTGGCTTGTGATGTCGTTAATGTTGTCGATATCGATGTGTGGTAGGTTTTTTTTGTTTTTTTGTCGATGCAAAGGCTGATTGTCACAACGAATTGAAGACGGGCAAGCGATGGAGCTTTTGCTCTCTACCAAGAAAAGCAGAAAGGCAAAACGTGCGGAGATGCGTTTTGGTGGAGTTGTTGGAATGCCGCGTGAAAAGCGACTGAGAGAACCTTAATCGATGCGAAGATGCAGAGACAGTATGAATGTGAAGTCTAGGCAATGCGTAAGCTTTGGCAGAGCAACGTTCGGTTGGGTTGGCGATGAGAGAGATTCTTTCGTGAGAAAAGAGAGAAGGTGCTCGCCTTATATAGACCTTCATATTCGGTACGTATCTCTTAATAACGACGCCGCTGGCTAGGACGAGTGTGAACTTTAAAATTTGTCACGACGAGGCCAATTCGATAAAATGGCATACAAAAACAGTGGAGGGAAGAGGCACGAACGCATAGAACCAGCAGAAGGAACAAGCAGAAAGGTCAAAACACTTTTACTATCCCTCTACATAGGTATATCTGGTATACATAAAGAAAAGACGAGAATATCTTGTCTTCGATGCCAGTACAACCTGCGTGTTGCGGTTGAATATAAAGTTCATGAGAATATAGACAGCCAATTAGATGGACGGAACGTACCGATTGACGATAAGAAAAATGACAGCATAGGACGGACATGGTTGGCGTTGGGTTCTGTGGAGAGAGGCTGTATTTCGACCTGCTGGCACATATCCTACGTAATGGAGCAGTAGCGTGGGCGCTCAGCAGTTAGTGGAGCCGGACTCTCCCCATTCGGATCGTCGCCGCCAAGCACTGTTGGCCTCTGGAGCTGCGCCCAAAATGCCGTCACATCCACTGTGGCACAATTGTGCCTTCGCCATATTCATACAGGGAACGAAAGATCTACGACGATGACAAAGTCTAGAACCTAGCTCGCTTCTCCATTAAATCTATCAGTTAGGGAATACCCCAACGAGCCCACCTATTGTACCGGCGAGTTCCCGCCCTTCGCCAGTTTTCGTCTTTTCAGCCTCCTCTTCTTTGCTCTTCTTTTTCTCGACATCTCTCACTTCCTTCTGGTCACCGTTGCCCAGTGCGCCACCTATCATCAACTCCATCATCTCAGCCTGTAACCTTCCAGTAGGTACCGCACAGTTTGCCTAAATCACCCCGCCTGCATGTGTGGTGACGAATAGTAAACGAATAAAAGACGATAAGCACACGATGACGCTGGTCCAGATCGGGCAATGGAAACATGCAGAAAACAAGGCACGCGACAAAATACAACATCGAAACAGACGGCAAATGGAATAGGCAATGACAGAAATGTGTGAAGCAGCGAAGCAAACTCAAGCAAGGCTGTGAGAGGAAGTGAACGAACAAAGTAGTGGCTAAAAAACTTATACTGAGACGCAAGCTGTACAAGTAGCAGAAATGATGCTGACATGATGCTAAACACACTGTTAGTAATTGAAATGACAAAGGCAGGAAACGGCAAAAACATGCAACACCCACACACACATCATATTACACCATCTCGGCCTGCAACAAGCGCAGCCGGGAGCCGGCATTATCAGCCAGCACGTCCTGGATCACGGGGGCCAGATTCAGTCGCTCGAGCCGAGCCGCTAGTATGTGCACGTCGCGCTGTGCGGCTTCAAAAACAGCAAGCGACCTCTGCCGGCTCTGTTCAAAGGTATGGATGAGGGCACAGCGCTCACGTCCGTGTAGGGCACCCATGCGGGCGAGGACGGCTGCTCCGCGCTGCTGATACTCTTCGGCCACATCTTCGATGGCCGCTTCTTTGGACTTGAGGAAGCGAAGGATGGTCTACCTAGTTAGCGGTGGACGACGAACGGCAGAGACTTTATATCTTAAAAACATTAATAATAAAGAATATTCAGAACTCACCTTGCAAACATAGCCCATGATTTGGCCTGTCTCTTTGTATGGGTCCATCTCCTCCAGCCAAATGTCCCTGGCAGTTTGCGCCCGGCCAGGGCTGTCGTTCGCCCCGGCAGCGAGAAGCTTCATCATCTCACGCGCGATGCCATCCGAATCGACAGGCTTGGACTTTGCCTGGCAAGGGCCATCAGGTTGAGAGCTCGGCGGCACCTGAGGCATGGGTGCAACATGGTGCGACTTGTGCTGTGCAACGTGGTGCTGCTTATCGTAGCGCGGTGCTGTCTGCGTTGAAGGCTGAGCTGGTTGCACAGGCGGAGCGGCGCTTTGAAGCAATTTGGCCGTAAAGCGCGTCCGATTTGGCTCATTCTCGTCCATCTCTTCGACAAAGGGATCTTTAGGCACAGCCATTTGCTGGAGCACGTTGCGCACCCGGGATTCGGTGCGAACCGGCTCCGCTCTCTGTTTCTTTGGTGCTGCGCGATGATCTGGTGCGGCGGAAGGTGATCTCTGGCGCTTTTGGTGCGAATTTTGCATTTCCAGAGACTGCACACTGCGAGAAAGCTGCCTGCCACGAATGACAGATTCCTCGCCATCATTCATCATCTCCTTCTTGACCTTGACAGACTTGCGAGTGCTGGCATTCTTGTGGTTGGCATCAGCGGAGACTTCGTCGTGCTTTGGCCGTCCCGAGGATGCTGCCACAGACCTGTCCGTCACCGGCTTGGACAGTAGTTTCGCAACTGAATCAGGGGGATCCATCTGTGCAACAGGAGTTGTGATGGATGTCATGCCGGTATCAGGGACAAAGGCGACATCCGACTCGTAGCCATCTTTCTCGTAGCTGCTCGCCGAGTCTGAGCTAATCATAATAGGCGCACGCTCACTACGCGGCCGAAGCTTCTTAGTGATGTTCTCATTCTCCGTATTCTTGTTCTCTGCGGAGACAGTGCCATCTTGAATGTGGTACTTGTCTTCTGCGTGCCCCACCTTCTTTTCTTTGACGGGAGGAGGACGGGCAACTGTCTTCTTCTTGGTCTCTCTGGGCTTTGCTGCCTTCTTTGCAGGTGCCGGCCTCTTGGTAGCCTTGGGCTTCCGCACCGACTTGGTGGCTGGGACAACAGGGTTTGTATCTTTTGTAGTAGGATTAGGCAGCGGCATCTGGGTTGTGGCCACTTTGGTGTCTGATTGCAGCGGCGTGGAGGGAGGGTCGAGAAACGACCGCTTTGCAACTCGCTTCTGATTCTTGACAGGCTGCTTGGCCGAAGGGATCAGTCCTCCGACAGGGCTGGATGGCTTGGGTACGGCCACTGGTGATGTGCTTTTGTTGCTTGTTCTTTTCTCAATTCCAACAGTATCCTGAGGTCTGTAGTTTGACTTGGGCGAGATTGGCAGTTCGTAGGGGTCGCCATTGTCGGTCTCCAGTTCCGGAAACATGGCGTTCTGGACGGGCTGGGTTAGAAATATCGTCCTTGACTCACATTTGTCGCGATTGTATCTAGAACTCACTGGTTTGTGTGGCTTGGCTGGACCGTGTGGCCTACCTCTCTGAGACTCGTTCTGCGATGCACCCTTCATGGACTTGCTCATCTTGCCGCCCTTTTTGGGCCGGACTTCGACGGGCGAGGAGAGGTAGAGGTCGGGCATTGGAGGCGCTCCCTCATCTTTAGATTGCTTGACCTTGCTCTTTGAGGTCTTGACGGGTTTTGTGGCAGGCGATACTTTCTTGCTTGAAGACGATTTCGCTCTGTCATTGCCTCTGCCGGTCTCGGGCGGGTTCAGCAACCTGTCCCCAGGTGTCTCAATCGCCTCACCGGCCGTGCCCATGTCAATTCCGTAGATGTCGGTTATGTCAGGCAGAAGTGCATCTTGCCACAAACCGTCCGCCATAAACTGGAGGTCTTCATCAGTGATCGACATCTTGGCACCCGTTTCCCGTGTAAGTGATCAGTGTCAGTGGATCCTTGGTGCGTCTTGAAGGTTGCCGCTTTGGACGGTCCACAACAGCGCATCAATTACAGTGTCTAAAGAGGAAGAAAGGGGTTGCGGAAGAAGAGACAAGGGCGTGATGATGGAAAAGGGGTAAATCCAGGAGTGTTAGGGAAGCGTGGTCCAATATCGACGTTCTGGGAAGGTGCATTCGAGGTGAGCTCACATGCGCAAAGGAAAGAGCGTACCATTTTTTTGGCATTTTCACGGAAGGCGCATTCTGGCAATGTTCACTGTTTTCTTTTCTCTCCGCTCTTTTACCATACTTTATCCTTTGCGATTCTACTTCCATCCGAGCGTCTCTGCTTCGGACGACAACAACCACGCATCCTCCGTCGCGGCCCATTCCTCGGCCGCCCGCACCGTCTCCTCAATCTCGTCCTTGCTGATGCCTGCATCGAGCCAGTTCTGGTAGAATTGCCCACCAGGTGTCAACTGACCCTTGACCCGCCACACCAAACGTGATCGCTGCTCGTGCCCTGAAAACACGCGTGCGCCTGCCCCGACCAAGACCTTTCCGCCGTCCGCATCAAAGCCAGCCGCCCGGAACAGCGCCGGCGTCGCGGCACCGGAATTGTCGTACCCAGGAGGTGCATTTTGCAAGAGGACACGCCGCTGGTACGGCACCCACAGGCGGTCGATGGCGAGTCCGCGAGGGTAAAAGTGCTGGTCGCAGCCATCGCGTGAGCCCAGCACACCGCCCGGCTTGAGGACGCGGCGCATCTCGATGACGGCCTGGCGCGGAGGGTCTGGCGGGGGCAAATGCCCGAGAACTTGGGAGCAGTAGACAACGTCAAAGGTGTTGTCGGGAAAGGGCAAGCCCTTGAGGACATCGGCCTGCAAGAAGGAGACGGTGCGGTCGCCGGGCTTGCCCACGGTGCCGTCATCGGGGTGGAGGGGGATGTTGTTGTCGGTGGCGACCTCACGGGCCTTTGCCAGGACCTCGGACGCAATGTCGACGCCGACCACGGCACCCTCGAGGGCGTACTTCAGGAAGCCCGTGGTGATGGTGCCGGGACCACAGCCGACGTCGAGAACGTAGTCTGTCGGCTTGATGTAGGGCACGAGGAAGCCGGCGTCCGCCTCAGCTCGGCGGCGTAGGTGCGTGGAGAGTGTGTGCTCGGTGTAACCGTGCGTGTACTTGAACTCTTGGGCCATATCGGACTGGAAGTGTGTTTTTGGACAAGTAAATTTATTGATTTGCGCTGAAAAGTCTAGAAGGGTTTTGGGAGGATGGTGATGCCTGGCTTCTGTGAACTTTGACGAGGCAACAACTTGGTATTTATGCTCACTGGAAGTGTCTTGCTGAGCTGTTCTATTTGTGGATGCTGTTTTGAGCTTCTCCTGTCTCCGGCTTTCACGAAGCTTGCAGTTTAAGGGAGCTTTGACAAACAATTGATAGCTCGGATGGTGCCATTTTGGCAGCGGTGTTAGGGGACTGCTGCAGGTACAAGTGGCTGCTAGCCCGCCTTACATCACTCGGACTTTGGCTTAAATACGCGAACCGCCCGCTCCATCATTTAGGACTTGGCAACCCTCTGGTATTTCTAGGACTTACATCGAGTAGGACTGCGTCTCGGTCCACGATGTGTCTTTGGAACGCACGTCATATCTTCCCCAGTCTTATTTTGACTGGAGTTCGTTGCAAATTGACAAATATGGCAGTCGTTGTTTATGGGCCGTGTGCGATTGTCTGTTGTTATCACCAAATTTGCATAGGACTCCTTCAATATTATCATATTGATTATGTATTTATTCGTAGTTAACTCAAAAACAAACAAATAAATAAATAGAATTAAAAAAAAAAATTCATCATCTATTTAAATTTCTAGGACTTTCCACCTTCGTTACAGGCGGTTCACGCGGTTGGCAATGACATTGTCAAACCAGTCATAGATCAGGCCGTTGACGTGGTCCATGGCGCCCACATGGCAGTGGTTCTGCGCCGCGTCCTCTGCCGTCAACCAGTTGTAGCTGGCTAGACCCGGACGCAGCGCGTCGCGCACCTTCTCGGGCTGATCAGGGAAGAAAATGTCTTCGGAGGGCGCACCGATCCACACGGGGCACGTCACCTGCTCGGCCAGGCGGCCGTCGAGCGTCATGGGCTCGGTCTTGCCCAGGAATTCGCTGACGGTGTCCACATCAAAACTCCATACGCCCTGCTGCAGACTCCAGACCGTCTCGGTGTCGGCCAGGCCGGAGGCCAGGTAGTAGTCGAGCTCGGCGTCAAAGGCTGTGTAGTTTCCGGCGTCCCAGAGATCGCGCACCTGACCGTCGAGCGCATTGTAGTAAGGCTCAAAGACGCTGTAGAGACCGTCGACGGCAAAGACTGCAGCCAAGCGGTGCTCAAAGGCGGCCGCGCGCACAGCCAGAAAGCCGCCCATGGAGTAGCCAAACAGGCCGAGCTTGCTGCCGTCGACCTCGGGCCGGGCGCCCGACAAAAGGTAGTCGACCACGGGTGTGACGACCGTCTCCCACTCGGTGATGAAACCCAGGTTCTGCTCGCGGCGGACCGTCGGCTGGCCGGGACCCTCGTAGGTGATGACATTGTAGCCGCGAGCGAGCGCGTCAAAGCCGGTGGCATGCAACATCTCTTCCTGTGCACCGTCGTAGCCGTTGCCAAGAATGACGGTGGGGCGAGGATCGGTGGGGCTGGCTCCCTCGGCGCGGTAGTAAATGCAGGGAATCGAAAAGTTGCCGCTGGATGCCTTCAGCGTGATGCGCTCTCCGGGGATGGCCAGCAGGGCAATGGCACTGTTGAAGGCCGCCGTCTGGTTGGCCCAGAATGTCGCCAGCCGCGGGTCCGAGGCGTTGCCGTGCAGATAAAAGTCGGCGGACCGGAAATAGGTCGAGGCACGGAAGAATGCATTTCGTGCAGTGACCGGGTCCAAGGTGGCATTGATGGCCTGGGCTTGTGCATAGACATGGTTGGCGAGCTTGCTAAAGGCCGCCGAGAAGCTCTCGAGATCTTTGGGGACGATGCTGCCGGCGGCCTGCAAGACCTCGCCAGTGTCGGCACCGAACGAGCGCGACAGACTGGCTGTGCGGAGCAGCTCGTAGGAGAAGGAGGAGTCGCTGCTGAGTGGAAGTTGTGTTGCATTGTTCGTAGTGTTGGAGGCTGCAGTGTGGGGGATCGCGGCGCCCGATGCGGAAACTGCCATGGCAGCCACAAACAAGCATTTGATTAGCGAAGAGGCCATTGTGAATATTATGATGTGCTGCGTTGGAAGCAGAAAGAAGCAGGTGGTCAAAAGATTTGAGATCCTGTTAAGTTTGCAATGCAGCAGAAGGTCAAAGGTAGAAGATGCAGAGAGAAGACGAACGAGGACGATGAGATGGGCAACGAAACGGGATAGGGTCGAGAAGAATGGATGTATTTATATTCGTCTCGAGCCATATATCACGACGGTTGCTTCTTGTTCTTCCTGACCTTCTTTCGCCCTTTACGGCTAAAATAGGAAAAAGACAAATCAAGCCATGGTGACTGTGGGGACGATCATCATGAACAGACACAGCCTTGCCGCTCACGGCCTTACCGAGAGATACTTTGTGGGACACTCTGAAAACAAACAAGGCTGACGAGCGTCAAAGGAAACATGTACGTGTCTCCGTTCATTGTCTGATGTGGTCCGAGTGTCTTCCTAAAGAGGAAATCCCTGGAAGAATTCATTGGACCCGAGGCGATGATCAGAGTAAATCATGGACAGGCAGTGCCGCTGCTTACTTGTGTGCACGAAGTGGAGTCACTGATCGACAGCGCAGACATTCATAAGCGTCGTCTATCGGCGTCATGATTTTTATTTCGTGTCGACGTTCTCAAAGTCCTCATTTTGCTGGTCGTATCCGCCAGTTGATGCCGGTCGAAGTCGGTCGACGTCGATGCTGACAGAAAGGACAACAGATTCAGGGCGGAGTTGTAAATCGTAGTGTAGCAGCCAATAATCCCAGCCTAACAGACAGAGCGACCCACAGTACGAAAATATGGCCCGAGCGTCTTCCCAATTAGGCAAGAGATTTACAACTCCAAGCTTTGCCTTGTAGGGCAGGCGCGCAGCATGCTTCTTGCAGTGAGAATCGACAAAGCCCAAAACCAGGCAGGAGCACCCGACGCTTCATGTTGCCCGCCTCCCCAAGCAAATCTTCTCGTTGCTACATCCAGGAGATTGTTTCTGCTCAAAAGGTGGGCAACGAGTCGAAAACACGCCATGGTCAACGCTCGACCCACACTCGTCTCGCATTCGGAAAGATACAATGGCCAGCAACCCTCAGCAGCCTCCACCACAAGCGTGTCGCACATGCCGGGCCGGCAGGATCAAGGTGAGGTCAATGGTGCTGCAAAGAACAGAATATAGACTCTTGGTAAATGTGGGTTGCTGACTCTTCCTCTCATCTAGTGTGACTTTGTCAAGCCTGTCTGCACGCCTTGCAAGCAGTCAAGGAGGCCATGTACTGGCACTGGACGGGCGTTGGTCTTCAAGACGACCACCATAGCTACAAACGGGCAGCCAACCACATCTACGAGCACATTTGGTGCAGCGCCTTTGGTCACGCAATCCAGAGCCGCCGCGCAGCTCGACGCTGTCGCCGAACAAGAGCGGCACATTGGCTTCTTCTGGGCCGCCTACCTCCCAAACGGTGAGCCGTTTCCCGACGAAGCTAGTCGCTACACAACCTGCGGCTGGACACGCATCGTACGAGAGATGTGCGAGAGCCATGCGACTACAACCGGGACCGAGAGCACGACAGACCTCGTGCGCCTCGCCGTCGTGGCCAACAGCCTCTGCATGCTGGGCAGCCAACACCGCGAGCCACGCATGGTCGACGACGGCCACCAGGTTTACGGGCGTGCGCTGCAGAAAATGCGTGCGGCACTACAGCGGTTTGAGTCCACCGAGACCAAGAAGCTTGCGCTCCTGCTGACCTCGCGCCTGCTGACCATGTTCACCCTTCTCTTTGGGCGGGATGCGACGGACCGTGGGCCGCCTTCAACGGCGCAGGGCGAGGCTTGGGTCGGACTCAACGCCGGCGAGATGGCACTGCTGCTGTCGAGCCGTCCCGAGGCATACCAGACGGGCGATGCACACCAGGTCTTTGTGGACACACGACTGCATCTCTTCCTGCCATACCTCATCTCCAAGTCGCGGACTAGTCTGAGCCGGCCCGACTGGATGACGGTGCCGTGGGCGGTGGTCCCCAAGACACCGCTGGACCGCCTGATCGATCACATTGGGCACATTCCAGCACTGGTCGAGGACCTGACTGCGATCAACAGCAACGAGACTCTATCCGAAAAAGACAAACGGATCGCCAAGCATGGTCTGCGTCCCCGGTACAGTGCCTTTGTCGCCGAAATGAAGGATTGGTTCGATGATGTCGTGCCGGGTTTCGGGATCGAGGAGCTGCTGGCCATCGGCAAGACGAAGAAGAGGAAGCGGGCGTCGGAAGGCTCTTCCTCCGTCCTCGAGCTCGCCAAGGCGCACACACTCGTGCTCTTCTGGGCCACCTGTCTGCTCTTTCGGGGTGGTCTTTTGCAGGTCCTCGACGAAGACGGCGACATCCCGCCGGAATTCGTCAACATGCGCGCCATTCGCTACAACATGCTCAAAATCATGTCGAGCGTCTTCTTTTCGCCGAGCTCGAAATTGACGGCTAGCTGGTACAGCATCAACATTGCTCTCTTTCCGCTCCGAATTGCCATGGGCACAGTCGGCCGCAACGACGGTGACGACGGCGACAGTGGCCACGGCGACATTGACACATGTCCGCTGTCGCCAGCCGAGATTGAACTTATGGCGAGCATCTCAAACGAATGCAAGGCGCGTGGTGTCGCGAGTTTTCTCAACAGCATGGGCCAGTACTTGTCGGAGGGCGACGCAAAGGAGTGATGGTCACGGAGCTGAGGCATGAACACACGACACAAAAACAAGAGCTCGCTCATTTGGCACCTCTCGTCACTTTATGGGTTCTTTGCATAATTCAACTTGGGCGCAGCGTGCATACTAAGAAGTACAAACGCCAACAAACTTAACAAAACCCTGCACAATATCCACATGAGCTATGAGGTGACAGCACCGAGCACCGCGCGGGATGCGTTCTCGCGAGGGTGGTGCGCGGGATCAACCAGCACGGAAAAGCTGAACTTTCGCCAAATTTGAGTGCATAGAGCGGTTAACTACGCCGAAAGCGGCATCGACCTCGATGCAACAGCGCCGATGGCGTGATTGACTAGCGACGCACCTCATTAAAACCCCACGAATTTGGGGGGGCTTTTGCGGGCGTGGGCCGCCCTAGACCGTCCTGGGCCGCACTGCAAACCAAACCGTGGACCCTCTGCCACACATTTCTATTGGACCCTGACTTGACGTGAGCGGACGGCCGGTCGTCGGTGCGTCCAAGGATGCCATTCAAAATGCAATCATTTTACTGCTCACTCCGAGAAATGGAATGGCTGGCGGGAAGCAGCTCTTTTTGCGCAATTGACGCAGCGCAAGGAACAAAGGAAATGAAAATAAAAGAAAAAGAAAAAGAGAAAACGGCAAAAAGAGACAACAGACGATCCCAAAAGGCGGACAAGACGAGACGTGCAGGTCTGCAGGGTCTGGGCGTGGAGCTCTTTCTGCCAGCATTTTACCGTCTTTTTCTCCATGCGCGAAGCTCGTGTCTGTCTGCTCATTTCCCCTGGCCTATGACATTTTCCTGCCATTCGGTCATACATCTCACGTCTTACGTCTTTCTTCGCTGTCGACCTTGCTCGGTTCCTTTTCATCTTTTCCCGACCAAAAGCTTCTTTCTTCTGCATTTACAGCTTTGTCCCTCGTTGTGCGGCACGCGCCCTGTGTGTTTCTTTGATACCCCGTTCCCAACTACATCCTCCCACTTGCTTCCTCCTGGTTCTTTGTACTGCTTGTTTTTTTCTGTAGCCTTATTGGCCTTCCATGCCCTTACATTACACGTTCAACATGTCGAAAATCTACGAGATCGACCCCGAGGCCGACACGCTTGTTGTTGTGCACCCGCTGGCCGAGTCCTTTGCGCCGTGGCCCGAGCACGACAACAAAAGCACGACGATCCCGACCAAGCACCTGACCAACGGCTACCGTAATGGTGTTGTTGTGCCCGTACCTGTGCCTGCTGGTGTGCGCATCAAAGTCTCGTCCAAGCATCTAAGCCTGGCATCGCCGCGTTTCCGCGACATCCTTGCCCAGAAGACGGCTGTGGCCGCGAACACCAATGGCAGCGGGAAGCAATCCAACGGCGTTACGACGCCGCCGGCCAGCCCGAACTCGCTGTGGCGCAAGCAAGCGGCCACAACCACCGCCACCGACGAGTCGGATGGCCGCATCCACATTGTTCTTGACGGCCTCGATGCCGACGCCACGACGACTGTGCTGAACATTGTGCACGGCCGCGGCGGCAAGGACCGTGTGCCCAAGACTGTGTCGCTGGAGGCGCTGGCACGCATTGCCGTGGTAGTCGACAAGCTCAAGCTGCAGGACGCCGTTGAGATCTATGCCGACCGCTGGGTCGACGAGCTCCACAGCAAGAGCGCACCGTCCAGCAAGGACAGCAGCCGCGACCTGGTGCTCTGGATCTACGTTGCCTACGTCTTCCAGCGCGACAGCATCTTCAAGGAGGCCACCAAGATCGCCGCCGCGCAGCTCACGGGCCCGCTGCCCACGCTGCCTAACCTGCCCCTGCGCGCCAAGATCGCCCACGACATTGATGCCCAGCGCCAGGCGGTTATTGGCCAAGCGCTCGACATTCTCGAGACGGCCGTCGACAAGCTCGTGCAGGGCGATCTGGACCAGGATGAGGAGACCACAGCGACGGACGGCGAAGAGAACAACTCCGACACGTTTTTGCTGGGAACACTGCTGCGTACGCTGCACCGTCACAAGCTCATCTGGCCCCGCCCCCCCTCGCCGTATGCCGGCGTGTCGATTGCGGCCATCAGTCACGTGGCACACGACGTGCAGACTCGGGCGTGGCGGACGGCGTTCCGGATCGGCGACTCAACCCGCAACAACCGCACAAACAACCAGCTTCTCCTAGCGCCGCAGCTTGACAACCTGCGCGCGGGTGTGGTCGGCCTGGCGCTGAAAAGCGACCTCGGCTACAACCTATATTAGTGGGCGAGACAATGAGGACGGTGGCGACGGCGACGAGGACGAGGACGACAACGGCGGGGAGAGCAGTGGAGTGGTCGTCGTCGTGCACCGAGAGCGGGAGCGAGCATTCGAAGGCTCTGAGCCCGGACTGGAGGTGATCAGGCAGGACGACAGAGACGTTGAAGGGGCGGCAGATATTGCAGCCGAACTGGCCACAGAACTGGCTACAGACGATGACAATAGCACCGGCGGTGAAGCTGAACACGCTGACGATGATGACATGGACAGTGGCGACGTCAATGACGGTGCCAACAGTGACGAGATCGGTTCGGTTGATGCGGCCGACGAGGTCAATGAGCGCAACGAAGATATGGACGACTACGTCTCAGAGGCAGATTCAGAAGCTGATGCGACGCTGGTGGGCGACGGCAGCTTTGAGCAGCGGCAGGTGCAGGCGCTGTATGAAATGCCGTCAGATGCGACCGACAAGCGGCGGCTTGTGGAGCCATTGGGGAGAGACGAGCTGCTCTTGCCATGCGAGACGGCTCACGACACGGTCGTGCTGCCGGCGCGCTTGGTCCTGGACTCGAAGCTCGACACGACTCTGGACCGCGTTCTGGTGTCGCTGAGTCTGTGCGCAAGTTTGGCGGTGATGGAGTGGGTGCCGCAGCTGCTGCACCCCGGATCGATGAAGCATTGGGGCCGGCGGACGGCGGTGTTCCTTTTGCTGGTTTGGCTACCGGCTGTACATTAGGCGGGCACGAAAGGAGGGACGTGTGAAGTATGCGTGGAGAGATGAACAGACGAGGAAAAAGCACCGACGCTCACTTTGTTTGATCTCATTTGTCACAGTTTTTACATATTTGCTTTGCTCTTGGAAAAGATCTTTTGGACTGTTTTCTTTTTGTTTTGGCCTTTTTTTTTGGTTGTTGTTTCTTGGATATTCCCTGTTCCATGTCATTTTGCGCAACATTTATTATACTTTTTTCAATTTCAAGCAACCTGATCGACAACAAAAAGCAATATCTCTTTTGTCTCAAGCATCATAATCAAGGCCCAGCAAATACCAGTTATTTCGAGAACAAGTCTTCTCACTGCTGTGAAGTACCGGCGCAACGACTTCCGACTCGTTTCCATGAGCCGATGCTTCTCCGCATTACGAAGGGAACGCTTAGTGGACATTTCGCCGGCGCGTGTTACGCCCCAACCATGGGTTTTGTTTTACGGATTTCTTGTCTCCCCATTTGTTGTCGAATGCGTGCTTCTGGTACATCACTTCGACAGGTTCGACACGGGACGACAGCGGCTGGACTTTGCCGAGGCAACTCTTTCTGTTAACCTCGTCTCGTTATGCTGACTGCTACTACTCACATCGGGAATTTCGAACAGACTCAGTTCAGTCTCCTTTGAGGACCATTGTCTCCGCGCTACCAGGAAGCAAAAGCTTCGCTTCCACGCAGTAACTATGTGGTAGCCTTTCGTGCCCGCCCACCCATCTCTGGCCAACCACCTGCCACACTAAATTTGGTCAAGAAAGCCTCCACTTCCAGGAACCTGACATCCGCCGTCCGCGGCGGGGGGAGCATCCCGGCAGGGCCAATACTAACACCCCAAAGGGACAAACCAGGACTGAAAGAACCTATATAAGGTAGAGACCATTTCGTCCTTGAGTCCTTGAGAAACACAGTATAAATTGAACTAAAAAAATGAAAAATGAAAAAAAAAAAAAAAAACCGTTCGAACGGGAAGACGAAAAGAGTTGGCACTTTCAGATTTCAGAAAGCCTTAAGCTATAACCCTCTCCCCGGGGACTTCGTATTAATAAAACAGGCTGAAGGTCGGGCAAGTCCCCCAATGAGGCTGGGGAGACAGCGAGGGGAAGCTGTTCCCGATAGAACTGCCACCAGCCTGGATAAGGGTACTACTGTGTGCACGGCAGAGGCTCCATCGTTCGTTCCACCTTTTGTCGTCCATTAGGACACCCATTGTATCGTTGCTTCGAGGTTGGTCATTGTTTGATATAAAGGGTAAGTTGTACAACATTTTCCAGCAGATTGCATCTCGTTCCCCCCTCCATGTCCAGCCTGGCGAGAGCCGTCCGTAACCTGGAGTCCGCGGCACGTTACACACTCCGGGATTTTGATTATCAATCAGAAAGCAGCGCGTGGCACAGCTGTGGCATATATTCTGTGGACAATGGCCGAATCGGGATGGATTTCGCAATTGATGGTGTAGATGTGCACAGTCTCGCACCTACCTGTTATGCAGCAACTTTAGTACACCTTGCCGGCGACGGTTCCGAGCGTGGCGCATGCCGCACCTTGGTCGCGCCTGCCTTGCTCTGTAAAATGAAAGCAGCCCACATCGTAACCAACGGAACAGGAATGAACACGCCCAAAGTCAATGCCGTGCGATGGCGCCTTCCCGTTTCTTGCACACCAGGGTGTCCATGGCGTCGATAGCCCCTTCCCACACCCACTCTGCGGCGAGCTAGCAATGACGAAATCAAGGCGGTCGACCAACAGGCAGGAGCGAGACGAAGCTGCGCGGTCGCTCGTCCGCCCGCCTGCGTGATATTGCAACGCAACGACCTCGCTTTGAACACCCACACCTCGCGGAAGACGGCTGACAAAACGTCCCGGTCTCCGTGGGCTTTCAACACAGCTTTGTCTGTCGCTGGCCCCCTGAGTCGTCCATGCTTGACATTGCTCTGTCCCTCTCCGCAACGTGTATATAAATGGAAGAGCCCCCAGGAAGCACGCCTCCTTGAGATCGTCCTTCTTTTCCTTGGTGTCAGATCCTGAATTCCGTCTCACGACAATCTTGCCCACACAAGCCCGCAAGCTCTCTCGCATTGCATCTTCTCCTAGCTTCTCTCACAACACAGCACTACACCCCATCGCAGCGCACACGACGTCGCCCACCATGGCCGACAAGCTCACCTTGTACACCAACCACCGCTGCCCCTGGGCCCACCGCGCGCACATTGCCCTGGCCGAGCTCGGCATTCCCTTTGAGGAGGTCATCATCGACCTCGACCGCCCCCGCGACCCCTGGTACCTGGAGGTGAACCCGCGCGGCCTCGTGCCGTCGATCAAGTACGGCGACGAGATCATTACCGAGTCGGCTGTTGTGGCGCAGTTCCTGGCCGACCTGCACCCGGACAAGGCGCCCCTGGTCCCGACGTCGACGGCCGCCGGCGGTCCCCTGGCGCGGGCCCGCATTGCCTTTTTCGTCGATACCTACTTTACCAAGGTGCACTCCCACGTCATCAAGCTGGGGCAGGCCAAGACCGCGGACGAGCAGGCGGCGGCGGGCGATGCCATTGTGGCGGCGGCCGTCAAGGAGCTGGAGCCGCTGCTGGCGGGCGGCGCCAAGTCGGCGTCGACGCCGGCGGCGAAGCCCTTCTTTGGCGGCAGCGAGCGCCTGACGCTGGCCGAGGTGCTGACGGGGTCCTTTGTGCTGCGGCTGGTGCGGCTGTCCAAGCTGGGCGTGTACCCGTCCAACGTGCCTGCGGCGGCGGCCGAGAAGGCGCCGGCCTTCTGGGCGTGGGCCGAGGCCGTGGCGGCGCACCCGAGCGTGACGGGCATCTTTGACGAGAAGGCGGTGGCGGCCAGCACCAAGGCGCGTCTGGACAAGCAGCGGGCGGCATGAATCCGTGGCAGCAGGATGTGAGAGGATGGGGGGCAGTTATGATAAGAATGACGAAACACGAATGCAGAATGCGCATACTTCATCCTCCAACCCCACCAAAAGAAAGAAAAGAAACCAAAGTGTCTTTCATGTCCCCGTACCCTGGGAAACGCAGTGCCTGCAGGACATTCTGCACACACATGTACATGTCGGACCACATCCGATGGGGGAAGGGAAGAAGCAGACATATATCCGTGCTCGTTGAAATAAACTCTTTGTTTATGCATCCCGTCAGCGGCACCTGCCGACGGTCAGCATATACTGTGGGGGGCAGACTAAATGCAGCATCGCCGTGAGACGCTTGGGTATTTTATTTAAAAGTCCCGTTTTATGTCTGACAGGTGTATTTTCATTGGCCGTTTTGATTTTATGTCTTTCTGTCGCCTCACATGAATGTTCTTGGCAAAACAATGCGTTGGGCAGAAGAGCGGGCAGTGGAAAGAAACGGCAGCTAGGATGGGCCGTAAGGATGAAAATTATTATGTCTTTTTTTTTCAGTGTCATTGCCATTCCTTTTATTCTTTCTTTTTCTTCTACCCCAGTCTGATTCACCACCCGACACGATGACTCGTAGACTGACTCGTCTAGCTTGTCGCGGTTGCATCGTCAGCTCGGTCTCCACATCTCCCACACACCGGGCGCCGCTACTTGCGCGAATCGTCCCCGACTTCATGGCGTCTGATGTCGACGGTAAACCACATCCGCGCCCACATGACGCGGGGCTCCTCGTCGTGGGGAGCGGCTGATGAGACCCCGGGTAGACGATATAACAGATGAAAGACGAGCGAGTTTGAGTCGTCGTTCAAGTCGATCTCGTAAAGCAAGAGCATTGCCGTTATTTCTCCCGTTCGATCCGTCACATCTCGTGCTACGACACCCTTTGACACCACCACATCATTATCATGAAGGCCGGCCAGTGGAACGGGGTATGTTTCCTCGTCTTGGCGTTGCAACAAAAATGCGACTGCAGAGCTGACCTCCCCTCCAGTCGACAAAGTCCATTGAGCTCAACAATGTGCCCGTCCCCGAGCCTGCGGAAGGCCAGTTCCTCATCAAGATGCACTCCGCGTCCCTGTGCCACTCGGACCTGATGCCCGAGGGCCGCCCGGACGCGCCGACCACAATGGGCCACGAGGGCGTCGGCTTCGTCGAGGCGATCCACCCGTCCGCCGCGGGGAAGGGCTTTGTTGTGGGCGACGCCGTGGGCTTTCTGCCGTTCCTGGACGCCTGTTTTGCGTGCGACGCGTGCCACGTGCACAACCTCCGCTGCGAGCAGGGGACGACCAAGCTGCAAGGGTGGACGTCGGACGGCTTCTTCGCCGAGTACGTTCCACGCCGTCACGGGCTGCGAGCTGGTGCCGGGCGCGTGGCTGGCCGTTGTCGGCTGCGGCGGTCTCGGCCAGTACGCGACGCAGTTTGCCAAGGCCATGAGCTACAAGGTGGTGGGCGTGGACATCCAGGACGACGTGCTGGCGGCCGTCACGGCGCTGGGCGCAGACGCTGTCATCAACACGCGGACGACGACGGCGGCCAATGTCGACGAGGCCATCCACACGCTCACGGCCAAGGGCGTGCACGCCACGGCCGTGTTCTCGGCCGCCACGGCCGCCTACGAGACGGCCATCACGCTGTTGCGCCCCGGTGGCCTGCTCATGGTGGTCGGCATCACGGACACGCCGCTGCCCGTCACCGCCATGGACCTGTGCACGGGTCGGTACCGCCTCAAGGCCGAAAACACGGGCACTGCTCGCCGCCTGCCGCCCGTGCTGGCCTTTGCCGCTCAGCACCGCATCCAGCCGGCTGTCGACGTCCGCACGCTCGAGGACCTGCCGTCCATGGTCGAGGCCATGCGCCAGGGTCAGGCCACGCGCAGGCAGGTGGTCCTGTTTTAGGTGTTGGTAGGTGGCGCATGGGGGTGTAATGCCCCTTACGACGCTCTTTTGATCGAGGCCCCAACAGCGGCTGCATTATCTCTGTCTCGAACAAGAGCTTTCTTCACGATGCTGCTGAATGTATCCTTTAGGAGGATCTCTGAACAATTGATTGGCATTCCACGACTCTGTAAAGGCCGTCCATCTCCTAGTATACGAACTAGACCGCTACCACTAAGCCAACTGGCAAAATAGAGAGCCCTCTAACAAGGCTAGATAGCAGGCCTGAAGTACCGTAGTCCCACACCTTTGTTTCTGTTTTGCCTTGTTGGGCGGCTCGTGCAATGCACCCGATCTGGTTAGCCGCAGCTTTTTGCCCGACCGCCCCGTTTTGACCGTTGACCGTCAGAGAATAGCACAGCTCGTGCAATGACCCATATTGGGACTAGCGTCATATGAGCTTGTTAGTCGAGCCGACTTCAGAGGCTTCAGCGGCTTCAGCGGCATCCAGCGGAAGAGATAAAAGGAGACGAGATCGCTCAACGGAAAAGTATGTCTATGCCCTGCACCATTCATTGGATTTTTGCCTTGTATTCTGCGCAATCTCATCGACCCACGACTATCACCATGGGCCAGCTCGAACCGTACGATGCGCCGCCGCCGTACGGCAGCACCATATCCATGCACCCAACGTCCCCTGCTCCATACGACATGCCCTCCGCGTCTCCCACCCCAGCGCAAGTTCAGGCCGACGACCAGGAGGTCGACGAGCTCGCGGCGCACTACCGCCAGTACATCCCGTCGGTCCCTGGTGGTGGTGGCGGTTTGGGCGGTTTGGGCGGTTTGGGCGGTTTGGGCGCAGCGTCGTCAGCGTTCGCCCCTCCCGCCGGCCTGGCACGTCCCATCCTCATCCCACAGGCGTATGCCGCTGGTTTCACGCAGCCGCCGGCGCCCTTTCTGCGCGCCTACCCGCCGGTTCTCGGTGATGCCGGAATGAACATTCCGCCCGCCCTCTTTGTCGCCATGGTCGACGCCCTCAATCTGTGCATGGCCCCGCCCCCACCGCTTCAGGCCCTCAACCTCGTCGGCCAGGGTGTCGGGTTCGTGCCGAGCCACATTGCCCAGGGCGTGTCGGCGGGACTGGGCGTCGTGGCCGGTGTGGGCGTGGCGGCGGCGCGCATCACCCAGCTCAAAAAGTTCCTGGCCCGTGTCAATGCGGACGTATTCGCACCGCGAGGGCTGGTGATGGAGGTCGTCAAGGACGAGGCGGCGCTGCGGATGGTGGGCGTCTCGCCGTCGATGCTGCCGCCCGTAATGCCACAACAAGCCCGTGGTGTGGTCTGCACCGGCCCCGGTTTTGCCCCCCGCAATGCTCTTGTCCACACTCGCCTGACGCAACTGGCCCCGCACACGTCGCCCCTCTCGTTCCATGTGCCGCCCGCAGTCGTGCCGACAAGCCTGATGGACCGCATCACGGCGCGCCAAACAGCGTCTCGGCTGGCCAAGGATGCCACGCGTGCGGAGAAGCAGCAGCAGAAGCGCGACAAGAAGACGCGCAAGATGGAGGGACGGATGGATCGACAGTCGTTGGCGCCGTCATCGGACAGTAGCGACAGTGCGAGTGCCTTTTCATCCTACTCGGGAGGCGCCGCGGCGATCCATGCCAAGGCCGACAGCAGGCGGCAGATGGCAGAGCAACAGGGCGACTGGAAGGCGGTGGCCAAGATTGAAAAAAAGCGGGCCAAGGAGATGGAGGACTTTGACAAGAAGCAACGGAAACACGGGGACAAACACCACGAGAGGCACCAAGACAAACAGCAGAGGGGGTATGACAAAGACATGCGCAAGATGGATAAGAAGGACCAGAAGCAGGGAGAAAAGGACCAGAAGGCGATGGGAAAGCTGCAGTGGATTGTGATTCGGAATCGCCAGTAGTCATTGTAGGGAAACATAGACATAGATTTCAAGACAATGTTGTCACGTCACTGCCAGGCGAAGCACTGCCCGTCACACGACCACTCTCGAGATGCCATGTGCGTGGACGGCCAATCTCAAAGCCATGCGTCTCGACAATGACGCGCTGCATGGCTGTCTCGGCCCACACAGCCTCGTCGGTGCCCGGCGGAAGGTGTCGGGCGGCAACGTGCAGCGGAAAGATGAAGAGAAAGGCGCCGGTGCTCGAGGGGCTGCGATCAAATGATTCCTTGGCCAGACGGCAAATGTCGGACGCCACGGACCTGCGCGCAGCCTCGGCATCCTTCAGAGCCTGGCCCGCCACGAACGAAACGTGAAAGGCCTCGCAGACAGGGGCAAGACACAGCAAAATAGCATGGTGCAGGGCCAGCATCGACAGGTCGGTGTGGCTCGCGGATGATGCCCGGGGCGGCAGTTGCAGCTGTTGCCGCCACGCGGACAGTGCCAAAAGAAGATGCTCGACATGGCGAAGCAGGCCGGCGCCGCTCTGTGGCGTGGCGTCGGGTGCCTGTGTTCGATCAGCGCCGCCAAAGTCGTGCAAGATGCCAGGCACCTCGGCAAACAGGTCCATCAGTTCTCCTTCTGGACTCGTGTCCTGTGCGACGGCTCGCCATGCAGGCTGCGCCAGATAACAGGGCCGCCGCCGCAGCAGGGCGCTGATGACAATCGCAAACCGGCAGTGCCGAAACAGCTCGCGGCCGAACCCCGCCTGCACGTGCTGCGCCGGGCCGCGTCGCTCGATCAAGTGTGCCAGGCCATCGTAGTGCGCCAGCCAGCCCGTCGTCTCGGTCAGCGCCACGTTCTCGACCAGGCCCAGGCACAGCGCGCTGGCCAAGGTCTCGACGTCCCGCACGGCCACAGGGTCGGCCACGGCGGTGCGCAGCCGCCCCAGCGACCGCACATAGGCGCGCACGCCCGCCCCAAAGATGCGCGTGTCGCGGTGCACCTTGCCAAAGTAGACGGCCGCGAGGGCACGCAGGGCGTCTTTGTGGAGGGGCACCGCAGCTGTCGAGGTCGACTCGTAGTTGATCATGGACGCCAGAATGTGCGGGGACGCAGGACCGCTGACGCGGGGCAGCAGGCGCGCGACGAGGTGGGTGTGGAGGACCGTGTCTTCGTCGGGCTGGAGAGACATGGGCACCAACGTGGGCACCAACGAGGGCACCAACGAGGGCACCAACGAGGGCACCAACGTATTCACCTGCGCAGTCGCCTGCGTCGGCACGTCTTCGCGCCGGAATCGCGCCGTCTCGTCCACAAAGTTGGCGTGCAGAGCATAGCCACGGCACAGCAAGCCAGCCTTGCGGCACCGCTGACAATGCGGACGGCCTTCATCTGCAGCCGTTAGTCATCGAGTCCCGTCATCACCCACCAGTCGAGCCACTTGCGCGAGTCGTGACATACCACATTTGAGACGGCGGCCGCGACAGGTACCGCACCCTTTGCTGCGGCCACCGCGGTTGACCATGTCGCCTTCTTACGGTGGGTATTGGAGCGCGTGCGGCATTGCAAAAACGTGGACAAGACCCGCCATCGGGACGTAGACGGTCGTTGATGTAGATGGTGATGGTGTAAGGGCAAAGAAGCAACGCGCATCCATAAGAAATAATGTCAGATGTCAGTCACAAAGTAAGACGCAGAGAGACCTGTAGAGTGCTACAACGTCAGGCAGGAGCAGACGACACAGGGCGGTCACATCGGGCAGAATAATGCCCTGTAATTCGACGCCCGAAGGTGTGGGCCCACTTTACCACTTCCGCCTATTGGCCTATCGGCCAGGAAAGGCTTCGCCAATCGTTTGCCAGGTCCCTGTCCCAAAACGGCAATTACAAAATACATTGACCTACACCATGGACTCCAAAGCAGAAGAGCGCATGCAGATCAGCGTGCTCCGTGCTCGCAAGTGATCCTGAAGCCTTTTAATATTTTATCTGCGCCAGTCGTGTCAGATTCCCTCCTGTGGACGCTGCAGCCATGTGTCATGCGTTCACCAGGCGCTGAAGTAAGCCTGCCACTGTGCGCATAACAAGACATCACCAACCAACACAAGCCCAGCTGATGACTACGTGAATGGCCTTTGAGAAGAGTAGATGCCCTTGTCCATTACACAGTTTGTTAGCTGGCCCTTGAATATCATTAAGGCACCGCCCAATAGGCGCAAAATTCACACAAATGTTTTATTTATTTGCTCGTTTGTCCAAATCAGTAGCTTGAGTCATATATCACATATCAACGTATGCGTGTACCTAGGCAAACATACATTCTGGTGTCTGGTATGAGTATTCGAGAGTGAAGTACATTGATGCTTAATAATCTTTTCAGGAAAATGAAAATGATTCTCTATGCCAGCCATCTCCTTCCCCTCCGTGCTCTTCGCCCTGCTTCGCTCCTTCTCTTTCCCCCCTTTCTTTCACAAAGTAGCACCTCATATTGTTTATTCTCCGCGCAGACAAATTTTGTCTCCCTTTCTCTCCCCACACACTGCAACTCTCCAGATGGATGCTTCAAACGATACAGCCACTGTGTGCTCGGACGACACCGTTCGACCGCCTCCAGCGGCCGCGGCATATTATCTTCCGAGTATGAACGGATCCTCGCAACCGCAACGGATGGTCGAGCCGTCTTATGCTTTTCAACAGCCTGCGGTGCCTCACGACAGCCCCTCGAACGGATCTTCGCAGCCGGCCACTGCGTCCCGCTCTGAATCTCTGCATTGGTCCTTTGCATTCCTGCATGCAGCAGACCAAGCCCCTCCCTCTCTGTGGGGGAATGGGCTGCCACGTCCGACGCATCGTCCGGTGCCCGAGCCAGGCCGATATCCCGGCCTGCCTTTTGACTCGCTGCGCATTGATGTCTTCCTTCCTCGCCCCAAGGACGTGGCTGTCATCGACGGCACTTTCTGCATCTCGCCGCAGGTGAGGTCCACCATACAAATCGAGGCCGAAATTGCCAGCAACACCATCCACGAAACCGTCAACCGGGCCGAAGCCGCACAGATAATTTCTGGCTCCTTCCAGCGACACATCAAGGACGTCACCGGCCTGAATACAGAGGCGGTCGAAGCAGCGGCCCTCCAATACACAAGAGCTCTGTCCCGCGCGAGGCTTGTGCCGGACGGGTGCAGCGACCCGGCAGCCTACCACGACGCCATGGCGCTGCAGATGGACATGCTCGTCTTCCGGGTCGTGACCCTGTCCATTGGCATCCGCGCCCGCATGGCGGTGCAAACGATGGCGATGGGCGAGGCCTGTCAGCTGGCGACTCTACCCACGCTGCTACGGGACATGCACTCGACAGACGACCCATCGCATCCGTCGCGGGCCATCCTGCACAGGTTCAAGCACCACACTGGTTGGTGTAGGGCCGATACCGTGTCGCACACGAGACAGGTCAGGGAGTCGGTGAGCGGACTGCGCCAGCTGTACAGAGAGGCAAACATCGAAAACGATGCCACGACCACCCTGGACTACGAATTGAACAGGATCAGCACCGAAGACAGTGCCATTGAGCAATACTGGACATGGGTCAGTGATGTCTCCTCTGCCATCGAGAATGGGAGAAAGAATAGATCATCCAGCGTGTAAGGCTTGACGAGGGCGGTTGCTTTCTGCTTTCTTTCTTTCCTTCCCTCGTTCTTGCTTTCCTTTTTTCCTTTTTTCCTTTTTTCCTTCTTTCTTTCTATGTTTCTTTATGTGCATTTGCGTGTGCACGTCGTACTTTAGTGAGCACGATTTTAAGCAAGTATGCTTTGCTTTGGTATATTTTCAATCAGTTTCGGAGTCATTTTTGTTTGTCCTTTTCTTTGCGTGGAGGCGATGGCGATACACGTACCATATTGATACCCGGTGTTTATTAGCTACATGTTTTTGCACTGCGGGCTTTGCCTGTTTTACAGCCTGTTTTACATGTTTTTTTTTATTCTCTTGTCACACTATACATTTGGATGCATTAGCATTGAAAGTCTGACGAGCGAGAAATTAGTATACAATATATATTAAAATTGAAATTAAACAAGCGAATAAAAATAGGAGAGACCATATAGAGAGCAAAATTGATACCATCTGCCGTCTGGATATATCCGAAGGTGACGAATTCACAACACTCATTATCATCGTCGTCATTGTTGAGCCGAAATGCACCTTGTTATTCACTCTCTCCTATTTGATGCACGCGTTCATTTCCACAACCACGGACATTGTACCTTCATAACTAAGGTCAACATAAGGTTAACAGTGGAAAGTTCAACTTATGCAGATTAAGTTAAAAATAGACGACTGGACTAACTAGCGACTGGTGCCTACAAGGTTTCAACGCAAGACTTCTTATTCAAAGTACATAGTAATTACATCTGGCACTTCAAGAAGACCACAGTCACGCGACAGACATTACCATAGTAAGCGTGATACTGCATACCATAGGCGACCACAGTCAGCTCACCGCACAACAAACCGGCAAAAATTATGTAAAAGGATGCACTCTTTGCATTCCCTCCTTCACATTTTTTCTACGAATATCCTTCTACCATCTTGTCAACTTTCACGGAGGCTAATCACCTAATCCACCCCTCCGACAAACCAACATCTGGGAAACAATAACCCTATTTATTTCGGTTCAACGTTGGTACATACGCACACGCAGAGATATCACGTGGAAAATGAAGTCACCATTTCCGTTCTCATGGCAATTGCTCAAAATAATTGCTTAGTCATTTTGTACGACATAATTGTGAACCCGTTGCTGCTCTCGCTCTTTCTTCCTCATTGCATTTTCTGTCTTGTCTTTCCGCTTGTTCGCCCAGACCCCGTTGTTCACCGAACTGTCACAGCGTCTCTTACTGTCATAATGTATTTGCTCTGTTTCATTCGTCCCCACGCATACTTTTCCCGTCGACAACCGAACACGTCTTCGACATGTCGTGGGATCCTCTTCGGCACTTGACTCCGCTCTCAGAGCACCCGTGTATATCTCCATCTTTGTCTCCAGCGCAGCCAGACACAACCCTCTTGTTTGAGGAGGTGGACACACGACTGAACGGCTTTCAAGAGCGACATTATGCTCCTTGGAAACTATTGACAGCAATTTGGGAGTTTCTCGAAGATGGCGGCAAGGTCACCTTGGCCACAGACATCCTCCACGCTCACGATGACGAGCAGCTGGTTTTCCTGGCAAACCATTTGCTAGATGCTGTCTTAAAACCATGTATGGGGCGCATTTGCTGAAAAGGCTCTCCTTCCATGTATTTTCATGAAAACCAATGATCACAATACTGACAAGCCCTGTGCCCCTAGTTGTGCTTGCTGGAGGGCGCTCTCCTTCACCACTTACCAGCCCCCCATCTCAAGATGCTGCGAGCGCAATCGACCTGACCATGACCACGATAGAAACGTCAACCAGGGCAGAGCAAACGATGCTACGCAACGACTGTCTCCGAAGAGATGGATACCGATGCGTCTTCTCGGGCATGTGGGACATTGGCGCGACTGCAAAAGGAATTGCACACCCGCTGCCAACCGACCTTGAGTGCTATGTCGAATGCGCTCACATCCTCCCCTTTGCGCTGGGCGTCTTTGACGAAAGTGATGCCGTCCAGACACGCAACAAGGCCATTATTTGGTTTTGCATCCATCGGTACTTTCCACAAATCCAACACAAGATCGATGCTAGAAGCATCAATCAGCGCAGCAACGCCATGTCCCTGGAGAGGTCTCTGCACAAGTCGTTTGGGGAGTACCGTGTGGCTTTTTCGCCTCAGGATGACCAACACCCGAACGACGTCGAGCTCGTCAAAATCTTCGATAGACGGCTCTTTCTACCTGCTTCGAAAAGCGGATCATCAAAGGTCCAATTCATCCGTGCCGACAGCAACGTTCCGATGCCGGACCCCGACTATCTCAAGGTCCATCAAAGCATAGGCCAGATTCTTCAAGTGAGTGGATTTGGTCGAGTTATCTCGATAGCATTGGAGGACTCGTGGCTGGCCCTTGACTGCCGCGGGCTGCATCCAGACGGTACCACCGATGTGGGTGCCTTGTTGTCGAATCTCTTGCTGACCAATGTCCGAGCAGGCCCTACAGAAGACCAGGATCCGAGTCCTAGGAAATCCTGTGATTAACGAACGTGGGTGTCTGGAGGCATTTTTATTTATTTTGGTCGTCCTACGAGAAGAAATACACAATTTTATCCAACGCAATATTTGTGCTGTGCTATGCCTACTCCCATGTCCACTTCCATTTCCACGTCCGCCTCGCCTTGTGCTGCTCTAGCGCTCATAGTCGTGTGCCGACCGCGCCACCAACCGGGGGATGTCGTCGACCTTGTGCTTGCCGGCCAGGATGCCTGTGTTTGTTAGCAGGGCGGGTAGCAGTTTATCAGCAGGCAAGGACTGCGTTTCTGGATTTGGACTCACCATCCACTGCGGTAAACAACGGATACTTGCTCTCCAGCCCCCGCGCCTTGAGGAAGCTGTTCACCTCCTTGGCCGTCGTCGTGCCCTGCAGCTTCTGCCCGTTGAGCTCGGTCCGCTCGACCTCCTCGACGGACACGCCCCGCTCCACCGACAGCTTGGCACACCGAAAGTTGCGGCCGCCCGAGCACGACGTGATCAGATCCGCCACGCCTGCGCTCTCCTCGGTGAACGTGGCCGTGTGCACGGTCTCGCCGAAAAACTCCTTGCCAAACTGCACCATCTCCATCAGGCCGAGACGCATCACGGCGGCCTTGGCGTTGTCGCCCCAGCCGCGGCCGTCGACGAAGCCGGCCGCCAGCGCCACAATGTTCTTGAGCGCGCCGCTCAGCGACACACCCGCCACGTCGGTGACGGTGCTGACGTGGAAGTAGGGGCGGTGGAAGAGCGCGGACAGCGTGTTGTGGTCGAGCGGCGGGTAGTCGGCCGGCAGCGGCGCCAGCTTCGTCTTGCTGGCCTGGCCACGGGCGTCGCGGTGGCGGATGTCCTGCGCGACAGCCTCGGCGGGCGACACCTCGCCGCTGCTCTGGTCCGACGCCCGGTTCGAGCCGGCCACGCCGCCGCCGCCGCCGACACCACCATTGGGTGACCGGTCGCGCGACGCCGGGTTCTTGGAGTAGTCGACCGGCGGCGGGTCGTAGGCAATGGTGGTCTCGCTCCACTTCTCGAGGGCAATCTCCGAGGCCAGGTTGGCGCCGGACAGCGAGCCGCAGTAGATGCCCAGGGCATCGCCGATCCACTCGGAGAAGAGCGAGATGCCGTCGTCGCTGACATTGACGCCCTTGATGCACGAGACGCCGCGCGCGTACGGCAAGATCTTGCCCTTGATCTGCTTGCACACGTTGCCGATGAACTGGTGGGGCAGGTTGAAGACCAGGACGGTCGAGCCTTGGACGGCGTCGAGCAGCGACGGGTTGGCGACGACGTTGTCGGGCAGGTGGATGTCGGGCAGGTACTTGACGTTTTCGTGGTAGGTGTTGATGAGCTCCGTGAGCTTCTGGGGCTGGCCGTCGGCGCGGACGGCCTCGCGCAGGTGATAGTCCTGGGGGACCACGACATCCTCCTCAAACACCCACATCTGGACCTCCTTCTCAAAGAGATCCGGGTGCTCGGCCGTGTTCTCGGCGACAATCTTGGCAATCGTGGAGCCCCAGTTGCCGGAGCCGACCACGGTCACCTTGTGCTTCTTGGTGGCGTTTGTTGTGCTGGCCATGGTGGGCGAGGCTGCTGTGGCTGCGGTTGTTGAGGAGGGAGGGGTGGTCGTGGAGAAGAGGGACGTGGTCGAGGCGACTAAGCGGTGACGGTGACGAAGACGGTGGAAGCAGCTCGTTTGTGGGGCGCGTGACAGGCGAGTCCGAGAGGAGATAGGCGAGCTACAGGAGGTACGTATCACGCGATAAGACGAGGGTGGGCTGTTGGGCGAGAGTCGAAGATGATGCGGGCGTGGCAGAGCTCGGAGGGCAGCTGGGCTACGAAACAAAACCATACGATTGGGCCCTTTGAGGGGAGTGAGAATTAATGAAATACAGAGTAGGAAAGAAGATCGTAGGTAGAGACGAGGAGTGGAAGTCAGTGAAGACAGAAAGGTGAAGCAAAAGCTGAAAGGTTAAGAATATGGGCCTGGGGGTGGGGGATCTGTTATAGGAAATAAAGCCAGGACAGAAGGGGGGAAATAAATTTGTTGAAAAGCTAAAGAGGAAAAAGTCTGAGCTAAAAAGGGCAGAGAATAACGAGGTCGAAAGAGGAAGACGAGGCTGGGCGATCCGCAGTCAAAAGTCTACACGATAGGAGGAGAGAAGTTTGGACAGTTGGTGACAGCAGTGGGCTCAATTGGCGACGTGGTATGTAAACGAGGCAAGAGCTTACCGCTGGCCGAGGCTGACACTTGAAGCTGTCTCGTGCCTGCCATTTTGTGTTGAGGCTGTCGGTAGTGCAAAAATAGGGCCTGTGACGCCGGGCAGGTGGATGGCAAGCCAATGGTGGGTGGGATGGTGGTGGGCAAGAGCGATCGACGGCGCCAGTGACGCAAGGACGCGGCAGAAATTTTGGTTGGGAAGCAGCGTACGGCCGGCCACCGCCTTCCCATTTGGGGCTCCGGTCAAGTGGCTAGCTGTCTAGGCTTTTCCCGGGGGATTATCTTGGGTGTGTTTGGACAGCTGAGGGAGGCAAGGTCGGTGACGCCGGTGCAGGTCTGGAACGTTGCGAGCCACTGCCCGCTCATTTGCCTCGCCATATCTCACGCTGTAATGTCAGAGTGCCGAGGGCGCAGCGGACTTTCACGCTGTTCTTTTGCTCTCGTCTCTCTTTTTTTTTTTTTTTTTTTGCGCCCGCGGCACCGTCCGCTCTTGCCTCGCTCCAGTGGACGGCCGCCTGCAACTCCTGCTAAAAATGGCAACAGCCCGCTGCAGCAATGCCACTCGAAATACGACATAAAAAATCTTCATTTGGCATGTGAAAACTGCCCGGCCCACCACGAGAGAAGGCTGAACGATCTCGGGCAACTTTTGCCAATTGCCTCGCTACGAGGCTGTAGCCGTCTGTCATTTCTGTCAGTACTGACATGACTGTTTTCTCGTGCTGCTTGTTTTTCGGCGCCTATTTGCCAAGCTGTGGGCAGATGCTGCCTTTTGTCTGCAACAGTCGCACCTGCCATTTGAATCCCATGACCATTTTTACACACTTTGGTTGGCTCTTGCCGCCACCACGCGTCCTGGGCTTTCCCAACAAAATCACAACCGGCCCCTGCAGCATGCTTCTACAGGGTATGCATTTATCGCAATGAATAGCACGTACAATTTCGTAGTCCAATGTTTACACCATGACGTCGTTGTCAATTGCCGTGCATTCGACACCACCTTTCTTCCCGCTCAAACGCACTCCAGCATCTGCACAATGACGCATTCCATGGCGCCGTATCGCGAGCTGGACATGACACGGGATGCGCCGTGCAGCTTCTGTCCCAGCAATCCCTCTGCCCCTTTCTGCCGCATGTGCGATGGATTGAAGTATTGGACGTTGACAAGGCGCTGTCTGCCGTGCCTTTCCCCACAAACTCACGTCGTCGCGGGGCATTAGCTCCGAGTCCCGTCGTCGGTGCCACAGCGAACTAATTAAAGTCGTCAATCCAGGCACGACATCTGCCGTCGACATGGTCCGTGTAGCTGGTCCAGGAACGGCGGCCATCGCTAAACTTTTTTTCTAATATGTTTTTACATCTGTGGCCTTGTACTGGTCCATTTTGTTTCGTTGCATGACATACATCCCCGCCGTCCCCAAGCTGTGTCTCGGGTGCTTTATTGATGACTGAGTACGGAGGGCGTCACTTTGCTGCTGATCGTTTGTCCCTCTGCAAGCCGTGTTTCTCCCGTCTGCCAATCCCTGCCAATTCCCCACCGGACCGCTCGCTGACTCCCAGGGCACGCCTTTGACTCCATTTTCGCATTAGCAGAGCAATCAGCAATTCATGTTTGATTTTGCGCCATTGCGTCTTTTTGTGTGTATGTGTGTGTGTGTGTTTGTTTTTTTTTTTTTTCTGAATTCGTCATGTTTATCATCGACGGTTTTACGTCAATTCAATATATATGGAAGCCCATCCCGTGTTGGCGCCATGCACGGTAAGCTACGTGTTGCGTGTTGACGAAAAAATCAAAAGGCACAATTACGTCATTCAAGTCGTTGCAGCGGCACAGACCCATGCAAAGGAGCCATTCTCGCGGTAATATCATGGCCGGCAGGGGGGCTCTTTTGGCCTGGACCGTTCAAGGCCCCGCAACGGCCCCAACCCATGTATTCGTGTGGTGCTACTGCCGCAAAAAGGTACATGGAACCACAGGTCTCGCTATTTCTTATTCTGCCCGCCGTAGTTCACGGCACGCTCTTTCCATCTCGATTCCGACTGTATTTGGCGATGGCTAGAGTCAGCGAGCAGCTGCTTAAGCTGCAGCAAGCTTGACCGATCCTTCCTTTACCGGCCACCTGCCATATACACAAATGTCCCCCTGATTATCGTCGGTGGCCCTTGCCGTTCCTAGTCGTGCTACGACCGTCGTTCCTTCTGTTCGTGCCGCCAAAATAGCTCCTTTTGCACTCCCACTTGAGCCTGTGCCTGCCGTATATGCACACATCCTAACAAATCATAAAACCATTCTGCTCGCCGACAGACTGCATCCATCTCCTACCCCCTTTTTTGCTTCGTCTTTTGCCTCAACTTTGTGCCTTCTTCAGCAGCGTCCATTTTGTCCCCGTTCTGCTTGTATTTCCCCCTCGGCGCTGTGTCGCAGCTCCAGTTCCATTTCCAAAAGTACCTTGTCGCCCCTTGGCTCCACCAACACGCAAATCCGACCCGCCGCAAGCCCGCAGTGTGCGAGAGCTACGAATTACTGTCCAGGTATCGCGGGGAACTCCGCCTCTTGTCTCCGGTTTCACTTCTCTTTTCTTTTCTTTCTTTTCTTTTTCTCTTCTCCCACCATGATTCCAAAAACCATGACGTCCAGCGAGGTCTATCTACTGCCGCTCAACGACGACGGGTCGCCCCAAGTCGGCGGCAACCAGTACATCTACCTCGCCGCAACCTCCGAGCAGCCCATTGTCGTGCGCTTTGCCATTGAGGGCACGTCCAGCATCTGCCGCCATGGCAGCCTCTGGGTGAACATCCCCGAGAAGGGCGCCGAGTTCCGGCGCGACCACTTCCGCGAGTTCAAGCTCGACCCGGACTTCCACCGCACCATCCACATCTCCATCCCCATCTACCACCCGGGTGCCTTCGCTTTCTACACCACCTATGCCGCCCTGCCCGACCTGTCCACCGAGCTCGCAGCGCGCGCGTCTTTCGACGAGGAGAAGAAGACCACGCCGCGCTACTACATCGATGTCGCGCCCCGCCTGCGCCTCGACGGCCGCCCGCTGCCGCTGGAGGCTCTGTCCGTCTTCTCCATCATCAGCAAGTTCATGGGAAAGTATCCCAACGACTGGGAGCGCCATCTGCGCGGCATCAGCGACCGCGGCTACAACATGGTCCATTTCACACCCCTCCAGCAGCGCGGCGAGTCCAATTCGCCCTACAGCCTCTACGACCAGTTGGCCTGGGACCCCATTTGCTTCCCGCGGGGCGAGCAGGATGTCCAGGACATGGTCCACAGCCTCAAGACGAACCATTCGCTGCTGAGCTTGACCGACATCGTCCTCAACCACACCGCCAACAACAGCCCGTGGCTGCTCGACCACCCAGACGCCGGCTACAACCTCAAGACCGCGCCCCACCTCGAGTCCGCCTACCTGCTCGACTCCAAGCTGCTGGAGCTCGGCGACCGCCTCGGCGAGATGGGCCTGCCCACCGATCTCCAGAGCACCGACGACCTCGACAAGATCATGGACGCCATCAAGACGGAGTGTATCGCCGGCATCCGCCTATGGGAATACTACGTGCTCGACGTCGAGAAGGACGCCGCCAATGCTGCGGACAGCTGGTCCCGCGGCGACATTACCATCCCCGACGCGTATTCGGGCGTCGACGACCTGGCGTTCCTCAAATCGGCCGACCTCAAGACCCAGACCGAGTTCCTCAAAAAACACGCCTTGCGCGGAAACGACCGCCTGGGCGAGCGTCACCGCCGAGCTATTGACGGCAAGGTGGGCGCAGCGCTCCTCACAGCCGTCCTCGGCCCGGCGAGTGGCGGTACTGAAAAGGACGCGGCTCACAGCACATTGGTGTCGATTGCTGACGCCTTGAACGTGCCGTTCTACGCCGAATACGACGCCGAAGTCGCCGACATCCTTCAGCAGCTCTTCAACCGCATCAAATACTGCCGTCTTGACGACAACGGTCCAAAAATGGGCCCCATTGGCCCCAAGTCGGCACTCATCGAGACCTACTTTACACGCCTCCCACGTAACGAGCAGACGGCCCACTTTGACATCGAAGAGCTCGTCCTGGTGAACAACGGATGGGTGTGGGGCGGTAATGCGCTCGTCGACAACGCAGGGCCCCAGTCGCGTGTCTACCTCCGCCGCGAAGTCATCGTGTGGGGCGACTGCGTCAAGCTGCGGTACGGCAGCGGCCCGGCCGACAGCCCGTGGCTATGGGAACATATGACCAAGTACGCACGCACCATGGCCAAGTACTTTGCCGGCTTCCGCATCGACAACTGCCACTCTACGCCCATGCACGTTGCCGAGCACATTCTCGACGAGGCCCGCCTCGTCAACCCTAACCTCTACGTCGTGGCCGAGCTGTTCTCTGGCTCCGAGGACACCGACTACATTTTCGTCAAGCGTCTGGGCCTCAGCTCGCTGATTCGTGAGGCCATGCAGGCCTGGAGCACGGGCGAGATGAGCCGGCTCGTGCACAAGCACGGTGGCCGTCCCATTGGCAGCTTTGAAGTGGACGACATTACCCGTTCCGATGTCGCCAAGAAGCAACAGCAGTCGGCACAGCCCAATGCAGATGCAAATGGTCATACCGGTGAGGCTACGGCTGACGGCAAGGCTGAAGGTGACGAGCTCTGCCGCGAAATCATCCGCCGCATCCGCGTCGTGCCCGTCCAAGCCCTGTTCATGGACTGCACACATGACAACGAGGCCCCCGCCCAAAAGCGCGATGCGCGCGACACGCTGCCCAACGCCGCCCTCGTGAGCATGTGTGCCAGCGCCACAGGCAGCGTCATGGGCTACGACGAAATCTACCCGCGCCTGGTGGACTTGGTCAACGAGACCCGCATGTACACGTCCGAGTCGTCCAGTCGTGCAGTCAAGGTTGGCAGTGGACGGAATGGGATTGGCGGCATTAAGAAGCTGCTGAACCAGATCCATGTGCTGATGGGCAAGGACGGCTACGCCGAAACCCACATCCACCACGAAGAGGAATACGTCACCGTGCATCGTGTGCACCCAGAGTCGCGCAAGGGCTACTTCCTCATTGCTCACACGGCCTACCCGGGCTACGGCAACGGCAACGGCGCGTTCAGCCCCGTGCATCTGACCGGCACCCGCGCAAACCACTTGGGCAGCTGGATGCTCGAGGTGGACACGAGCGAGGAGGCCACCAAGAACGCTCTCGACGACACCAAGTTTCTGCGCGGCTTGCCTAGCCGTGTGGTCGACCTTCCCGGTATCAAGATCGACTACAACAATGGGGATACGTCGATTGCCGTCCCGGACAAGTTCCCGCCCGGCAGCATTGCACTGTTTGAAACGTGGATTCCGGCAGCTGAGCACTCGTCGGGCCTCGATACGTTTGTGACGTCGGGTGCCAAGGCTGCCTTTGGCGAACTGAGCCTGGTCGACCTCAACTTCCTTTTGTACAGGTGCGAGGCCGAAGAGCGCGACGCGAGCGGCGGCAACGACGGCGTGTACGATCTTCCCGGCTACGGCCGCCTGGTGTATGCCGGTCTCCAGGGCTGGTACAGCATCCTGAAGAACGTCGTTCGCGACAACAACCTGGCCCACCCGCTGTGCCAGAACCTGCGCGATGGCCAGTGGGCGCTCGACTACATTGCTGGCCGCCTAGAACGCATTGCCACCAAGGACACACATAGCAACCTGGGCAAGCCGGCCGCCTGGTTCAAGGAGCGTTTCGACGCCATCCGCCCCATCCCGGCCTTTTTGCATCCCCGGTACTTTGGTCTCATTATGAAGACTGCCTACCAGGCTAGCTGGGACCGCGCCATGGAGCTCATGAGTGCCAATGTCCGCGAGGGCCAGTGGTTCGTGCAGAGCCTGGCCATGGTCAGCATCCAGCAGACGGGCCTCGTCCAGTCGGGGTCGCTCTACCCCAACCGTCTGGTGCCGTCCCTGGCCGCCGGCCTGCCGCACTTCGCTGTGGAGTGGGCGCGGTGCTGGGGCCGTGACGTGTTCATTTCCTTGCGCGGTCTCTTCTTGGGTACGGGCCGCTACGCCGAGGCGAAGGAGCATATTCTGGCGTTTGCCAGCGTCCTAAAGCACGGCATGGTGCCGAATCTGCTGGGCTCGGGCGGCAACCCTCGCTACAATGCGCGCGACGCGACCTGGTTCTTCTTGCAGTGCATCCAGGACTACGTCAACCGGGCCCCCGACGGCGACGAGCTTCTGCAGACCAAGGTGAAGCGGCGGTTCCTGCCCAATGACGACACGTGGTTCGATGCCAACGACCCGCGTGCCTACTCCAAGGAGAGCACGGTGGAGGAGGTCATCCAGGAGGCGCTGCAGCGGCACGCGACCGGCATGTCCTTCCGTGAGGCGAATGCTGGCCCCGGCCTGGACATGCAGATGCGCGACGAAGGGTTCAACATTGACGTGCACGTCGACTGGAGCAACGGCTTCATCTTTGGCGGCAACCAGTTCAACTGCGGTACGTGGATGGACAAGATGGGCGAGAGCGAGCGCGCCGGGTCCAAGGGCATCCCGGGCACGCCGCGCGACGGCGCCGCCATCGAGATCACGGGCCTGCTGTACAGCACTCTGAAGTGGCTGGCCCATCGCCACAGCAAGGGCGGCTTTGCGCACGAAGGTGTGACGCGCGCTGACGACTCGTCCATCTCGTTTGCCGATTGGGCCGCGCTGATCCAGGACAACTTTGAGCGCTGCTACTATGTGCCGCTGCAGCCGGCCGACGACGCGCAGTACGACGTCAACCCCGCCGTGGTCAACCGCCGCGGCATGTACAAGGATCTGTACAAGTCGGGCAAGGAGTACGAGGACTACCAGCTGCGGCCCAACTTTGCCATTGCCATGACGGTGGCGGCCGACCTGTTCGACGCCGAGCACGCGACGCACGCGCTCTGCCTCGCCGACACGGTGCTGCGCGGGCCCACGGGCATGGCGACGCTCGACCCGGCCGACCTCAACTACCGGCCCTACTACATCAACAGCGAGGACAGCACGGACTTTGCGACGAGCAAGGGCCGCAACTACCACCAGGGTCCGGAGTGGCTGTGGCCGACGGGCTTCTTCTTGCGGGCGCTGCTCAAGTTCGGCCTGCGGCGGCGCGCGGCGCAGTCGCCCGACGACGCCGAGGGCCGTACAGAGGCGTTCCAGCAGGTGACGCGGCGGCTGATGGGCTGCAAGGAGCAGATCCAGGAGAGCGTGTGGGCAGGGTTGACGGAGCTGACCCAGAAAGACGGCGCCTACTGCCAGGATTCGGTACGTCCTTTCCCCGGTATTCATTTATTTGCTGTTTTTTCAGCCCTTGTGAATGTTCCTGCTAACAGACTAGTCTCCCACGCAAGCATGGTCCGCCGGCTGTCTCATTGACCTGTACATGGACGCCGAGGAGGAGCAGGCACGGCACAAGACATCGCACGTGGCGATCCGGTAGAATGCTGGTGAGACAATTTTGGCTTTTATTTGAACTTTGGTTTTTGGAATATTCGGCATAGACGTGGTATTCAAAAGATTTTTACAAAGATTTTAATATTTGAAATGATAGGTTTGGATATTTGATAAATTAAAAGTAGATTCTTCGATACAATATATACGTCGTTTGACACTCTTACTGAAAACAATATATTTCTCAACAAGAGAACATTATGCAATGAAAAGCAGTCGTTCGATAGACAATCAATATAAATATTATTGAGAACCAAAGCTGTCAACAAATGACCCATTGATGTTGCTACGTGAATAACTCCGACTATCCCTTGGAGATATCATCAAATTAACACAAAAATCCGTTACTCGTAAATGACAATTTATTTTATTCTACTACTTTGAAAGTCTTCACTGCAAACGCGCACAAGAATACATTTGGTGGACAAAATGAAGCCAAGTTCAATTATAGACGAGCAAGACAACAATCAAAGAAAACTGTACAGACGATGATGTGGTACGAAGATACAAACGATGAAGGACAACAAGACGTATCAAAAAGAAAGGACAATGACTGCAAAACAACGTCGCGGGGCCACCCCGGTAAACCTATTTGCATGGAAAAACGCCGTCCCGTGAAAAGTGCGAATGCGTGAATGAGAGAAAAGTGTCTAGTGTAAATACAATGCCTCAAAGACTTGTAAGAAATGTACACTCAAGTGAAGGTGAAGGGGAAAAGATGTCGGCATGCCGAAAATAAAGCAGATGGAAAAGACGGCAACCCCCTCTGTTTGTCAACCGACATGACGATATCGCCTCGGGAGGCTTGTCGCTCACGTTGCTGGTCTCCGACTTCGCCGGCCTCGCCTTGACTCGAGGCGTTTGCGTTTGGCCGCTTACTGCCGCCGTCCAAACGGGTTCGACCGGCGCTTCTCCGCATCGTACGAGTTGGGCGCAAACGCACCGGCCGGGTCGGTGGGCGAGGCCATGCCGTGGCTGTCGAGATCGTGCAGATCGTGGTCCATGGAACGGTCGTTGAGGCCGGTGGTACCGGAGGCGGCGCCGGTGGACGCGCGGAGGTTGGCGAGGGCGTACTGGCGGTCCTTTTTGCGGAGGTAGCGGCGGTGCCAGACGCAGGCGCCGATCCAGAGCGAGGTGATGCCGACGACCATGACGACGACGAAGATGACCCACTGGTAGTGTGTGGCGATCCTGAGTAGCGTTAGCGAGGACAGAGCACAAACGCGAGCGCAGCGAGGACAGAAAAGAAAGCGAGCGCAGCGAGGACAGAAAAGAAAGCGAGCGCAGCGAGGACAGAAAAGAAAGCGAGCGCAACGAGGACCAGAATAGCTTACCATGAGTTGTTTGTGCTCTTGTTGCCCGACGAGGCGCTCTTGGTGCTGGTGGCTGTGGAGGTGCTCGAGGTGGTGGACGCGGTGTTTGTCGCGACGTTCTTTTGCTCGACGGAGCAGTAGGAGGAGAACCAGTTGTGGATGCTCTCGAGGCCGCCGGCGTCGGCGGCGGCAGTACAGGCCGAGTCGCAGACGCCGGCGGTGCCGGTGCTAAAGGCGGAGATCAGGGCATTGTTGCAGAAGCAGGAGGCGTACTGGGCGGCATCGCCGTTGGCGGCGGCCGGCGGCACGCAGGCGCCGTTGGCATCGTAGAGGTGGTAGCACTGGGTGGCGCACGTCGGGAGAGACGCAAAGGGGACGAGGGTGGTGATGGGGAGGCCGGCGGTCGCCATTGCGTCGGATATGGTGGTGAGGGCGAGGATGAGGGTAAAGGTGAAGCCGAGACGGGAAGGAGAAGATGGTCTGTGTCCGATGCCGCTTTGGGGTTTGGAGCGCCAAGAGTCGAACACGAGAAATGGACCCAAAGTCTTGGAATGCGAAAATCCAGAGGTGTCGCGTTTTCTCGTTTATCGCGAGTCGCCCGAAACGACGCAAAAGAGGAAATAGTCCAAAAATAGCAAAGATAAGGTGCAGTCGTTTCTTGTCGTGGCTTCCAACGTTAAAATGACGTGCAGAGTCGATGGAGACGTCGAGCCTGGCAAAGTGGTGAAAGCTGCAAACGGCAACAAGCAGAAGCGAAGGCGGCAGTTGGATCCGGGAACCTGGTTTGCGAATGGGCAGTGAATTCAGCCGGCCGGGGGATCGATGTTGATTGTGTGGTTCGTTTGCGTAGATTGTGTTTGATTGACAGATTGCCGCAAAATGCCCAATTCCCAAAAGCCAAAAAAAGCAAAATGCAAGTCCAAAAGCCGGGAGATCCGAGGATGGGCGCAGCGATGGCCGAAAACAAAGCGAGCGGAAGCCGCGGTGCAGCAACGGGAGACAAAACGAAAGCTGGCGATGTTCGGACTCGAGAGAATCACGCGTTGGCGTTCACAGTCGTTGTCTGTGGATTGTCGTCGGATTGTTTTTGAGGGTTGGGTGAGTAGAGGAAAGGGGTGATGACGGGAGACTCGGTTCGATGCGCGAGGGCGAGAAGGAGCAAGGGGGGGAAAGCGCAATGCAGTAAGGAGGGAAGGAGGGAAGGAGGGAAACAGGGAAGGAGTGGGAGAGAGAAGAAATGGAAGGAAAGACCAAAGAAGCCAAAGAGGAAGGAAGCGCCGGAAAGGTTTGAGATAATTCAAAGGAGATGTCAACAGAAGATATGAGTAAGAATATGAAGAAAAAGACCTCTGCAAAGAACCAGGGGAACGAAAAGCGACGAATGCGACGACGTAGGCTTGGGATGGAGCCAAAATGAGGACAATCCAGTGCGGAAAGGCAGTGAGTGGGCAGAGGCCAGGCGAAAGTTGGCGGTTGGCGTTGCAGTCGTCCAGCGAGCTGCGTAAGACGGATTGGACAGAACAGGCGGCAGGACAAAGAGGACAGGGGCAGCGACCGACAGGCACGAACAAAAAGAGGACGACCAGTGTCAAGGAGACGACCGCAGTGGCTGGCAGCGGCAGGCGGTGGGCTGAAAAACGGACAGCGTGCAACGGCAGGCTGCAGGAGGCAGATGAACAGGGGCAGAGCCAGGGCTAACTTTGCCAAGCGACGACGACGACAGCAATCTGCGAACAGAGCGTGCAGAGACTGCTGAGAACGACTGGGAGAGTTGCTGAACCGTGCGCGCGTGCGGACTCAGCGCTCGCTGGAAAGAGAAAAAGGCAAGGACGGAAAAAAGAGGGGCCAATGGGGCTTAGCGCCTTGGAGGAATCTGACATGCGGTTCAATACGAGGGACGAGAGGAGGAGAGCATGGAGAGGTGCGCCCGGGAATGGACGCGAGTAGCCACCAAGGTACCTTTGTACATTAAAATGGGACGAAGGTACTTACCGTGTTGTTCCGTATGTATTCCCCTGAAAGAGTGGACATTTGCGTGGGCAAGGGTGTGCCAGTGGTGCCAATGATGCCAATGGCTGGGTCGCGCTTGCCCGCTTTCTTTCACAACACTGTATTTGGAGCCCGTTGGAGTGGGGCGGCTGGCTGCGAGCAGGCCATGGTTTGGGCAGCTGGGCGACGTGGACTTGGGAAAGAGCGACCAGCTGGGACGATTCCAAATTGGGCCAACGCGACGCATTGTGTGGCATGGACAGCGTAATTAAAGAATGAGTTGGTTAATTCCTGGGGATGAAGGACCTTTGAAAGACCACGCAGATGGGAGAGTGTGATGCGCGCTGACGACCCAAGATGCACATCAATTCTTTTCTTCATGACGTTGGGCTGGTGTTCGACGAACGCCCGCCATGACGACATGCCTGTCTTTGTTGTTCGCTCTTTCCTCTTTATCGCAGCTAACGTCTCAGGTGGCGCCCAGCTGACGCTACGATGTACTCAGCAGGCTGAGGACAGAGCCCCTCGTTTTCCTTTGACAGCAGACGGCGACTCTGCCCGGAGACAGCTACACGACTCCCCAATTAAGCTTACCTTGTAAACGGCCAGGAGAGGGCCTGTTTGAGGTCTGAGGCTCATCTGTCAGACACCGGCGTCTGAAAGGCTGGTCGCGGCCAGGTCGTGTTTGGGCCAGAGGTCAAGACAGGGCTCTTTCTTCCAAACACTCGCCAACGAGGCCACTGTCGTATTGTGCGTATTTCGTGATGTGAAGCAGTGTACTTCGTACGACGCTTTACGACGTATGAATCGAACGAAATGCCGTGTCCTGACAGTGGTGCCTGGCTCTTTCCTGTCCTGACAGGCTGGGGCGCTCGTGCGGAACGGCCCCGCTGGCAGATGCCTATTATGGCAAGGTCGACCCACGACACGACGCGCTCTTCTGTCACTGGGTCTTTTCCGTCTGGGCACTGTCCATTGCATGTCAGATACGAAAACAAAGACCAGAAGAAAGGCTCTCGATTGTCCTTGTCACCACACGAAGCAAGCAAGTTACATTCTTGCGGCGTGCGTGACTGTTGATACGAACCATCATACCATTACCATGCCTGTATTCTTGCGGAAAAAGATGTCCGCAGCTGGTCTGTCGAAGACTAAGAAGCGGCATGGCCGACTATAGGGAAATCGTCGAGACGGTCCTTACGACGACAATAACGGCTTGCCATTTTTTGTTTATTTATTTCGTTTTCAGCCCATCCAGCCTCCCAAGAAAGTCTCACAGCCGTCGTTGGTGCGTCTCCTTCCATGGTCCTTTCATTTTCCCCTCTCCGCAAAAAGCCCTGTTGAAATTGCAAGTCCGCCATCCCGTTATGCGTGCACCCCTGGTCTGTGTACAGGGTAGCCCGGACATGACACGTCGGGCAACAATACGGTGCGAGGAGGTCAAAGTGTCTTGCAGTAATTCGTATGAGACGCCAAGAGCGGTCACGTGGAAGGAAGTCAACTGCCAACATCTCGACTGTACTGTTTTATTTGAATTTCTTTTGAATTTCGTTATTCGTCGTATCATTTTCCAGATGTGGGTGTATCGTAACAGACGAACAAAAAAAAAAAAAAAAAAAAAAAAAAAAAAATTACGTAAAAAAAAAAAAAAAGAAACATAGGCAATAAACTAAGCCTGACCCGTGGTGCGTCTAGCACCATCCACAGCACAAGCACCCGCCTACGGCCACGTCACGTCGTACATGGCCTCGGGCATGGCGTGAAAGTAGCTGAGGACGTCGAGCGAGTAGTTGGAGAAGAGGTCGATGGGCGGCGGGGCGTCGAACGGCGTGGGGATGGACGGCGGGATGGACGGCGGGATGGGCTCGCCGGCCGGCTGTCCGTTCATCATGACAAACGATGTGGCCTGTGTGCCGGACACGGCCGCCGCCGCCACTTCGTCTTCGCGCTCGCGTTCCTGCGCGAGCATCTCGTTTTGCCAGATGACTTTAAGCGTCGAAAACTTGCGGATGGCGACGAGGATGGGGTCGTGTTCTTCGTCTTCGATGAGGTTCGGCGAGTTGGAGGTGGTGGAGGAGGAGGTCGTAGAGTTGCTGTTGCTCTTGCTGTTCTTTTTTTTGGCAGCAGCTCCATCGGCATGGCCCGGTGCGGCCAACGCCTCGGCCAACATGACGCGCAGCTCGTCGCACAAGCCCAGTATGCGATCCAGGGTCGGAAACAGACCAATCACGCCGCGCACGGCCTCGACGTTCCACGCCGGGTCGCGCAGCGTGCTCAGCTTGTGCAGGCAGACAATCACATAAAACAACTGCAGGTAGGTGCAGTTGGGCAGGCAGACAAAGCAGGGCAGCGGCCAGGCAAACAAGCGGTCGAGCCAGGCCTGGACGGAGGCGAGGCATCGCTGGTAGATTTCGAAGCGGTGGAGGTCGGGCAGGACCCACGTGCCGTGCCCCAGGGCGGAGCCGGCGCCGGAGGTGGCTGTCGACGCTCTGGAGGGCTGCCGTGCCAGCGCCGACTCGTGGATGGCCAGCATGGCAAAGTGATACAGGCTGTGCGTGCTGAAGTTGTCAAAGGCCGGGCAGGTGCCGTCGACGCTGGGCAGCCCGACAATGTCGTCCAGCTGGGCCCGCAGCGCGTCCATGTAGGGTCCCGGCAGGTTGGTCGGCCCACTGCCAAACGACCGGTACAGGCTGGCCCCGCCACCGGCACCGACAGCCCCCCCGCCGGCATAACCACTACCACCACCACCACCGCCGCCGCCGCCACCAAAGCCGTCACGGCCGCCGCTGGCACCGTTGCTCGATGCGTAGCGCACCTGGCTGATGAGCAGCTGCATCTTGACGTGCTGCACGAGTATGGCGTCCTGCGGCACGGTCGAGTCCTGGGCCAGCTGGGCGAGGCACTGGTCGAGGTAGGGCGACCAGCGCATGCCGTCGGCGGACCGGAACATCTGGGACGCGGTGGACGTGACGAGGTAGACGCCCAGGACGGCGCGGCGCTCCTCCATGCTGCGCTGGGCCTTCCACATGGAGGCGGGGAGGCCGGGGATCTGCACGACGGGCACGAAGCGCTCGCCGGCCGTGGCGGCCGGCTCCAGCAGCGGCGGCATGGTGAGCCCCAGGTCCCAGGCGACGCAGACCGACAGCTGGGCCACCACCGTGGCAAAGTTGCGGTGGAACCGGTCCCTCGTGGACAGGTGCACCCACGTGACAAACGTCAGCATGCCCAGCAAGATGTCCATGCTGCGCTCGCCCCGCGACACGACGCGCTGCACGATGGCCGTGCGGGCCTGGGAGGCGGCGCGGACGCGGTGGGCCGGGTGGACGCAGGCGGCGGCCTTGATGCAGCGCCACAGAAAGGGGTACATGCGTCGCAGGCGGCTGGCCGTGACGTCGGGCGGGAGGTAGAGAAAGGGCGCGAG